GCCTTGAAGTCACTGTATAGACCAAGCTGGTCTTGAACTCACAAAGATCTGCCTGCCTCTGCCTCCCAAGTGCAGTTAATTGAATTCTGATCAGCTCAACAGTTATGTGATCCCAGCATTTGGGATGCTGAGGCAGGAGGATTGCTATGACTTACAGGCCAGTGTGGGAAGTAAGACTCTTAAAAAAAAAGTAAACAGTAAACAAACGCAAACAAAACGTCCTACCACAAACATTAAAAACAACTTTAAGTGGAGGGGCGGGTCACAGAATAGGGGTGTGGGTTGGGGTGGGGTCAGACACTGGAGGGGCCTTACAGGAAGGGACCAGATTGGGGGTATGGGATGGAGGAAGGGCAGGGGTATGACACGATGCTAGATTTGTAGACATTATAAAACAAGGAGTTGCTCACCAGATGTGTGAGTGCATGGCTCAGGAGTCGGAATACTTCTGGATAGATAGATCTTGGCTCCATCGCTTCCAGAGAACAAGCCAGAGAGCAAGCTTAAAATGCTCCCTGCTCCTGTCACCATCCTCGGCTGTCACAAGGGCTTTATCAGTTATTGCATATCAAGTGATCGTTTGACCCACGCTGGGCATGGCGTGTGGCATATACGTGTCCCCTCTTGCTGTCATTATTTTACATATTTATCGAGTGTGTGTGTGTGTGTGTGTGTACATGGGTGGCTGTGGAGGTCAGAAAAGGGAGTTGGGTCCCCTAGAACTGCAGTTACACCTCCAAAGCCACAGAGAAATCCTATCTCGGAAAAGTAAAAACAAAACAAAATAAAAAACCAAAAGAACTGGAGTTACAGGCAGTTGTGGGCAACCCAAGGATGTGGGTGCTGGGAATCGAACTTTTGACCTCAGCAATAGCTATGAGCAGTGGTAACCACTGAGACATCTCTCCCATCCCCTGCCTCCATCATGGTTGACCATTATCAGTTGCATCACGTATCTGAGGGGCTCTTATTCCCCAAACTTAAAATAACACATCCTTCTTTTTTTCTCTTTTGGGTGCTGGAGATTGACGCTGGGTTCAATCTGCATGCTGGACTGACGTTCTACCACTGAGTTACACTCCCGGATTAAAGCAGGGCCTTCTGTTTAAGGAATAGATGCCACCTGCTGATGAGTTAAGAGGGCAGAGGAGTCCTGCCCTTGGCTCGCCTGGTACGATGCCCACATGGCTAGAAACAGAAGCAAATGTTTGAGGAAGTGAAGAAAAGGATTGCTGCTTCAGAACTCCAAAAGAAAAAGTTTATTTATAAAATACCGACAGTTTGACAGGACATGGGACTTCTCATGGTATATATTTCAAATCAATTTCTTTCTTACCTTTCATTTAAAAAATAAACTTGCTAACAAGCTATATGACATATAGATATATATATATATATATTTCTTACAGATAGACACCTGCCATAATGAATATTCTCCCCATAATTTTTCATTATAGCTTTTAAATCAAAAAAATAAAGATTTGTACCAGGTTTCGTTTTGGGAGTCTATGTGGGTGAAGAAAGGTCACGCATTTAAATGCTTTGGAAACAGAGAGGAGGGGGTTGTCCCAAGAGGCTGGGGCACCTGTGCTCAAGGTGTTGGTTAGGGTTGCTGTCCCTGTATGGGACCACAGAGGCACTCAGGAGCTGGTGGAGGCTGTTCATGGGTCCCCTTCTTCCCCTGCTGACGGTCCATCTGTCTGTCTGTACCACGCGACACCACCTTCACTGTGCCATATGGGAAGGTAAGGGGAGCCCCTGCCTAGGGCAGCCTACTGTGAGGCTGGGCACCTTAGAAACGCTGTCCGGGCAGGCATGGACAACAAAGACAGAAGGCCTCAAGAAGCAAGGCTGGCGAGGCCGCCTGGCTCTTTTCTTGTTCCCTCTGGCTCATGGCAGTGTCAGGTTTGGGGTGAAGAGGGGCCTGGGAGAGGCCGTGTGGGTTTGTAAACTCCCTGCAGCTCCCTGGAGGAAGATGCTTCTGGACCCAGCTATTTGGTTAGTCTTGGCAATCCGGGTGCAGAGCCTGCAAGAATGCAGGAGACACTGCCAGGAGAGAAAAGAGCAGCTCCAGAATGCTAAGCAAGCGTGGGCTCCTGCATACATAGCAGATTTCCTCAGGGCACGGCGAGACAACACCTAAAGGACATGCTAGGCATGTCCTTCTGTGAACCTGTTTCCCATAGAGTCACAAGACGGCAGCCCTGGACTCACGGGCTGAGGAAACTGAAAGCTCTGCCTTATCCAGGGTTGGTGTCCACCAAGCTGTTAGAATGTGGCTGGGTGTCTGGGTGGAGTTCTTGGGACCCTCCACTGCCCAGCAGAAATGTAAACACGGGCCAGGAGACATCGTAAAACAACCTAGAGTTCCACAGAAGGAAACCTACTGGGTGTCCAGATGTGACTGGAGGCGATAATCCCCCTAGGCAGGTAGTGACTGAATGGAGAATTTCACCCCTGGCTCATATAGGATTTGTAGTTTGTGATGTGCCCAGCTGCTTGGGCAATAGGTCCCAGTGATACCCCAAATGCTAGTGGCCCAGGCTACCTGTCCCTCATGGAGATGAGAGTCAGCCAGGGGCCATCAGAGGCCATGGCAAGAGGCCCTTTGCTAACCCATACCGATGTATGTTTTGTGCATATCTTCGCATGCTTGTACATAAGCACAGGTTTGAATGCACATGGGCATCAGCAAGGGTTCCAATGAGCACATATGAGGGGGAGGGGGATCTCAGTGCACCAGGTGAGTCATTAAAGGCAAAGGAAAATTGTCCTCATGTGCAACACACACACACACACACACACACACACACACACTTAAAAAAAAAAAAAAACCAATTCCTGCTTCCTCTACAAATCTCCCTCACTAGGCTAACAATTCCCTAATGTAAACTGGGAACAACCTTAAATGGTTAAAGCCTCTGGAGACAGGAAAAAAGATGAAGATGTTTAAAAAAGAATTAAGGGACGAAAACCAAGTGTGGCAGTGTGAGCTCATGCAGCATCTGCATATGTGTGTGGCTCTGGAGAGGTCAGATGCTGCAGGGGTTGGGGTCCAGCTGACTGACAAAGTCCAAGGTAGCCCTGGGAACCCAACTCCCCGGAGGGGCAGAGCCTCAGCCCTTTGTTGTCCTTTGGGGACGAGGCTGTGCTTCTTGGCTTAGGAACCTTAGGACCTGCTTAGGAGAGGTCACTGTGAAAAGCCATTGTTCACACACAGCAGTTGGGTCACCTGCCTGCTGACCCTTCCAACATTTCCTCATTCACATATTCCAGGGGGCAGGTGTGTAGGGAGGGGCCCACACACTTAGTAGCCCGAGTGTGTCCTTTACAGGCCTTTGACTCAGATCTCCCCGACCAGTAGGGATTAGCAGTGACTAATTAGGGATGGCCGAGGATAGCTACAGGCTCCCCACTTGGCCTCTCAGCAAGGCCAGCAGTAACTACAGTGTATACTCCCAGCAAGGCTGGTCCTTAATTGACTTGGACATGCCCCAGCAGAGACTCTGAAGGAAGCAGCCGTGCGTTCTCAGCTGTAGGCTGAGCCTTAAAGGGCTGGTTGGTGTCCCCATGGACCTCAGACAACCCAGGAGGTCAGAAAAACTCCTCCCACAGCTCTTGCAATGGAAGCTCAAAGCTGACATGAAGTTCAGCCCCCCCCACCCCCCCCCCGTGGCTTTTTACAGAACATTCCCAGGAGTAACAGCATTCCCTGGATCCCATCTGACCCGCCTCTCCTGGCTGACCAGGCATCTCAACTGCCTTGTGTGTCCAATTTGGACTGAGCTTCCTGGCTGGTCCTGCCCAGCTTCACTAAACCTAGCTGAGGAGATGTTGGAAGGGGTTCAAGTGATCTTTGATTTTTTGTAAAGCCTCAGGACCAGGCACTGGACCGCCCCTTTGGGAGCTGTGTGTTCTGGGTAGAGACAAGGGGACACACAGATCTTGAAGTGAGAACATTATTGGGCAAAGAAACCCCAGGGTGTCCTCTTGAGAGGGGCTCCTGAACTCTTTTTCTTATGAGTTCGTGGGGGCAGGTGCACGGGTTAGCAGGAAGGCGCTCATTCAGGGCAAGTGGTACAGACGAGCATACCTTCTTACACAGCTCAGCGGGCTGAGCTCCCGGGCAGGCACCCCATTCCTTTTTCTCGGTGTTGGGCAGGTGGACGGTGAGGAAACTGTCAAGGCTTCATCCTTGCATCTCTGACTTCCTGCAGGACATCTCCCTGAAGCATGGCCTAGTGTGGAGCCAAGTATCTTAGGTCTCCTTTCCCCAGGGGTCACCCCTCCTTATCTGCATCCAAGGAAATGAATCCAAGCTATGGGAGGAGAGCGGTTAATGCAGCTGTGTGAAGATTCTTTCCCAGTCCTCACTCAGGCCCTCTTCCTCAAATTCACAATTAAGAACATTTTTTTCTTCTTCTTCTTTTTTCAGGAATGAGGAAGTTGCTAAAGTGGATTCTTATCGTTTGATAATTTTTTTTCTTCTTTCTTCCCAAATAAGCCAAATGCATGGTGGAGAAGTTGAACAGGACATTGAGCTCTTGGAGGGTGTTGAGGCAGGGCAGGCTGGCAAGGCCACCAGGCACGTGCCAGGGAGAGCCACACCCCTGAAGGCTTCACCTCTGGGGACACCCATCCTTTTCACAGAGGGGCAAGGACAGCACATGTGGGATTTGGTGAAATTGGCGGGGTATCTCAAAGGGCCTGCATCCCCCATGCCCACCTGTCTGCCCGACAGCCCCCTCTCTCCAGAGTCCCAAGCCCCTCTGTCCTCCACCCTGCACAATGGACCCCAAGGACGTGAAGCTGTTACAGGTCACACACGTCCAAGTCCCGTGGACTTCTTCCCTCCTCCTCCTCCATACTGGCTTTGCTGGCCCTGGAATCCCTGGAAAAAGAAGCTTGGGAGGTAAAAAGTTGATCCGATGTCTCGGTGGGGCTTGCTTGTATGTTTTCTGGCAGGCATTTTGGGAAGGTGGCAAAGGAGGATTTTGGTGTCATTTTTTTTTTTTTTCACTCTTTTTCCTCTTCTGTCGTCAAACAAAGGATGAGAACCCTGCTATGGGTGCCCGGGAGCCAGGGGCAAGGCTGCTGGGGGGGCGGTAGAGGGTGCTTTGCTGACTTGGGGGGTTTGGGGGGTTTTGGGGTGTTGGAGTCCGGCTGGCCTTGGGCCGGAAAAGGCTGCCCTGCTGGGTGCTGTTGCTATTGGGGACAGTGACGTGGTCAGGTTCGCCAGAATCACTCTCTGTGTAGCTGTAGGCCTGGGCCCGAGAGATGCCTTTCTGCTGGCGCCGCCAAGAGTTGTAGTATGTGGGGTCACTGATGTAATGGTTGACGAAGGAGTGGACTTTCTGAGGGTTGGTGTCCACTTCATACTCGCTGTCGCTTCCCTAGGAGGACAGAGAATCAGGGCTGTCAGCGTCCTGGTGAGGTCAGGGTGCAAAGGCACAGAACATTCCGATTCCATTGCCTCTTTCAAGCCTTGCACCTTGAACATCTCAACCCCTCATTACGACGGTGTTGTCCCTTCCTGTCCCCCTCCTTCTCCCTTCAGGGAGAGCTGGGATGAGATATCTACCCTCATGTGTTATCCGGGGCAAGAAGGCCATCTTTTCCCTTTGTGGTAACAAATCTTGAAAACTAGGGCCTCACTCATGCTAGGCAAATGTTCTACCACCGAGCCACACGCGGCCCCCTTTCAAGGGGGACAAGGTTTCCCTAGGCTGGCCTCGAACTCACTATGCCAGCCTTCAACTTGCATTCTTCCTGCCGTGCTTCAGGATAGCTAGGATTTCAGACCCACACCACTGAGCCAGGCAGACCTACGTGCTCAAATCCTAACCTTTACTCTTTCCAGTTGAAAATGAAATTCAACCATTTTAAAGTGAGCAATTCAGCACCGTTTAGTCTGTGACACTGTGAGCCATTAGGTCTGTCCAGCTCCAGATATTTTGGTCACCCCCAAAGTACAACCCTGCAGCTATTAAACCCTCTCTCCTTAACCCCTCCTGCCCCCCAACACAGCCACACATCTCTTCAGTAACACCTGTTCCAGAGTCTCCATACAGATGGGTCTGCACTATATATTTTTACGTCTCATGTCTTTTAATTCATTGGTTTTTGAGATAAGATCTCATTTTTTTTAGCCCAAGACGGTCTAGAAGATACTAGATGGCTCAGGCTGGCCTCAAGTATGCGGCAATCCTCATGCCTCAGACTCCTGAGTGCTGGAATTACAGATACCATGCCCAGCTGCATCTGGTGTCCTTGATACGGCACAATGGCTTTAGGGACAGTTTCCATTTCGGAACCCTGACCATCCATGACAAGATGCTTTCTACCAAAAAAAAATTTTAAAAGATTTATTTAATGTGTTTGAGTGTTTTGCTTGAATGTATGGCTGTGTACCATGTGTGGGACCGGTGTTGAGTGGTCAGAAGAGGACATTGGACCTGGGGATTGGAGTTGTGAGCTACCATGTGGGTGTTGGGAATTGGACCTGGGTTCTCAGCAAGAACAAGTGCTCTTAACCACTGGGCCATCTCAGCAGCCAGGCCACCCCTGTACTCTGTGACAAGGGATTAAGTTTGAGCTAGATTAAGAGTTGGGAAACCCTGGGCAGGGAAAATGCAGGTGCCCGCCCTGATGCGATTCAGGATAAAAGCAAGCTGAAGTCAGGGTATCATCAGGAAAACAATGGCTGTCTCAGCAGTCAGAGCATCTCCTGCTCTTCCAGGAGACCTGGGTTTGGGTCTCAGCACCCACACCGCAGTTCACAACAGCCTGTGTGTGACTCCAGCTGCAAGGATTCAGATGCCCTCTTTTAGTATCTCTGGGTTCCTACACTCATATGCACACAAGTTACAGAAACACACGAAAAAAACAGTTTTAAATGCCAACCAAAACTCCAATGATGACTCTGGAGGTCCCCCCTGTCCCACCCCAACACAAAAGACTCATTTATTCTTAACTCTGATATGACATCCTGCAGCTCTAGGCACAAGCCTCTTCTACAGGAGAGAAGTCAATCTGAATTGTAAACTCCGAGTTGTGGAGCTATAATTGTCCCGCACCCCTCCCCCGCCCCAAGCTTTCAGCAATGTTTCTGAGAAGGAACAGATGGAGACTCAGGGGAAGAGGCCAGCTCGGGTGGAGAAAGGTGCACTTATCCACATACAGCCCTGAGGATGCCACCAAGGCTGCCTGGCTCCTACCCAGCCAATGCTTTGCCTTCCTCACTCCTGCCACCAGTGTCCCTAGCTGGCCAGTCAGCTACTTACGTAAACCTAAGGAGAACATGCTTGTCAGGGAGAGTGCTGGCAACAAAGCCCAGCTTGGCCAGCACCAGTGAGTTTGGGGTGACCCACTCACCCCAGCTGTTTGACAGCTGGAGAAACTGGAGGTGACTTTGTTCCCAGGCCTGAGCCGTGGGAGATGGAATACACAGTGTTGTAGGGACAAAGTCCTTTGTGACGTCTAGACTTCTCAGGCAGATAGATGCTCCCGGGGAGGCTGCCGACTTGGCATCTCTATAATTAATTTTCACACCTCTTGTCCTTCGCTATGCGAGTGCTAAGGCTGCCTCAGTGTGCACAGTGCCAGGATACTAACGCTATGCCAGCACCGGTATTTGTGAGCACTAATGTTGCATGGGAATTGTCACTATGCTGTGCTAGCGCTGATTCTATGGGTGCTGGTGTTGTGTGAGTACTGATGCTGTGTGAGCGCCATTGTGGCGTGGGTGCTGGTGCTATGTGAGTACTTGTGTGTGAGTACTGGTCTTGCACGGGTACCGGTGCTATGTTGAGCTCTGACACTCCAGGGGTACCGATACCATGTCAGTACCTCTGCTGCGTGAGTACTGATGCTGTGTGAAGAATTGCTGGTGCCCAGTGAGTACTACTGATGTGCAGGCAGGGTTCTGTGCACTGGTTGAGTGCTGAAGCTAGGTTGGTACAGATGCTGCATGTGGAAGCCTGCTTTAAGGGCTATTTCTGAGTGTGAAAGACAACCAAGTGCAGAGAGACAGAGGGGGGGGGAGAGAGAGGGAGAGAGAGAGGGGGAGAGGGAGGAAGGGAAAGAGGGAGAGGGAGGGAGAGAAAGGGAGAGGGAGAGGGAGAGAGGGAGAGAGGGAGAGAGGGAGAGAGAGAGGGAGAGAGAGGGAAAGGGAGATAGAGGGAGAGAGGGAAAGAGGGAGAGAAGGAAAGAGAGAGGGAGGGAGGGAGGGAGGGAGAGAGAGAAGGAGAGAGGGAGAAGGAGAGGGAGGGAGGGAGAGAGAGGGAGAGGTAGGGAGAGGGAGAGAGGGAGAGGGAGAGAGGGAGGGAGGGAGGGAGAGAGAGAGAGTTTGTTGGGACGTGGGCCTGGCTCAGATCACCCTGGTTTTCTGAAACCCAGGCTGCTCCTGGCTGGCCCTCACTCCCCCCTGGAGCTCCGAGAGGGGAATGAGAGTCCCTCCCCTCCTTCCAGGGACACAAAAGCTCCCCAGACGTTTGCTACCTGACTTCTCTGGCTCACCCCTCCTTCCCACCCACCCCCTGCAGACCCAGCTCCTCCGCTTTGCAGCCTCCAGCAGCCAGCAGTCTCCCGCAGGAGGGTAGAGCCCACAATGGACAGCCCCTCAGTCAATTCTCCATGGACTCAAAGGGCACAATGTGAGCTGGGCTTTTTTTTTTGTCTGCCCAGCTGCCTGCCCAGAACAAAAGACATAAAGACAGGGGGGGTTCCGTATGCTGAGGCCAGGCTCCCTGAGGTGGGAGGTTGGGGGTGATGGTGGTGGTTATGGTGGGGGTTGGGGGTAGGATGTCTCTCTCCCAGAAGGGTCTGGGGGTATAGAGTACCAGGTTAGCTCTCTCCACTAGCTTCTTGTCTTCAAGACTTTGCCAGCATCTCAAGACTCCTAGAATTTTGGCTAGCCCCAGTCCACGCATTGTGTGTGTGTGTATTTTGAGGACATAGGTAGGTCCCAGGGGCTCTGTCCTGCCTGACCACAGTTTGTACATGGTGCTCTGGCCTTGCCCCTTAGATGTGCTAACCTTTGAGGCAGAGTTGCTGCCTTCTGTAGGGTCTGCACCCTTGGATAGGGTGGTGACAGCTCAAGCATTGGGGAGGAGCCCCAGATCACCTATAAGGCATGAACCTCTGCGGTGGGAGGTGGGGGAGGGGGAGGGGGAGGGGAGGGGGGGGAGGGACATGACCCTTGCTAGTGAAGCTTGGGCCACTCTCAGGCTTTCAGCTTGGTGGATCGACTGGTCTGCAAAATGGTAGCTTGTTACCCACTAGGCAAAAGGAGTCAAAGCAGGCGAGAGTAAACAAATGGCAATGGCATTGATGGGAAGAAAGACCTGGGCAGTGATGGAGCTTCAGGGGGAGCCCCCTTGGGGGAGATCAGAAGGGCCAGGGATTGGAGGCTGCTTCGGTGAGGTTACCAACGGGCCCGCACCGCCTCTGCTAACCCAAAGTGGGTGGGCCTGGTTTGGGGATGGGGTGGGTCCTCTCTGGCTCTTCTGGGGCCAAATCACCTCAGACCACAGACCAGAGGCTGTTCTCTGTCGAGCACCTACTGGAAGCCTGGCCCTCTGCGACAGCAGCCCTGACAGATGGCAAGGCTAGAAGAGAGGGTGGGTACGCAGGAGGTGGGGTCAGAACTGTTGGCCAGCCCCTCCTCCAGCTCCCCAAGGCCAAGGAGGAAGGGGTGGGGGGATCCTTGCCTCAGACAAGCAGAGCAGTTCCCGCGCCTCCACCCCCCTGCACATCTGTTTCTTTTCAGGGTGGGGGTGGGGTGAGAAGTGTGAGGGGGACCCGGGGCTCCGACTCCGCTTGCGGCCCTCGCACAGGAACTAAATGCAGCTTCCCAGGAGCGAGCGAGCAAGCACGGAGTGGGCTTTCCTGCCAGGCCCCTGGCCTCTTAACAGTTCTTCAAAGCCACTCAATCCGCAATTACCCGGTCCCAGTCCCCTGAACGGGCGGGCAGACGCCAGGCTGGGGGACAGGAGTGGGGGAGGGATCCAGAAGGAGAGCCAACCCCGGAGACAAAGCTGAAGTCCCAAAGAGGAGACAAAGCCCTTTGCTTCCTTGCAAAGGTGTAGGATGAGGAGGACATTTGAGATCTGGGGCCAGGTTCTCTCTCTCTCTCTCTCTCTCTCTCTCTCTCTCTCTCTCTCTCTCTCTCTCTCTCTCTTAAGGACACAAACGGGTCCCTCAGAGACTAAGAGACTGGAAGAGATCCCCTTCCTCATCCATCTGGGGTACCAGGGGCTCTGTCCTGCCCAACCACATTCTGCACACAGTGTTCTCTCTCTGGCCTTGCCCCTGGGATGCGCTAACCTTTGAGGCAGAGTTCCTGCCTTCTGCAGGGGCTGCAGCCTTGGGGATTCGGGTTGAATAGGGTGGTGACATGCTAAGGGGCTCCTGAAAATCTTCAGAGGGCTTCACTGATGTCCTCTTGAGGGGATCATTTGTCAGCGCCCTGGGCTCCCTGGGCAAGAACAGCTTGAAAAAATGTCATGTATGTTCCTAATCTGTGCCCTTGCAGGTAAGGTGACCGGTCTACACTGCCTAGCTGTGAGGCATGTCTGTGGTCGATGGCCTTGAGGGAGATTCCCGAGATAGGTTTGGGGTGGATGTTGTCCTCAGAGTGGGCAGGATATAGACTGAGTCCCAGTGATCTGCCCTCCTGAGCTGAGACCAAGAGCTGGATGTTTGACTTCTACATCTCTGAGTCTCCATATTTCCAAGTGCTATTTGGGAAATCAACCACTACCACAGTAGTGCTAAAGAGATGAAGCATGGGGCTTGGCATGGAAAAGGTACCCACAAGCCTTTCTGCCCTGAAGAGATGAAGCATGGGGCTTGGCATGGAAAAGGTACCCACAAGCCTTTCTGCCCTGAAGTACTTTTCTCTTAGGTCCAAGAGAGTGAGACACAGGCAGAGCCTTAACTGACCTGTACCAGGGATGCCCCAATCCAATGGACAAGAAATGAAACTGGACCAAAAAAAAAAAAAAAAAATTCTGTGAGACATTCAGCAGGCAGAGGCCATGTGGGAAGGGGACCATGTACCCTACCCTATTCAGACACACATGGCTCCTTCTGTGTCTGGCCCTGTACACACCAGATGAATGCCAGTTTCTTCTGGGACCCCTGCCCCACCTCCAAACCCCCGGCGTGAATGCCTTTGGTCAGTGAATGTCTTCTCCCCCCCCCCCGTCTCCCCCCCCCCCAGGTCTCTTTTCCTTCCTACAGCTCCCTCAAACCACTGCAAAGAGAAAGAAGTTTGGCTATTCCTTTCTTCCTACGGTTAGTCATTATGGTCCCATGATGCTTGAGTGAGAAACACGCCATTATGTACACACAGGTAACCTTCCCTGAAAGGCCGTAATAGGATGTCACAAAGAACCTCTGAGTCAGCACTTACTCCCTCAATGTGCCTGACCTACAAAGTTATACTGGGAAAGGTATAACAGGGAGTTAAGGGCTCTGGACTTGCTGCAGTGGGGAGGGAGGGGTCTGTGTGACCCCCCCACCCCCACTCACTCTTAGTACCGTAGAAGAGGTCGGAATGCCACAAGTACCTTCCAGGGACTCTGAGCACCCACAATTCTTGGAGCCCATCCTGATGCCTAGCAAATGCTCCTTAAATGTCCTTAAATGACTCATTAAATGTCATATAATGTGGTTGGTCCTACACGTTTTCTTTACACTTTTTCCACATAGAGTCAATTCTTTTAAAATGAGCTTGAAGCCAGCCGAGCACCAAACTGCTGGGAACTGGAGTTCAAGATCAGAAGACATATGCTGTGTGACATATGCTCTGTGTGTGTGTGTGTGTGTGTGTGTGTGTGTGTGTGTGTGTGGCTCGGTGTTTCTTTCCCATAGAGATGTGTTTGTGTGCTAAATACACATTTTTCCCCCCTACTGTTATTTTGAAAATGGAATTGGAATGCAGCCAGGCTGCATTTTTAGACATTCCATCAAACAAGCCACAGGCAAATGTCTTTGGGTGTGCCTTTCCTGTGCTTGGGGGCCTTTCCCCTAGTATCTCTAGAGGCTTGGCCCTGGGTCCTTGGGATGAGCCAGTCCCTTCTTCCTCTAGCCCTTCACCCACATCACTATTGGGGGCCTCTCTCACACTGCATCTCATCGCAGATGCTTATTTTTAAATCAAATTGACATTTTGTTTATGACTACCTCACAGGAGAGAGACTGTTCGCACTTGCACCAGTTTTGTGGAACGGGATTTGGGAGGCCTGACTCACAATGTGAACCAGGCCGCACATGCACACTCACGCTCAGGATACCTGGGGGGAGGGGTCAGCCCAAAGAGGCGGTGGTTCTCTCAAGAGCCTCTGACACTGAGGGGGAATGGTTGCTGATCCTCAGGGACCCGCATATCTGGGTAGATACGCTGCCCTGCAGACCCTGACTGATAACCCAGAGATCACTGGCAAGGGTGATTCCTATATGTGTGTAACAAGGGTGTCAGAGGACCGAGGTCAGGCAGGGGCTGTACCTCCAGGTCTAACCGGGGGCGGGGGTGGGGTGGGGTGGGGGATGGTCATAGCCCTGTGTCTATCACCTCCATGTCTCCAACACCTTCAGTTCTGAGAGCAGGCTCAGGAAATGAGCCAGAAGTCAGTGATGTGGTTCAGGGGTAAATTCTCACCTAGCATGTGGGGGGACCCTGGATTCCATTCCCAGGACTAGAGAGGGGAGCAGGAGAGACAGAGGGAGGGAAGATTTGAGAGAAATCAAGAGGTAGCCCCTCCCTCTACGAATCTGCTGGAGTTGTCCTAAGCCCTAGGATGATGCAGAAAAACAGTTCCCATGGCTGTTAATCCTAGAAGTATACAAGAAAGCCATCAGGATGAAATTAGGGTCCTGTGTTCCTGGTAATTACAGAGTGGCAAAGCTGTCTGCCTGGGGTCCCTTTGATGACACTTAAGTGCTTGGGGAGATAGCGATTTACTAACAGCGAGGCAAACAGTTTGATGTTTTAAAGACAGGACAGAATACAAGGACTACCGGGGGGGGGGGGTGTGGGATGGGGGGTGGGGGGTGGGGGGTGGGTAGGGGGTAGGGGGTAGGGGGGGTGTCCTCTCGCACTATGTTCTCAGTCTTCCCAGGCATTCCTCTGTCTCTGAGATGCCAGGGCTCTAGCACAGCCTCCTGGAACTTGGGATCTCTGCAGTGGTGCTAAAGGCAAATGTTTGCTTTTCAAGAACACCTTTAAAGCTGAAAGACCCGATTTCCGTTTTGTGCCTTTTCCAGAGCCTGTGAGGAGCCAGGGGCTGCATGGCTCAGTCTCATCCTGCTCAGCATACCATGCTACCTGCCTTGTGTGTGTGAAGAGTTACTAAGGACCCTCCCAGTCACAAGGTTGCTAAGAGACAGAGTGGACTCCATGTAGGTCTTGGGCATCTTATCACAGCCAAGTGCTTCCTTTTAAATGAACATGTCCCCCACAGCACCCCTCTTGGGTGATGGGACCACCATCTGAATGTGTGTAACCAAAGCTGTGTGGGGATGTAGGAAGGTGTGAAGTGGGTAGGTGTGTTGATGGCTGTTCAGAATAATTTATTGCCTAGAGCACATATTTATCCTTTTCTCTTTCTTCCCTTCCTTCCTTCCTTCCTTCCTTCCTTCCTTCCTTCCTTCTTTTCTGTCTTTCGAGACAGCATTTCTCTGTATATCTTTGGCTATCCTGGAACTCATTCTGTAGACTAGGCTGGCCTCAAACTCACAGAGATCCACCTGTCTCTGTCCCCCAAATGCTGGGATTAAAGGTGTGCGCCACCAAGTCTGGCTGCCTTTATCCTTTAAAGATCTGCTTGATTATTTTTTCCTTTTTTTTTTTTTTTAAGAAGCTGGACAAGTTATTTTATCAAACATGACTTAGAGGAGTGGAATGAATATGAATGTTTGGTCCTCTTAGATGGTTCATTTGGACAAACTGGAAGACGTTTCTAGAAAGTTCCATAGGCAGGGCTTTGGGATAGGTTAGAAAAAAGGTCCAGACACAACTCTATGGGCAGGCAGTGTGGCATCTGGCCCTGAAATGAAGGAGCTAGTAAACTCCAGGATGGTCTTGCATCTCCTGCCTCCCTCTCCTGAGTACTGGATTCTGCGTGTGGCGAGTTTACATGACACAGGAGTTTGAACAGGGGATTCCAGCATGGTAGGTAAGTGCTATTATCCCCAGCCTCTTCTTTTTTGTTTGTTTGTGTTTTTCAAGACAGGGTTTCTCTGTGTAACAGTACTGGCTGTCCTGGAACTCACTCGGTAGACTAGGCTGGCCTTGAATTCACTGAGGACTGCCTGCCTCTGCCTTTCAAGCATTAGGATCAAAGATGTCTGCCACCAGCACCTGGCCCCAGCCCCTCCCTCAGTCACTCTACCTTCAGTACCAAGGTTCCTCATGAGTTAGAGATACTGAAAACCCACAATTGGGCGAGTCAGGTAAGTGTAGGGGACCAGGCTCTCAGGGAGACCACTCTGGGGCAAACCCTGAGCAGGGCTGGGAAATGGTAGTGGCTGGTCCATGAATGACTTCTAGAGGCTTTCTCCAGGCCCTTTGGTCTTTATGGCACTAGTCGAGGGAGGGAGGCTGGCTATGTGATGGGTCGCCATTCATCCCTTCGCCCCATCTGGTAGCTGCCCCTACCTGTCTAGGCACTGGGCCCTTGTGCCCCTCACCTGGGAGTCGGAGATTTCCGAGGGTTTCTCTGTCAGGCTGCTGCTCTCAGCTGGGATGAGGTCATTATACTTGGTGACATCTTCATCAGAGTAGTGTAGGCTGCCTGGACTGGGCCTGGGAGGGGACCTAGGGAGAGAAGGGAGTGAGTCTGAAAGGTGGCCTCAGACAGAGAAACCCATGCTGTAGGATCCTTCATCCTAGATTCCTCCTTTCTGTGACCTCAGTGTCAGCCCAGGCCTTAGAGACAGAGGCTTGAAGGAAGAGGGGTTGGAGGGGGTGGGGGAAAGGATGCTACACTAATGTTCTTGAACATACCGGGCAAATGGTATGTGTCTGTGTGCCTGGACACACACGTGCATGCAGAGACATCACCGTGAGTGGTTCAGGTTCAGTTTGGATCTGGTTTGGTGAAAACAAAATTTTTCTCATTCCCATGGGGGCATAAGAACATGCGGGCTTCTATGTGTGTGTTCTATGAGTAGGAGAGCCAAGTGGACAAGGGGAGGTGTGGCCATGGGTGAAATGCCCTCTTGTTCCCTGGGGCAGGCCCAGGAGCCTGCTCATTGGGGCCGCGGTCGCCATGCTGGCCTCGGGTGAGTTTAACCACAGCTTCAAATGCCTCTTTCTTTGGAAGGCTGGATTGGTGAGGGCTGAGAGCCTGCCCACTCTGCCCCCAGCCTTCCCCTCCACCCACTTGGAGAAGTACACAGGGCTTATCCCTTCAAGAGGAGACAGAGAGAAGCTTTGTGAATTCCCTCAGAGAAGTTTCCCCACCTCCCCCAGCCTGCTGCCTCCAGTGAGCCGTGAATATCAATATGGCCGAGGCTGGAGATGGGAGTCCCTCTGGCTGTGGCCCCAACCTCCCTTGAGTTTCTGGAAGCATAAACCTGCCTGGATCCTATCAGAGGAGGATGGGGTGGGCCCCAGGAGCGTCCCCGGCCCTTGTAAGTAGGTAGGCTGCCTGATGGCTACGGGGAAGAATATCCAGGAGAGACTGGAGTCATAAGGAAGTCAGGAATGAGAGTTGGGTCCCACCAATTCCTCTACTTTTTCCATTGCTTTGAGCTTTCGAGAAAGGGTCCCATGTAATGTCAGCTGCTTCAAACTTTATGGAATTGACCGGCGACTTTCAAGTCCTGCTCCCTGTGGCTCTGCCTCCCAAGCACCTGCACAAATATGTGCCACCACGTCTAGTTCTCACAGCACAGGGAAACCAAAGCCAGGGCTTCAGCGTGGCAGGCAAGGTCTCGGCCAGTTAAGCTAGACCCCAAGACCTTTCCATGCTCACTGCTCCCAGAGGCTGAAAGGCCGTGGCAGGGCGACATTTTCAGAGGTAAGTCAAGCCCAGGGAAGAAGGTTTTCACTCTCCCTTTGCCAAGGAAGCCTCTCTCTGGGTGCATTGGCTGGGTCCAGCTCACCTCTGGGGTGTGTGGCCATCTCTAAAGCACAACTGACTCCAAACCACCACAGATTGGTTTCCACGATGCTGTTTGTTTCTGCAGCCATCAGCAGAAACTCTCAGTACCCACCTCCTCGTGGATTTTCTAACATTCCCTAAGCCGTAGCTGGGTTTGGTGGGACTAACACAGACTCCTGGGCGTCCTACTTGGGTCCTTCATGACCTTCTGTTGACCCCTGCTGGGACTGCTGGTCTCTGGGGCATGGCCCTCAAGTCTCTGTTCTCTGCCCCCAAAAGCACAGACAGTACCTGGTGTACAAGCCATTCTTCCTGCAGAAAGAGTTCTTTACAGACAGCCGTCGGTTGTTGAGCTCCAGAGCAGGAAAACTGCTTTCATCCAAGCTCAGCATCTCCCCATGGCCAAGGGCTCCTGACTTGGTATTGCCTCCTGCGGGCGAGGGGAGGGGGATTTGGTATGTAACAGACCATATGGCCATTCCTTTCTATCCAGCCTCTCACTTAGCCCAGATGCTCCTTTTTCAAGACTCAGATTAGGGCTTGAGGTTGTGCGGAGGAATTCCTGGCCACCCCACCTGAGAAGGTGCATCTGCAGGAAAGAGACCCTACCCACCACCCCCAATGGAAAGGAAACCCTCCAGAGTCAGGCCTGCCATTATGCTGTGCATGCTCGCTCACCCGCGTCTGTTTTCTTGGAGTACTTCTTGCTCTGACCTCGGATGATGAGTACGAAGACCAGAAGCAGGATAAAGATGAGGCCCACGAGGGCAATGACCACCAAGAACCACCATTCCTCATAGAAGGGGCTGGCTTTCTGGGCTGCAACGGGGTGCCGTGTCAGGACCAGGGAACTCAATACCCTCCTGCCACAAACTTCCCTATTCCATCTGGGGTTCCACCAACTGCTTATGGGTATTGTGGGTAGGTGGGACCTATGCACTCTAAAAATTCTAGCCTTGATCTGTAGGCAAAGGTTTGCCAGGTCGACTGTTTTGAGAAAAGTTTTATGGTTTAATCGATTAAGAATCCCCTGGATTTATTAAGAAATAATGCTGGGATTCATTAATGATATCTGCCTGGGGATCAAGAAGGGGGAGGAGTAGTATGTCAGCTGCTTTTGTTTTTTACTCTCTTCCCTGGGGGGGGGCTTTGATAAATAGATTTTAATTTTAATGGGGAAGGATGCTTCTCTGTCTTTAGGAAATCTGGGAGAATTCTCCTCAAAATTGTAGTAATTTTTTTTTTTTAAAACTAATGGCAGAAAGCCAGGAAAGTTGGTAGAGAGATCATGTATGGGTTTTTTAAATGTCTCTACCAGGTAGGGCTCACATTCTATCAAAGCCCCCCAGTACTTGGCTTCTTGCACCCAGAAAGTCCTAATCTATATTACTTCTAATGAGGGGATGGTTCTATTCTTGTCTCAGACTCTTTGTTTTCTATAATTTGGTGCTGTCCACCTGGGCACAGGAGTAGGATGTGGGAGGAAAGAGCAGCTGGGTTGCTAATACCCAAGCAGAGTGCAGGTTCGATTTGAGCTGAATTTCTCCTTCATACTCAAAGTGGCCAGTGACTGACCAGAGTCGTAGGCATAGGCCTGCGTGAGCACAGAGAGCTGGATGGAAAGGATGAAAGGAAGGGGGAGGGAGGCAGCGGACGTGGCCCACCTGCGTGCCACTCAGTGAGGTCTTGAGGGCACTAGGGTAGCCCATGGCCTGCCTGGGTGCTGTCTTTTGGGAATAGGGTGAGATGGATTCTGTGGAAATAGTTTATGGCCTGACTGGTATGTTCCCTTGGAGCTGTGAACTGATGTAGGCTTGGGACCCAGAGTTCACAATTAGAGGGGTCGAGGCACAATGGTGCTTCTGCTGCCCAGTGTCTGACTTCTTCCCCCACCGTCAAGCATGCCATCAGGCTCTGATCTGTCACCCTGCAGGCTGGTACCTGGCACAGACTGAGAGGGGCTGCTGGGAGTGCCAAAGCCGTAGTCATTGACTGCGATGACCCGGAAATCGTAGCTCACTCCTGGCTTCAGGATGTCCATGCTGAAGGTGTAGGAAGTTACCTCCTTGGGGATGTCCTTGATGAGGATGTCCCAGAGCCCCTCATCTGTAGGATCATACAGAGGAGGTGCTGTGAGGCAAAGGAGCCTCAGCCCCCATCTCATCTGATTCAAGTGGCACCTCCCTGAGGGCGGGTCCAATCTGGTCAGTGGCTCGACACTGCGCCTGACCTGGCTCTTAGGAAGGCCTTGTGGAAGTCTTAGAGATAGATACTTTCTGGAAGGGGGTACCTCTTAATCTTTTCTTTAAAGCTAAAACATCTGTAAAACATTTTAAAATGTACTGTGCAATAACCTGTCTAATAACCAAACCAATACAGGATGAGCACCCTAATCTGAGAACCCGAACTCTGAAATCGACATGCCTATGATCTCGATCTTATCACTCTGGAGGTCAAGGAAAGAGGATTCCAAGTTTGGGGCCAGTCTGGGCTGCATACTGATATCTAAATGAATAAGACATGAAATGCCAAGTGCTCCCAGACAGAAACATCTTGAGACCTGTAACAGCTCAAGAGGGAAAACCATACACCATAAAACTTTACACACAAAACATTAAAATATTGTGTACAATTAACTTTAGGCTAGGTGTATAAGGTTATCACATAAGGAAATTTATGTTTAGAAGTAGGTGCGTGTGTGTGTGTGTGTGTGTGTGTGTGTGTGTGTGTGTGTGTGTGCGCGCGGGCATGAACGTGTGGAAGCCATGTCTGGGTTTATCACTCTCATCCCTTCTTTTGAGACAGTGTCTGTCATTAAATCTTGAGCTCCGCAATCAGCTAGATTGACTGGACACAGACCATGGGGGTCCCTGCCTGCTTCCATCTCCCTGTATTGGGGTTATGAATTCATGCTCAGCTTCTCCATGGGTGCTGGGGATCCAAATCAGGTCCTCAGGAGGGGACAGCAAGCGCTTGGCCTACCCAGCTATCTTCCTCACTTCACCATTGGTATTTCTGAGTATCTACTTAGTAATTACCTACAGTGTTTTAATTTTAATTCTTGTAGCCCAAGCTGACTTGCACTTACAACCCCCTCGCCTCAGCCTCCTTCCTTGTGCATCAGTGACCCGATGGTCTCTTTGTTTACTCTCCCAGCTCTCTTCCCACTTCCAGGCTATGAAACCCTCAAGGGCAGGGTCATGCCTGACTCATCTTTGTTTCTTTATAAATTGACACTTAGCGCAGACGCCTTCCCAGTGTGTGTTAAATCAAGGAACAAAAACCTTCCTTCCCCTGGGTTTTTCATTGTATCATGTAGCTCAATGCATAGTCCAACGCTTCCTTCCTTGAGCTCTATTGGGGTTCAGATCCTCATGTGACCACTGTTAACAATGAAGACCCCCCCAAACCCCTGAGCTGACACTCCTGTGTCACACAACCCAACTGGAGGGGCGTTTTACTTTTCAAGCCAACAGCAATGGCAGGAGGTAGGAACTGCTGCTCCCATTCGACAGATAAGACAATCAAGGCTCAGAGAGCTTAACTAACCTTCCCGAGGTCACACTGCTGCGGGTAGCAGTCTGGCATTTTCTACTGAGTTACCTCACTCCTGGCATTGAGTGTCTGCCTGGTGCCCAGGAAAGTGCTGGGTGTAACTGGTGTTTGCTAATAGCTTATGGAGAATCCTGCTGCTGCCTTCTGGAAGCTGAGGCTGCCTGCTGTTTGTACTCACACTCCCCGTCCATTGGTCCATTGCACGTCCCCCCCCATAAACAAAGGATGGGGTCTGGGCAGTGAGACCAAGCCAGAAGCTGCCAGCATATCTATCCCTCAGTGGCCTTCAGCCCCAGAGCCAGCAGATGTGGGGGCCAGTTCACAGGCCCTTCTGTCTCAAGCTCTGCAATGCCTGACAGCCCTCTGGCTTGAAGAAATCAGGGCATTTAGCTTTGTAGCTATGTAGAATGAAGCACAGCAGCAAGGCCATGGTGGCACATGTCTTTAAGGTCAACGCTCAGGAGGCAGAGGCAGGTGGATCTCTGTGAGTTCGAGGCCAGCCCCTTCTACAGAGTGAGTTCTAGGACAGCTAGGGCTTCACAGAGAAACCCTGTCTCAAAATAAATAAATAAATAAAATTAAAAAAAAAAAAAAAAGAAGCACAGCAACACAGGGGTATTTTTTTTTTAAACCTCGGGGCTGTTTCATTGTGGAGAGCTTGGAGGGAGGATAAAAGAGGGGGTGGACCGCCCAGAGGAGGGGGGACACCCTCAACAGCTTTAGGGGTTGTCCTAGCAGCTTCCTGGCTCACTCCCCCCTCTTTCCCACCATCCTGCCCTCCCTGGAGCTGCTGGCTGTGGCCCTTCTTGGCTTATCATTGAGAGCTGGCTCAGTCTCTCTTCCATTCCATCAGTGTGCACCAAGTCACAGCCCTCTAACTTGGAAGGGCAGTGGCTCATGCTGGGCTTCCCAGGGAACACAGGCTGAGGTCCAGGGCTGACATTCCACAGCCTGGCACCAGGGCGGTCAACTTGGATAGAATAAGGACCTGGTGAGGAGATGCACATGGACAACTCAAGAGCTCACACTGGAGGTCCAGGGAGGGACCATCTGGAGTTGGGAGAGAGCCAGCACCACCTGCAGCTGGGTGATGGTGGATCTGGGCTCTCTAGATACTTAGTTACTCGGGCTATGATGGTTAGTGAAAGATAAGGACAAGGCTGGGTGGCGGCAGAGAGGGCAGGGCGGCTTCCAGGACCTCCCAGAATAATTATCTCTTTGTTATTGGGGTGATGAGCACTCAGCCACCCTGAGGAGTATACAGCCTGTTGTGGGGATGGTTCAATTCTTCATAAGAAGTGTGATGGGGAAATGGCTCAGACAGCCAACTGCTCGGAGTTCGAGCCCTAGAACCCAGGTTTTTTTTTTTTTTTAATAATTTACTTAATTTTATTTTATGTGCTTTGGTGTGAAGGTGTCAGATCTCTTGGAACTGGATTTATAGACAGCTGTGAGCTGCCATGTGGTGCTGGGAATTGAACCAGGGTCCTCTGGAAGAGCAACCAGTGCTCTTAACCCCTGAGCCATCTCTCCAGCCCCAGAACCCAGGTTTTTAATCTTATAATTTTTTAAAAGCTGGACATGGGCACGGTGGTGAGCATTTGGGATCTCAAGGCTTGGAGAGACAGACAGGAGACTCTCTGGGGCTCACTGGCCAGCCAGACTAGCTTCAGTGAGAGACCCTGCCTCATAAAACAAGGTGGATAGTGCCTGAGGAATTCCACTGGAGGCGGACCTCAGGTCTCCAAGGACATCTGTCCCCACACCAACATGCACACAATATGTACATACGTGTGCGTGCACATCATGTGCGTGCATGCCCATCAACTACTGATAGGCTCTCCGACCTCTGACTGTACTTCTCATTTGGGGAGCAAAGACTTATCTAACTTCTATTACTAGGTACAGACCCTCTGAATACAAAGAGCAAGCCGGCAGCTCTTGGCTGACTTGGGTTTCTCTGGTTAGCTTGGAAACCTAGCAACAGGAGGAGCTGGAGCCTGCGGAGTAACCTAACGGAGCTGGAGCCCTGGAAGCCAGTGAAGCAGGAGCAGCCCCCTCAGGAGTGACTTATCAGCTGCTCTTGTCCTGACGGCTTTGGAAGTTCTTGTGATTTGATGTCAGGCTTAACAGGAGATGTTGGGAGGGTGACAGAGCTAGTCACAAGTAGGTCATGGGTATTTAACCAGCCAGAGGCTCTCCTAGTTTCTGTGTTTGTGTGTGCATGGGTGTGCTCACTTGTGCACAGAGGTCAGAGGTGGATGTTGAGTGTCTTGGTTAATTGCCCGCTACCGCATCTCACTATTTCTAGTTTTGCTGAAACCAGAGTTTGCCATTTCTGCTAAGTAGACTCTAAGGACCCTCTCACTTCTTATTTTCATTTAACCAGTGCTGGAATTATAGGTGCGCACCACCATGTATGGCTTTTTTTTTTTTTTTTTTTTTTGAGACAGAATTTTAGTGTATAGCCCTGGCTGTCCAGGACCTCACCTTGTAGATCAGGCTGGCCTCGAACTCACAGAGATCCGCTTGCCTCTGCCTCCCGCATGCTAGTTAAAGGAGTGTGACACCAGCGCCCAGCTATGTATGCCTTTTTTATGTGTGTGGGATCTGAACTCACCCTCATGCCTGCACACTTGACTGATGAAGCCATTTCCCCAGTCCCTCCTCTGGCTTCTTGAACAATCTTCAAGCTTAGTTGGTCTGTACCAGGTGCTAGGAACCGTTCTTTGGGGGCCTCCTAGGAATTCCCTAAGCAAGAATCCAGCTCTAAGGAGAAACCCCTACCTTCTACTCCCCCAAAGGACCACCTCCTGCTTCACTTGCAAGAGCACATGTACCTTCATGGATGGAGGACAGACACAAGTCCAAGGGTTAAGGACTTGGGGGGAGGACAGGAAGTGGACCATGGAGGGAAGACAGCCCAGCCCGGGCCCGCATACCTGAAGGCCTGGCCTCTATTACATAGCGTGTGATGGGTCCTTTACCCGGATCTCCACTGGACCAATGGATGGCAATGGCTGAGCTGTACCGAACAATGATTGGCACTCCCGGTGGTCCTGGGGCACCTGCAAATATCCCACAGTGGGTAAGGGCATCGGTGGAGCCAAGAATGGCTACTCTTTCCAACAACCTGAGCTAGTGGTAGGGGCCAGACAACCAGATCAACTGTAATCAGAGAGCCTCCAGGACTCCTGCAAATACTAGGTCTGGAGAGTATATCTCAGGCCAGGTCTGCTGGGGTGTGTCTACTGTCTCTTCCAGTTTCTCCACAGCCCACATTCTGAATCTCAGGGCAGGGTGGAGTGCAGGTGATCATCCTGGGAGTCAGAGGGCTAAGGCATGTAAGTCTAGCCAGAACTTATTATGTGATCCATTCATGGAGTCCTTCAGGGGTACCTCAATTTACCCACCCACAAGGGCCTTATGGAAGAAAATCCTGAAGGGAAATACCATGGTGGGCAGCAGAAATGAATGGACTGATGGTGGACACACCCAGGGATGAAGGGCTGGCTGGGGAGGCAGGCTGTGTTGACACTGGGCCTGGTATCTGTCTATACAGCATCCCAAACACCTCACAGGGAGCATGCTAGTATAAACTTGGTACCTGCCAGGTGATTCCTGCCAGGTGTGGTCCCCACCAAGCCTGTTTCCCACTAGACATGTAGTTCACCATCCCTAAAGCCTAGCACACAGTAGGTGCTTTCCTGTGCACAGAGCACCAGGAGTTGAGGCAGCACTGTGTGCATGAGTTCATGCCTGGTGGGAAGAGAATGAGTCCAGCATCTGACTGAAGCCCCCTGGGGACCTGGAGAGCTGTTCAACTCAGCCAGGAGGCCACAGAGCCCTCACACAGTTGGACAGCCCATTGCCAGGCCCCCGTATCTGGTCCTGGTGGCAGTTTTGGAGGGTCTCATTTTCCTCCTTCATCCCTTCTCTAAGGGCCTGCAGCCCACGGAGGGAAGACATGACTTGGAGTGGGGTTCAGGCTGCGGTGGCCTTCAGAGCCCTTGCTTTTCACTGTGTATAGGACAGGGCTCAGGGTTGAGGGAAGGGTGGCTTTTCTGCTAAACCAAGGGCAGCTGGCCTGGCCGTTGTCCCTTGCAGACCTCTTCTCACCCATACCAGCTGGGTAAGGTTTGTTTTCTTTCTCGGGGCCTCTATCCCTTCTCATATCTTCCCTATGCTGGGCCACCAACTCCAAGAGGGAACTCTTTAAACCCTGAGGGGGTTGTGCTCAGGTACTGAGAGGCCTTCTCTTGATCGGTCAGCTTCTCTTCCTGCTTTTATGTCCCAGGAAGCCTCAGGTGAGGAGCAGAGCTGGGCAGTTGGGACTGCAGAACCCTTCCTCCCTGAACGAGACATGGGGAGTAGAACACAACAGGGCCACCAAAGGCTGGCAAGCCGCTCGCAGGTGGACAGCAAGAGGACACGGGCTCTTCAGCCTCCTTCTTCCAGGGCCCAGACTCACCTGGCCTCTGGAGAAAGATCACTGTCTGCTGGGGCCGTGGGGTGGGGGATGGGGGGTGGGGGGAGGTGGTGGTGGGGAAGGAGGTGTCTTTCTGGTGGCCTTCTGAAGGAAGTGGGCATGCAGGATGCTTCCTCAAGAGAGGGGCGGGGACAGGAGGGTTTTTTTTTTTGGGGGGGGGGAGGCAGTTTCCATGTTCAGAATGGGAAAATCTGAACCCAGGACCGGGCCTGTGGAGAAGAAACCCTGACTGCCCCAGGGTTCTGGGTGGAAGGTGGGAAGTGACAAAGGTCAGAGGCAGGAGAAGGGACGATTAGGGAAGGAGCCCAGGGTTGGGCACTGGCATGGAAGTACAAAGTGTGTAAAAGCACCTGGGAAAGGGGGTCTTGGGGGAAGTCAGGTCCGATTGTGAGGAGGCTGCCCACCCATCAGAGAGTTACTGGATGGGAGTTCTTGTGATCAGAGCTGACGGCTGTATCTCATGGAAATCAGGACCTCTGTCCTCCCAGGGAGCAAGAGCTGAGGGAGATTCTTCTGCACCCTGCTCTGGGAGCCACTGCTGGGGTGGGGGGAGGGGGAGGCATGGGGAGGTGGTTCTGGCCAGCCTGGAGGCTTGGACCCCTGCCAGGCTGCATCCTGCCTGGACAGAGGTGACAGAGGCTGAGGTGACAGAGGCTGAGGGTTAGAGAGGAAGGAAAGGAGGGACACACGGAAAGCAGTGTGTGTGTGTGTGTGTGTGTGTGTGTGTGTGTGTGTAGTGGCTCACTCTTGTCAACCCAGCGCTTGGGCAACCAAGGCAAGAGGACCCTAAGTACCAGGCTAACCTGGGCTCTGTAGCAAGGCAGACTCTGTGACAGCCTGGGCTGTGTGTACCGGCCTGCATGATGAGAGGGTCTGGGTCACTCCAGGCTTGGGGCTGGAATAGCCTGAGGACTTTAGATGCTAAGAACCAAGCCCTGGATGGGGGAGGAGAGAGAACTGAGAGAAGGAGGGAGAGGGAAGAGGAGTCAGGGGAAGGGAGAAAGAGGGAGGGAGGGAGGAGAGAGGGAGGGGCCTTGGGCAGGTGATGGAAGAGTAGCTGTGTGTTTCTCACTATCTTCTAGCCCTGGAGTCCCCTCCTATTTAGAGGGCTGAGGGCATGGTGCACAGCGCAGTGTGGCATCTCTCCTACCTTCTCCAGGGCCTGTGGTGATGTTGGCTTCAATCTCAGGCCCATAGGTGAAGGTCTTGGCTTTGATGCGGAAGCGATAGGTCATGCCCTCCGCCAGGTCCTTCACCTTCAGCCACAGTGGGCTATTCCCCTTCACATCCACTGTCACAATCTTGCTGACCCCTGTGGGGAGGGACTGTGAGTAGGGGCTGCAGTAGCTGGTGGGAACAGGGCCACCAAGGCCACTGGCAGCTATTGGGAAGAGGTGACAGTTGTGGCTTCTATCCCTTGAAATCAGCTGAGCTGCCACTCAAGCCCACATGTTGTCAATGCTGTCAGGGGCATGGCTCTGTAAATGAGCTCAGGAAAAGAGGGCTCCATGGTTTATGTACCAGGAGGAAAGCTATGTCCTGCCTGCCCAACCCAGAACAGCCACAAAGTCTCCATCCTGTCTCACTTCTATGCCCCACATCAGCCCACCCCAGCCCACCACAACATCCCATAGAACCTGAAATCCAGGCACCCTTTGTTGGGAAGTTCTGTGATGATGCCCTTAGAAGTGGAGCTGGGTCCCAGCTCCACCCCTCTGTTCCTCTTTTCTCTTGGCCAATGAGATCCTAGGGAGCCCCATCATCAGGACCGCTTGGCTTTTAGGGTAAAGTAGGGATGCTTCTGCATCTCAGGTCACAGCAGCCAGGGGCAGGATGGAGACTTTTACAGGCTGGTACCATGTGCTCTGGGTGTCCCAATCCCAAGTCTCCCTGACAGTCAGGACTGGGATTCACTGTGTAAGGTGTCACCACACACAGGGACAGGCTTTGCACCCTTGAGTTGGCCCTGTTGCATTCAGACACATCTCCAGCCGGCTTCAGTTTATTTTTCCACCAAGCCAGGGTGTCAGGAGCATCCCCAATAATGGAGTTTCACATACTGGGAAACAGCACTGAACACATAGTAGGTACATTAATTTTTTTTTTTAATCTTACATGTATGGGTGTTTTGCCTGCATATATGTCTGCATATACCACTTGCATGCTGGGTGCCTGAGGAGGCCGAAAGAGGGCACTGAATTCCCTGAAACGAGTTACAGATGGTTGTGAGCTACCATGTAGTTGCTTGGAACTGGTCCTCTGAAACAGAAGGCAGTACCCTAAGCTTCTAAGCTATAACTCTAGGCCCCATTTTATCTGTCTTTCTATCGACCTATGTATCTATTCATCCATCTTCCATTTATCATCTATCTGTCTATCTATCTATCTATCTATCTATCTATCTATCTTCTGTCATTTATCTATCCATGTATCAATCATCTATCATATATCTGTCTGTCTGTCTATCTATCCATCCATCTTTCATCTATTTGTCTATCTATCATCTATCTATCTATCTATCTATCTATCTATCTATCTATCTATCATCTTTCATCTACCTATCATCTATCTATCCATCCATTTTTCATCTATCTATCTATCTATCTACCTACCTACCTACCCACCTACCTACCTACCTATCTACCTATTTATCATCCATCCATCCATCCGTCTGTCTAATTTTTCGAGACAGGGTTTCACTGTATAGTCTTGGCTAGACTGAAACTCACTTTGTAGACCAGGCTGGCCTTGAACTCACAGAGCTCCGCCTGCCTCTGCCTCCTGAGTGTGCCGCCACGTCCAGGCTGGCCCTATCTATTTTTGAGACCATGTCTCTAGTAGTTCAGACTGGTTTCACACTTGCTATATAGTTAAGGATGACCCTGAACTCCCGATCTTGCTGCCTCCACCTCCTGAGTGCTGGAATTATAGGCACGAGCCACCATGGCTGACCTACGTGGTGCTGAACATGGAACCAGGGCTTTACACACGCCAGGCACTCACTCTGCCAATGGAGCCGCACCTCTGACCCCTATTTATTTACTGAACAAGGGCTTTAGACACTACTGAGCAGACCCTTACTGGGCTAGACCTTGGTTTTCTCTATCAGAAAATGGGATGCTGCTGACTTACTCCAGAGCTGGGGTACATACATGCTAGATGGTGCCCCTTACTTACTATCTAGGCATTACACGGAAGGTAGGAACCTATAGGGACATGGAGTTTAGCCAGGTGGTCGGACTCTGATGGAATAAAAATCACAAGAGGCCAAGCACTCTGCTTCTCAGTGGGAGGTCCCCAAATAGGCCAGGAAGAAGCCAGGGAGACAGGAGCCTGAGTTCCCTGCACTTTGTCTTCTTGACCTAGGCCTTAGCCCTGCTCCTGACTGCGTGTCTGCCCAGGACCTGCTTCCTCCTTGATCCCGACAGCTCGGTTCTGCAGGACGGGTGGCCGGCGCCCAGGTGGCAGCAAGAAAGACTGAGGGCCATTGTTCCTGCCACTGACCCAGAACCAGAGCTGCCCAATGTCCCCAGGCTCCACCCCTTGTCAGGCTCCAGTGCTGGGAGGAGTGTGGGGGGGGGTGAGAGTGGGGCGCGGGGGAGGGGAGGTGACCACAGAAGCGGCCACTTCCTGCTAGGAGGGTGTCACTTCCAGGGCAGTCACACCCCTGTGCCTTGCTGTAAGTAGACCCCGGCACTGAGGACCTAGTCCCCTTCTCTCTTGTAAGTCCCTTGTTCTAAGGTAGCTGCGGGCGATAAAACAGTGACTTCTGCTCATCCCTGCCTCATTCCCACCAGTTGGCACTGAGCTATACTGTGTGAGAAAGCTGGCAGGCGCCGGATGTCAACTGTCAGGGCTGTCAGTCCAACCCCTCCTGAGAGCCCCGAAGTGGAGCAGGGTTTCGTTTGGGGCCTGGGAAGGGTAGTGCCTGAGAGGGAGGTTTGAAGAAGGCCTGGGCTAGGACAGCCACGTGCAGAGCAGAGATGGCCTGACTGTTCACTCTCACACGTCCACCCGCCTGGGGAAGCTCCCCAGGCTTTGATTAGACTTCTAAAGGGGTCTCTGACCCTCCAAAGGGTCAGCTGAGATCGCTGAGCTTTGGAAGGGGGCCAGGACAGCATGAGAATATCAGAGGACTTTTCCTCGGGGTCCTGTCCCATCTTGGGACAACTATGTTTTGTCTGAATTCCCTTCCTGTCTTCCTGATTCAGTTTATGGATCAGAGAGACTGTGTTAAATGTCCCCTCCCCGCACAGGAGATGCTGCCTTATGTTGCTGTTTCGACTTTGCCCTCAGATGCTTTTTTGTCTCCGAAACACCCCTTCCCTGGGGTGAAAAGCCTCAGCCTTCCCATTTATAAGATGGAAGACTCTCGCCACATAACCTGATCTCTGGGTACAAATCAGCCTTTGATAGCGCAGAGTTTGGGCCATGTGGAAGGTTCCACTCACCATCCACGGGGGTGCAGGGCTCATACACCAGCCTGTAGCCCTCCAGGGGACCATTGGGGAACTGTGGGGCTTCCCAGGACACATTCACCGAGGTTGTGGTCAGCTCGCTGAACTTGACCGAGCCTGGGGCGCTGGGGGCTGTGGAGAGACAGCAAAGGGTTTGTGTTTTTCTCTTTCTGTGGAAGTTCAACGCCTCAGGTTGGGCTCCAAGCAACTAGCAGGAGAGTTTGGGTCTGTTCCCAGAAAGAGGAGAGTGAGGCTAGGCACAAAAAGAAGGCAGGAAGGGTCACTTGAGGCCCTCGAACCCTCGGCCCTCCTCCGCGGTCGTCATTAGCACTCAGTTGTCCAGTGTTAGAGGATCAGAGGCCCGGGCATGGGAGAAGAGCCCTCCTCGAATCTGGACTCTCTCCTATGTGGCTCTGAGCCCTGGCTGGGAGCATGGGAGCAGCCACTTCATCCCCAAGGGTCACTGTGGGGCACCATGGGTGTGTCTTTCAGCTCTCCTGCTAGAGAAGGTGGGGTGCCTCTGCCTCAGAATACAGAGTGGGTGCTAAACAAGATGTCAGAACTCCGGAGACATGGCCTTCCTTTCATCCCTGGGCTGCAAGGCTTGTTAGAGAGACGCCATGCTGTCAGGAGGAGACAGGCCAAGGACAGCCAGATCCTCTGGAAGAGATGTTTTCTTGTACTGAGCCCCTGGGGTCAACTCTGAAAACATAGAGACAGGAATCTTCCCTCGCAGCACCCCGAGCTGGCTGGTCGGGTGGATGGCCAGGCTATCATTGCCCAGTGCTGCCTCCCACCAAGCCAGAACTAATCTCGACAGCTTCCGGCTCAGTCTTTGAAGGAGGGAGGTGAACTCAGGGCCCTTCCTGCCTCCCATCCCCCCCCCCACACACTTGGGGGTAGAAGGACGCGGGACAGGACATTCTGTCCTACTGCTACAGGGCCGGAAGCTTCTAGGCTCCCAGGGGGCTCATGTCTGACCAGTGACACTTATGGAACATCATGGAGATGGGCAGGCAGACAGATGGAGGCTAGCACACCCAAGTTCCGGGGGGTGGGATGGGGGTGGGGAGGGAAAGGCTCCTCTGGAGCGGGGGGGGGGGTGGGGGGGTGAGGGGAGGGAAAGGCTCCTCTGGAGCGGGGATGGGGGTGGGGAGAATTGTCCCAGAGAGGATCCTGGTTAGGAACTGTCTCTGATAGCTTGCCGTATATAACGTGGTGTCACTTTGGCACATAAGCTATAGACATTCTTCTGTGTGCCCCTCCTGAGGGGCCAGGGCATTTCTGAGGGGCCAGGGCATTTCTGAGGGGCCAGGGCATTTCTGAGGGGCCAGGGCATTTCTGAGGGGCCAGGGCCCTCCTGAGGGGCCAGGGCATTTCTGAGGGGCCAGGGCCCTCCTGAGGGGCCAGGGCATTTCTGAGGTTAGGCAAGCGCTGTACCACTGAGGTCCCCTCTAGCCCTTCCATGTACTCTAACTCATCTCTAGGATTCTTATGATTCAATGATAGTGTACATTGGATATGTTTACCAATGGTGCAGCACAATATTGCTAAGTAGTTGGCATGTGGTGTTGTCTGTACATGTTTAGTATAAACACAGTGTTTGTTTGTTTATTGGAGACATTCTCGTGTAGCTCAGGGTGGCCTTGAACTTGCTGAAGGTGACTCTGATCATACTTATTCTAAAGATTTGTTTTTATTTTCACTTATGTGTATATGCGTCTGTATGTCCGTCATATGAGCACAGGTGCCCAGACAGGTCAGGAAAAGGCGTCAGAGCCCCTGGAATTGAGGGTATCAGGTGTTGTGAGACACCTGGATGTGGGTGCTGGGAACTGAACTCTGCCTTCTGGAAGGGCAGTTCGTGCTCTTAACTGCTGAGCCATTTCTGCAGCCCTGAGATCTTGACCCTCCTGGCTTCATTTCCAAGTGCTCGGGTTACAGGTCTGTGCCACCATAGCAGGCGGAAGCAATTTGGGGGATCTTTTTCCCCTTTCTTGGTTAGTTGAATCTACTAGTAACGAATTCATAGATTTGGAGTCTGCTCAACTCTACATTGGAAACAAATGAACAACAAACAAAAACAAACAAACAGACACAAACTTCCGGAATTCCTTTGGATGTCCTTGGTTCTAGCACCTGTCCCTTCCCCCCATGACTTACCAGGGGATCCTGAGCCAAAAGCCCATTTTCTGGGGTGACGCTTGCTGCTTGTGAAAAAGAAGTGACACTGCTCTGCTCACCCCTGGGACTTGTGGGGGCCCCAGTGTGACACCAAGCAAAAGTGCATTTGATACCCCAGGACAAGAGGATCTGCACACTCTCTCCTTCCTCTGCCCTGTCCTGTGTCTAGTGCCCCCCCCGCCCCGCGCTGCCTCTCTCCTCTCCCACCTGTCTCTCAGAGCCAGTTTTTTCCAAACACAGAAAGATGCAATTCTCAACAGCTCAAACCTTCCTGCGTCATCCTATTCCCTTAATACAAATCCCTGTCCTCCAGGCCCCTGGGGGCTCACCTCACTTCCTCGTCAGCACCCAGTTCTGTCCCTCTAATTCCCTCTGCACCTGCTGCTCCTTCTGACAGGAACCCGGCTTCCTGCTCTGTCTGGAGAACTTCCCATGGCAGGGTCTCCTCTCATTCGGATCTCAGTTCAGAGGTAGCCATCTTGGCCAGGCCTTTGTGGGCCGGCTGTCCAAAGCTCCCATACCCTGGTCCCCTTAGACCACCTGTCCTCACCACCGCCTCAGGCCGCTCATCTGCGCTGCTTTAGGACCCGTGGTCCTCAGACTTATCTATGTACTTGTTTTTCTTATTGTTGCATCACTAGGATGAAGCACAAGTGTGGGCTCATAGAAGATCATTAACATCAGCGGTGGGATGAACAAAGGGCAAGGAGACAAAGGAAGGAGGAGGAAGCCAGGTAGGGGCTGGGAGCGGAGGCTTCCCAGGTGGGTAGGACAGGCTAGGTGAGATCTGGGGGCTTTCTCAAGGTTTGTGGTGAGAGTTTCTTTTCCTTCCTTCCTTCCTTCCTTCCTTCCTTCTTTCTTTCCTTCTTACCTTCCTTCCTTTTAAAAGTTTTATTTATTTATTTGCTTATTTATTTTTAAAGGTTTATTTCCTACGTCTACATTGTTCTTCCTGCATGTATCCCTGCAGGCCAGAAGAGGGCACCAGATCTCATTATGGATATAGTTGTGAGCCACCGTGTGGGTGCTGATAATTGAACTCAGGACCTCTGGAAGAGCAGCTGGTGCCATCTCATTAGCCCGGAGAGGTTTTTTTTTTTTTTTTTTTTTTTTTGGACACAATACCTAGAGTCTTGTTGGCAGGCTGGGCTCTGTCTCTGTGTCTGGAAGTGGGACTGAACCCAGTTTTTGGGCTGCACGAGGCAGCCTTGGACCAGGTGTGGTCCTGTTGTCCCCACAAACAGACCTCCCCAAGACTCCTCCCTACCTGCTTGCTGAGTCTGGCCTTGGGTAGGGGTGCTCCGCGGCCCATCCCCAGCAGCATTGAAGGCCGCTATGCTGACCATGTAGGCTGTGTAGCCAGTCAGGTTCTTGAGTTTCACACTGTTCTCAGCCAGGAAAAGTGTCTTCACCCTCTCCGTGAGGTTCCTCCGCTGGACTTCCCAGAAATAAATCTGTGGGGACCAATGATTGTGGGATGAAGACTTTAGGTTTCCCCTCTGCCTCTGCCCATCTCAGGGTTCAACACCATCTTTTCTTTCAACCAGGAAGGAGCTAAGAGCTCTTTGAGGAAGGTTCCAGAACTCTCCTTTTAATAACCAATACCTACGCTTGGTTAGACCATAAACTGTGTATCCTGGGTCACTATGGTTGGTATCTGTAGCACGTGACACAGACATGTCAACATTAGAATAGGAATCTGCCCCTCAGGAGCCTGAGCTGGAGAGGTGGAGGGCAAACATGAACTGTGCTCCAGATGTCCACACAGGTCCCTGGGAATGGCAGGGACTGGTGAGGAACAGAGACCTCTGCCCCACCTGCCACATTAGGAGTTGCAGCCTACTAAGACAGCTGATGTTGCGCGCGCGCGTGCACACACACACACACACACACACACACACACACACCGCACACACACCACACACACACTACAGACATGTAGTGGATGTGTACAATCCAGTTATGACACATGTGCATATGCCGATTTGCAGTGTCCACTGCAGGGGATGGCTGGACTAAGATGATGTTTGGTCGGTGGTTGAATTCCGATGGCACCATTGCTAGCCATGTGACTTGGTCAGCCATGATTTCTCTCAGCTACAGAAGGGCTAAGGACACTCACTTTCCAGTGTGACTGTGAGAGCTGCAGGCCATAAGGACGGAAGAAGAGGGAGCAGTGCTTCTCCCGGGATGGGGGGTTGGGGGCTGAGGGTGCGGTGGGTACGGTGGGTGCAGCTGGTCAGCTTTTAAAGGTATTGCATGCTTGTGGAAGATTTTGGGTCCTTGACGCAGCAGGAGCATCCTATGGAGCCTGCAGACATTCTGTAATCAGCGGGGCTAGTGCTTTTAAACACACAGAGAAGATTCTCAAACTACATTAGAAATGTCAAGCTGGGTCCCTCCATAAAGGCTGGAGTCCCAAACCTTGCACAAGATTGGAGATCATTTGGCGCCACCTGCTGGCCAAAGAGGTTTCCGTACGCTATTGGCTTTCCTTTTTCTCTATACCAATAAAAGTGAGAAAGAGCTAATAAAAGTGTCCGCCCCCAGAATGTGCAAACGGCAGTTAGGACATCTTGTTACTACAAAAGCCTTGCTTTTCTACAACCTTATCTCTCTTTTGATTCTTTTTATATGGGGAGCTGAGGTCTTCATTCATAAAATCACTCATCCACACTCACTCACCCATTGACTACGAGGACGCAACAGCCACACAGCTTCTGCTGGAGTCAGAGTTAGGAAGGCTCAAGGCTAGCTTTACAGATATGCACACTCCCCGAGCTCCAGCAGTTTGGTGAGCACACCCAGAGGACTGCCGGATTCTTCTACCCAGAGAAGAGGAATTCCTGGGGCCCCTGAGCTGAAATGCAGGGGCAAAGCTAGGACAGCAAAGACCGAGGAGGGGTAATGGGGATGGGCAGAGTGAGGAGAAGTGGGCAGGAGAATGCCATGCCTCGTCTGTGTGAGGCACACTGCTGTGGAGTCAGGCAGGGTGAAGCCTGGGATGGCTTGATGAAGAACCAGGCATATTTACCATCGGCCTTAGCAGGGTGAGATTTGGAGGGGTTGGCGAGGATGAGAACCTACTTGGAGTGAGGTTTGGAAAAGAGAGTAGAGGGCAGAACAAGAGGGGCAGTGAGTCTGGAAGACGGTCTTTGATTTCTTTCCCCTTCTCCCCCCCTTCCCTTTCCTCTTCCATCCCTCCCGGTCTCTCTCCCTCTCCTGAAGATAAAGCCTAAATTTTATTAGTCATGGCTAGAGCACTGCAGGTTAGACCCAAGAACTTACATGCCTGAAATTCTTTTGGCTAGGGGTTGGTTTTTATTTTTATTTTTTTAGATAGTTTCACTCTAACTCAGGAAGGCCTGGAACTCGCTATGTAGCCCAGGCTGGCCTGGAACTTGGAGTGACCCTCTGTCTCAGCATTCTAAGTGCTGGGATTAAAGGTGTGTACCACCACACCTCGATTAGACCTGAATGCTCATACCCCCTACTTATTTTTGAGTCAGGGGTCTCTCTACGTAACCCTGGTTGGCTTTGAACTCACAGAGACCAGCCTGTCCCTGACTCCTGAGTGTGCGCCACCATGTCTGGCTCGAAAGGTTTATTTGGCTAGCATCTCTCCAGTTGCTTACTCCCTACTTCCTGATTGCATACCTTAGACTATTCTATTACTATCCCATGGACTCTGATGTATAAACAAGTTCACATAGACCAGTCTTTCTGTGCTGGCTTATTTCACTAAACACAATGTCTTCTGGGTGCACACAGCAGTGTGGCAAGAAAACAAAACGGACCTTTCCAAAAAGAAGACAAATAAATGGCTAACAGGAACCTGGAAAGGGCCCCAGCATCACTTACCACTGGGGACATGAGAGTTCATGCCACAGTGACCAGCTGGACACCGTGACACGTGCCTGTGATCTCAGCACTTAGTTGTGGAGGTAAGATGATCAGAAGTTAAATGACATTCTTAGCTATATAGTGAGGTCAAGACCAGCCTGGGTTACATGAGACCCTGCCTCAAACAAAACAAATAGCAAGAGCCTGTCCTGTGGCACCTATTGTGGTGGCTGTTGTCAAGGTGTCAAAAGATAATCAGCCCTATGGAGAGAAATTAGAAGCCTCCTGTGCCATTGCTGGGAATGTACAATGGCATAGCCACTGTGGGAAACCGTTTGGAGTTCTTCAAAGAAAATTAAAAATAGAATTACCATATGATCCTGCAATCTTGTTTCTGGGAATGCGTCCAAACGTATTAAAATTGGGATCTTGAAGAAGATATTTACACCCCTGTGTTCACTGCAATAAGAGCCACAGTAGCCAAGATGTAGAAAACCAAGGCACCCTATTGTACCTGTCACCCAGCACTTGGGAAGTAGAGGCTGAGGGTGGCAAGTTCAAGGTCATCATCCGATAAATGGATAGTTTGATACCAAAGCTAACATAAGACCTTGTCTCAAAAACAAACAGAAAACCCAAAGCTCCTTGACATGGGATGTCCTTCTGCACGCTGTGAATATGTGTTGTTTTTATTGATTGATGAATAAAGCTGCTTTGGCTTATATCAGGGCAGAATATAGCTAGGTAGGAAATCTAAGCAAGGTACAGGGAGAAAGAAGGTGGACTGAGAGAAGATGTCAGCCAGTTGTCAAGGAAGCCAGGCAAGCAGAAAATGAGGTAACAAGCCACAAACCATGTAGCAAAGCATAGATAAGAAATAAGGGTTAATTTAAGTGTAAGAGCTAGCTACTAAAAAGCCTGAGCCACTGGCCAAATAGTTATGATTGATACTAAGCCTCTGAGTGATGATTTATAAATGGCTCCAGGACTGGTGTGTGGGACAGAGAAACGTCCAGCTCAAACCCCTTCTAAATATTTTTTAGTGGGTCAGTAGACAAATGTGGACATGTATGTATGTATGCATATGTATGTATGTACACCCCCCACAATGGAATAGCATTTTACTTTAAAAGGAGGGAAATCCTGCCCCCTGCAGTGACACAAACCCACATCATCCCCTTGTGAGTGAGTTTCGCACTGTCTCTAGACTGCCAAGAACACCTAACTTGAGGTCAAGGCTATGCAAGCAGTCATCACAGAACACCATCTAGCATCTAGGGGATACCAACAGGGAAAAATATCTCCATGTTCAGTTCAGGCCCAACATTTTCCTCCTGTGTCTATGATCCTCCGCAGGCATAGAAGAGCCTGTGGGAATAGACAGCTGGCTGCAACTCTTTCCTGTGCTCCCCCCTCCCCGACCTTTCTCCCTCACTTCACTTCCAGTAGAGCGCTGGGATGGGAAGCTGAAGGAACCAGGTGGGACTTTGCTATCTCCTATCACCGTGACGCCAGTTGTTTCTTACATTACCCCCCCATCCCCCGCCGGAGAGGAGGGAGGCGATGCCGTGGATGGAACCCTTGTGCAGAATAAGCAGGTGCTTTACCACTTACTCCTATTCTCAGTCCCCTCCTTTTATTTTTACTTATTGATACAGTCTCATGTAGCCTGGGGTAGCCCTGAAACTGGCTACATGGTTGAGAAGGACTTTCTTTTTTTAATAATTTATTTTCAAGTGCTTCGGTGTTTTGCCTGCATGCATGTCGATGGGTGCTGATGCCACAGATGATTAGCTCTCATCCGAGACACGACAGTTCCATCCCTGCAGCTCAGACTCAGGATGACCTATATATTCTGGAAACTGCAGGCATCTGCTGTGTTCTGTATGGTACCTGGGCACCCACACATTTCCTGGATCTGTATGTTAATTCACAGCTTCTAAACCTCAACAGTCTAGTGACTGCCACGCTGTGGCTGGCTCCACCCGGCGCCTCTTCTCTCTCTAGAGGCATATGCTATGGGTGCAATGTTTGGTTTTCCCAGCTGGCACTCTTGGGCAAAGCCTTGGGGGGGGTGAGGGGGTATTACCCATCTTCAGAGCTTCGTTGGCATGATGCCTCCCTCCCCTTCTTTCCCCTCCTCCTCCACCCTGGATGGAAAAGCTTCCTATTCTGGATTTTGCCTTATATCAGGGCAGCCTGTCTCCACAGGCTGTGTGACAGAGAAAGTGCTTCACCCTGGTGGACACTCATTGTCACCACTGGGCCCTGTGGTTTGCACATACAGTGCCCCAAGGCTGTTGCATGGGGCCAGTTTTCTGAAATACCATTCAAATAGCAGGTGTCAGTCTCTCCCAGACGCTGGCTAGGGAGGTAAGCTTCCATCGCAGCCAAGGGCTGGATGCTGCAATGATGGAGGTTGGTCAGCTCTTCTACACTCTGCCTCCTCCCGGACCTGACCATGTCCTCCCTCTGCACTTTGCCACTTCCAAGGCAAACACTTCCAGTGTGTTCTGCATCCTGACAGGCTTGAGTTGGACACTTGGATTTTATTTATTTAGGTTTTTTTTTGTTTTTTGTTTTTTGTTTTTTGTTTTTTTGTGACAGGGTTTTTCTGTGTATCCCTAGCTGTCCTAGAACTAGCTCTTGTAGACCAGGCTGGCCTCAAACCTCAAACTCACAGAGATCCACCTGTCTCTGCCTCTGCCTCCCAAGTGCTGGGATTAAAGGTGTGTGCCACCACCGCCCGGCTAGGTACCTGGATTTTAACACCTGTTTGTCTGTGACCTCTCCAGACTACATCCAGGTTCCTTATCTATATAAACTGGGCATTAATGCCCACAATGTAGCAGCTTCCTAGGCCTCCAGCAGGCCGTGAAAGTTTAGAGGGTTCTGCAAATATGAACCCCACCATAACACAGCATCCAGAATCAGAGATGACCTTCAAGCAGATTTTCAAATACTGCCAGCAGTGCTTTGCAAATTGATCATTTAATCATTATCAGGGCCTAAGAATCCACAGATTTATATCATTTTATTTTTTGAGGCAGAATCTCATGTAGCTGAGGCGGTCTCAAACTTGCCATAGAGTCCAGGTTGACCTTGAACTCCAGACCTTCTGTCTCTACCTTCTGAGTGCTGGGGCTACATAAACCACCACATCTGGTTTATACAGTGCTGTGGATTGAACCTGGGGCTTTGCACATTCCGAGAAAGCGCTCTACCAACTAAGCTACATCCCTAGCCCCTATTCCTCAGAAATCTTAAGTGACTCTGGGGCTAGGGGTGGGGTTGTACATCAGTGTCTCAGAGCAGAATAAACCAAGGTGTGGTCTGAGTCCCCTGGGCCAAGCTCAGCCGGCTTCAGAACGTAAGCATCCTGTAACTCCACAGTGGTTATTTCTGTCAGCTGTGCAGATAGCCAAGGCCACAGGTATTCGGTGGCGCCTGAGAGCAAGCACCTGGCTGTGAGCAGGATGGGCTGGGGACATACATCATTCCACTTGCTCAGTCCTCCCCACCCCTTTGTCCCTCTGTAGCCCATTCCTCTGCCAGATCACCCATACCTTGTATCCTTGGATGTCTCCATTCTGGCTGTTCAGTGGGGGTGGCTCCCAGGTCACATCTAGCTGCGTGGCTGTGGCACTGTGGATGGCCACGTTCTGTGGCGCCGCGGTGGGTACTGGAGGGCGTGAAGGTAGGTGAGTGAGTGAGTATTCAAGGGCGTAAACTATGGAGAGAATGTGAGCTGCGGCATTGGTGGGGACCCTGGGTGAGTACCTGGCACTCACAAGGGCACACTCACCTGCCTCTCCGACAAAGACCTCTTGTGGTGGGCTCAAGGGTCCCTCCCCCACGGCATTGTACACGCTCATCCGGATCTCATAGCGCTTGTGCTTGCTCAGATCTACGGGCAAGAGCGGGGATCAGGGACACAGAGATCACAGCGCCCCGTGGGAGGCGTGCTCCATGGAGGCTGGAGCTTCAGGGGAGGGAGAAGGCACAGCTACCATGCTAGCGCCCCATGCGACATGAGGGAGGAAATGGATAAGAGCCTTAGATGCTTGGGCTGTACCTGCCAACAGAATTTGTGACACATAACAGCCTCCTGGTCTAGGGTCATAAAGACAGTTGCGTCTCCAAGTGAATATTGCTGAGATGGAAGGGGATAGTATTATGAGTCCTGGCCACGCTGGGACGGAAGGGGATAGCATTATGAGTCCTGGCCACGCTGGGACGGAAGGGGATAGTATTATGAGTCCTGGCCACGCTGGGATGGAAGGGGATAGCATTATGAGTCCTGGCCACGCTGGGACGGAAGGGGATAGTATTATGAGTCCTGGCCACGCTGGGACGGAAGGGGATAGTATTATGAGTCCTGGCCACGCTGGGACGGAAGGGGATAGTATTATGAGTCCTGGCCACGCTGGGACGGAAGGGGATAGTATTATGAGTCCTGGCCACACTGGGACGGAAGGGGATAGTATTATGAGTCCTGGCCACGCTGGGACGGAAGGGGATAGTATTATGAGTCCTGGCCACGCTGGGACGGAAGGGGATAGTATTATGAGTCCTGGCCACGCTGGGACGGAAGGGGATAGCATTATGAGTCCTGGCCACGCTGGACCACAGGGTCAACCCTTCCTTGCCTGACTCTTCCCACTATAGCAGATGTAATCCATTTTAGCCATGTCCCTGCTCTGTCCCCACCTGTCTCTTTTATTTCCTGCTCTCTTGGGGACCAGGGATGGAATCCACAGTCTCTCCAAGGCTGAGCACAAGCTTCACTGAGTTGTACTCCACCCCCTCCAATCCCACTGTCACTGGCTCAGTCCTAGACAGGAAGTGCTTATGGAATGTGAATTCTGGGTCAAGAAATCCCGTGTATTAGTCAAGCTCGAGGTTGGGGGGGGGATGCCTGGTGAACGGAAGCTGCTGCAAGAATATGCTCTGTCGTCTTGGATGGGAGGTATGATCCCTGTTCCTGGTGGCCAGAATGTCCTGCAGTCCTCTGAACTCCCCTGTCCCCATCTCCCTCCTGCCCTTATTCTCCAGGGTGGCAGTTCTGTCACAGAGCAGGCTATGCTGAGGAGAAAAGGGTAGTCAAGAATCTGAGGTTGGTTTTTCCTGATCAGAAGGCTCTGTGTGTCTGTATGTGTGTGTGTGTGTGTGTGTGTGTGTGTGTGTGTGTTTGTGTGTGTGTCTGTGTGTTTGTCTGTGTTTCTGTGTGTTTGTGTGTCTGTGTGTGTGTGGTTGTGAAGAGCCTACTGAGGCTTCAGAAACAGAGAAGGGACAGAGGTGAGCCACACAACTACAGGAACCTCAGACAGGACTAGAGAGACAGTGAGGGCCGACATGCCTCACTCACGTGGGCCAAATCGGATAATAGCTATAATCAGCTACTTGTCCTGTAGGATGCTCTACCGCCTTCTGTTGACATGACATGCTGCCCTCTCGTCTACTCAAGTCTGCACTTTACTACTATAGAGTAGGCTTGAAGGAATCTCTTCCAAAATGCCTTCTGCTTCAATTGTTCTTAAGACTAATGACTAATGTGGGAGGGCCCAGCTCACTGTGGGTGGTGCCACCCCTGGGCTGGTAGCCCTGGGTTCTAAAAGAAAGATGGCTGAGAAAGCCATGGGGAGCAAGCCAGTAAACAGCACCCTCCATGGGTTCTGTTTGAGTTCCTGCCTTGAGTTCCTACATGGCTTTCCTTAGTGACGGACTAAGATTGGGATGTGTAAGCCAAACAAACCCTTTCCTCCCCAAGTTGCTTTGTGTCCATCATCTTTATCACAGTAACAAAAAGTAAACCAGGACAGTAGATACCTGGTTTGCCTGGGTCCAGGTGTTCTTGGGGACCCCCTCCCTCACCCATCCCAGGAGGCCTGGGCCACGATGAATCACCATGCAAGGGGACTTACTGTCCAGCTCGTACTGCGTGAGGCTGGGCCGGGTCAGGTTCCGCATGGAGTACAAGGCTAGGGGGCAGGAGGTGAGAGGGCCAGGGAGACAGCAGACAGAGGTTAGTATACACAGGCATCCCACCCACTGGGAACCAACCAGGCCTGGGATGGGATAACAAGGTTGGAGATGGAGTAGGTAGGGTGACTGCTTCCGGTTCCTGGTGCTGAATCAGAGGCCAAGATGGGAACTGGGGAGAGGGTAGATCCTAAAACACTGCTGTCCCTGTCCTGGTGGACACTGACTATGGAGGCCACCCTTGGAGCCTACCAACCCTGGGGACAGTCCTAGGGGGCCCTCTCATCCCCCTGGTTCCTCGGTTTCACTCTGGAGCTGTCGGCAAACCACGGTGAATAATGGCACCGTCGATTTCCTCATATGAACCAGAAACAATTTTATTGTCAAGAAATATGAGTGGATTAGACGCAGGCCATATAAAATCACAGCCACAGGCAGACATGGGCCAAAATAAATAAATAAAGGTCAGGGAATAACATGAGCTGTTAGTTTGGGTATTTCTGCGGGCGCCTTTCAATATCCTCTCACTCCGAGGTCAATATCCCCGAACATCCCCGGAAGCTGAGGCTTCACAAGCCCGGGAGATGTGGATGTGTGCACCACACCCCACAGGGACCTAGGCCTGTGTCCACTCCCCTGCTCACCTCTCTTTTGGTGAACAGTGCCACCGCCCTCCTCCCCCTCCTCCCCCTCTACACAGCCTCCTCTTTCCTGCCTGCCTCTGTCTCCTCTCCCTGGACAGACATGGAGCGCTGTGGAATCCACATGGCACACCTTGCTTGCCTCCTCTGCTCCATGTTCTTTTGTAAGTTAACACAACAGCCTCATTGCCTCTGTTCCCCCCACACTCCCTGTAGCTAGGCCATCACCTCCATACCTGCTATGTATCCGACAAACCCAAGGACCACTCATACCCTTCCCTTGCTCACAACTTTCCCGTCATCCTCTCTCCCAGGGGTTTCCACCTGAACATCCCCCCTCTTCTCTCTTCCTAAACTTGAAGGCTGGCTTCTTTGGCCCCAGGGCTGTTGATTTTCTGGGGAAAAGGATGGGGTCTTGACTGTCGTCCTGTTGTCCTAGGTGGGGGCTTAGATGTCAAGGCTGATGATTTTTCTAAACTGGTGGCTCTTCCCTCCACACAGTTGCCTGCCTGACCTGGAATCGTCCTTCTTTGTCGAGAGCCCATTGGAACTCTTCTGGAACAGTCTCCTACCCTGTCATGCCCTTGGCCCTGGACATTATGCCAGGGTTTACGGAGTGAATGCCTGACTCTTCCTCCCTCAGACTGATCCAGGAGGTCTGGGACCCTGCCTGCTTAATAACTGGTGTGTGCCCAGAGTGTCTTAGAGTATGTAGAAGGTGCTCACTAAATGCTCAGCCAGTGAGTGAGTGGGGTGAGGAGAGGAACACAAAGGGAAGGGGGTGGGGTTGCGGGTTAGTGGGCTGCGGGGAACTGGGAGCTTCAGAACAGGGTGGTGAACATGCCTACCCCTCCCCTCCCCAGGACCCTGTGATGGCTACTTACAGGTGAGCTCAGCCCACTTGGCCCCGGGGTTGTTGATGCCTCGAAGAGTGAAGCCTCTCAGCCCTTCATAGAGCAGCTCCCGGTACCGGATTCGAAAGCCCAAGAGGATGCCATTGATCTTGTCCTCAGCTGGAGGCTATGGGTATGAGAGTCAAACCTGGGGAGCGCCCTTCACTACTGCGTATCTTACCTCACCCTCTCGACCCACTGTACCTCCTGCAGAGGCAGAGCAGGGACTCTGGCCCCAACACCAGATGGCTTGGGGTATTTCCAAAGAGGTGGCCACATTCCCTTTGAGGTGGGGAAGGGCAGGAATCACCACGCAACCCTCCCTTTAGTAGAGCAGGAAACATACTCAGAGACATTAAGGTATGGCCCATGGTCACACAGCAGCAGTTAAGACCTAAAAGCACATCTGTGCAGTGACCAGCCATCGCTTGCTTGTCAAGGGACTCTGTGACTCACTCACTTCTGGCCTCCCTGGGGCTGCTGCTCTCTGATGACCAGCTAGCCAGCCACTTCCTGGCGTTTGCCCTGAGCTGAGCCCTCTGCCTACACTACAGCCTACAGCATGTGTGAGGATGGACATGCCCATGTAGCGTGGTCTCTCTTTCCTGCTTTGCTTTCTGCTCCCGTCCTCGGCTGAGCTGGAGAGCAGGCTTTTGGCCAAGTGGAAACTATTTTCTTTATGATACCTCCTTAAAGAAATCTGTTGAAATGGTTCAGCCTTTTTATTAGCTCCTTAATTGCTTCCCTGGCTGCTGCAGGCATCTCCTGGCTCTTCTGTCAGGGCATCCCATCTGCTCCAGCCTCCTCTGGCTCACGTATGGCTGCCAGGCCATTTCCACTGAGGGGTGTCCCCTCTGAGGTCCCAGACTTCAGCTGCACAAGGATTGCTGCTGAGGCCAGTTCCTCAGATCCCAAGAAGTAGGGGCAGGGCCTTTTTTGGGGGGGGGGGCTTCTGAGGGTGCCTGCTGAGCCCACAGCTAGACTTTATAGAGAATGCGTGGGCAGCCTGATTGGTGAAGTTGCCTCTGGCCCTGGCAGAATCAACGGGCGCTGGTACAGAACAGAGGCAAAGGCAGCTCTGGTGGGGGCTGGCGGGGGGGTTCAGTCTCAGTCAAGAGCTTATCGGAGTTCTTGGAAATGCAGCCACTCTGTCCACCTAGCCATACCTGCCATCGGATCAGCACGGAGGTGGTGGTGTGGGGTGTCACCGACAGGATGGTGGGTGCCTCATCTGGGGCTGTGGAGAGAGGCAGAGGAGTAGACTCTGGGTGCTGTCAGCACCCCCTAGGGACACATAGGCCAGATCCTGCTGATGCTGGATGGCTAGGTAGGTCCTGCCTAACTCACCCTGGACACCCACCACCCCAATTTCCTCAGAGGAAACAGCCAGGGTGAACTGGGAGCCTCACTTCAGCCTAACCCAGGGCCTTGGAGCCCCTCCAAACCATGGTACTTAGGTTGCAGTTAGGCATAGGGTTGGGTGGGCATCTACTTCCACTTTCTGTTCGCTGGAGGAACATTAGAGAAGAAATGCACTTAAATTCCAGGCTGGGTTTGCGACTCTGGGCCCCAGGCAAAACCCCCTTTGTCCTAACAAAGGTCTAGCAAGCCCTCTCTCACCCCCAGAGGCCCCCTCCCACAGGAGAACTCTTCATGCCCAGGAAGCGACCAGGGCCACGAGCAAGACGCCCGAGCAGGGAGGCGGCACTGACCGGCCTGCAGGGTGGTCAGCGACTCTGACTCCTCACTGAACTCGCTGTCACCGATGTCATTGGTTGCTTTCACTCGGAACTTGTAGGATGTGAAGGGCTTGAGTCTGTGGAGGGAAACGGGGTGGGGTGGGGTGGGGGGCAGCAATGACCAAGGTGTCGACTATGATTTGAGCGTGAACGATGCCACACAGGCTCATGTGTTAAAGACTCGTTCCCCAATCGGTGTGATTGTTTTGAGAAGTGGGGCCTTGGTAGAGGAAGTGCATCCCTAGGGAGAGAGCATCAGAGGGTACCATCTTATGTCCTCCCTCTGGGTCTGTTTCCTGGTCACCATGAGCCCCTGCCACGACCTCCTTTCGCTGCACCCAAAGCAACAGACGCAGCTGGCTTCAGGCAGAAACCTCTAAGGCATTATTCCAAAACAAATCCTTCCCCCTTAAGTTGCTTCGTCCAAGACTTTGACACAGTGATGACAAGTCTGACTGACACAGTGTCCCTCAAGACCCAGCTCCACACACCTCCATCATGAGTGTCATCTTTCCCTGCTGGAGGAGGGGAGCCCGAGTGCAGACACCAGGCAGATGGAAACATGAAGGCTAGGGAAGGGGCCACATTGGGACAGGTCCCCTCAGATGGTGAGTGCCCGTGCCAGGCCCCATACCATCCCTGCTTAGGCTGTCTTTCTCTGTAATTTTGATAAGCCACACATCTCCAGACTTAAGTTTATTCATGCTTTGGTGGCCGTGAAAACATTCATGCCATGCAGTGGTGGTGAATGCCTCTATTCTCAGCACTCGGGAGGCAGAGGCAGGAGGATCTCTGTAAGTTCGAGGACAGCCTGGTCTACAGAGTGAGTTCCAGGACAGCCAGGGCCACACAGAGAAACCCTGTCTTGAAAAAACAAACACTTTTCACACTTCCCTCTCCATACAATCCGATGCCTGGTCCCCTGCAAGCTATGCTGCCTTTCCTAAAATTAGTGGAGTCCCCCAGAGATATGACAAATTGTCTCTGTGACAAATTTTCTTCCCAATAAACGTCCTTGATCTATCTACAGGGCTCGGGGAGGGGGAGGAAAGGCTTGGTTAAGTCCCAGGTCACGTTGACTAGAATATAAAAAAATACAACCTCCGGGGATTAGATTGAGGCTAGAGTTCTGGAGAGGAGTTTCATACCCCTATTAGAGATGGGAGGAGGACAGGCTGTCGGGGAGAATGACTAATAAAGGATGGGAAGCGCTTAGCTAAGGGAGCCAGCAGGCTCCACAGATAATTAAGAGGTAGCCTTAATGGGCTTCCCAAGGAGGGGGAGAGAGCCTGGCGGGGTGAGCTGAGGAGGACTTGGGTGGCCAGCTGAAGGTGCTCTCAGAAAGCACCCCCTCCCTCCTGCAGGGGTCACTGCCTCCAGCAGAGAAGGGAAGAGAGAAGTGGGTGCAGCCCCCGCCTTACCTGTCCACAGTGAAGGCAGAGGCGTTGTGGCTCACAGAGGCCGAGTGCAGTGCCCACTTGCCGCTGGGCAGTTCACGCGTCTGGATGGTGTAGTAGCGTACCGGGGAGAGCCCATCACTGCCCGGCTCCCAGGACAGCAGCACATGGCGAGCTTTCACATCTTTCTGCTGCACCACCGGCTTGCTAGGGGGCTGGGGTCGGTCTGGGAAGCAGGGCGGGGAGCAGGTGAGACAGTGTAGCCTGAGCGGGGTAGGAGTGGAGTGGCTGTCCCTTCTCAAGGGCAGGGAGGAGGTGTCCTGACATTGGGACAGACATCTCCTCTCTGTCTGTGAACCTTGCATGGTTTCTGGCAGCAGCCAACACATGGGTCTTCAGGTGAGACCTGCCCTCAGCTTCCAGAGCCCTCTCATGACATCCCCAGATGGAGGAGCAGATACATTTGCTTTTGCTAGTGGCAGAGATCGGACCTGCCTTGTGCGTCACTAAGTGGGTGAGCCGTGCTTCCCTGTGGGAACTTATTTCTACCATCCCCTTGCTCACTTCCCCTTTTTGTTAGCTACTTTCCTACCCCAGATTGGGCAGGCTTCCAAGACTCAGTGTTCTTGACCTTGGCCTTGATGCTTCTTAGTGGTGGTGGGGGCTTCTTTGTGACTGGAGGGGGTGCTTTGCGGAGCCCCTCCCCTCAACCTGCTCAATGCCAGGAGCATCTTCTCCAACTTGGGCAACCCAGAGGTATACAGATGTTGGCCCACATCCCCTAAGAGCAAAGAAGCCCTTGGAGGAAATCCACTGCTTTACTATTTCTTCTTGGGGACTTTTTCTGCCCATCTGGGGGCTCAGGCTTGTATCTAGGGACGCCGCTCTTAGTCACAGTGCCTGCTCAGGGCAGTAAGGTGGTGGCAGCCTAGACTCCAGGTTCTAGCCCAGCTGGACAAGGACAGCGGTGTGAAGGGGACTGGCAGGGTGGAGGACGGCCATCAGCCATTTCTTTAGAATTATTTATTTTTATTTATTTATTTTGACAGGGTCTCACGGATCCTAGGCCGGCCTCAAACTTGCTATGTAGCTGAAGAAGACCTGATCTTCCTGCTTGACCCTCCCAGGTGCTAGGGCTGCAGACTTGCATCACCACATCTGATTTATGCAGTGCTGGGACTTGGGCCCAGGCTTTCTGCATGCCAGGCAGGCACGCTTTCAACTGAGCTATGCCTCAGCCCCCGCCCGTCCTTTAGAAACCTAGAGCAGAGTAGGATCCTGGGAAATCCCAATTTGGCTTTGTAAGATGGCATGGGCCTTCACTGACCTTGACTCCCATATTGGAGCCCATTCTCTATTGTAGACCACTCGGAGGGGTGCTCAGCCCCTGGGTGGGCAATAGAGTCCCTCCTCAATGCCCCAGGCCTCCCCAGCCCCATGGGCAATCACCTCTCTTCTCTGTGGTCACCACCAAGGCTTCAGCGGCCTCTCCCCAGCCTTTTCGGGTCTGGGCTGTGAGGCGGAACAGGTAGACAGACTCTGGCTTGAGGCCGGTGGCCATGTACTGGCGAGCACTGGGTGCCAGGACCTCCACCGTGGCGGTGTTGGCTGTCGTGGCATTGAGCCGGTGTGTGATCTGGTAGGCTGTGGGCAAGAAAGGAAAAGGGCCATGATGGACAGCAGAGCAAGCAGCCCCAGTGCCCTGTGAGAGGACCTGTCCTTAGTGGGCACATGGCAGTCAGGTGTCCCTGGCTCTGGTTTGGCTGTGCGGGACTCTTCTGGTCACCCTTACAAGTTCTGCTATGGAGTGTGGACTTTGGTGGGGATAAGGAGTTCAATGCGTAGTAGTGTCTTAGACCCCTACGTTAGTTCACATGAGGATGAAAGGGGCCAAGTCACCCGATAGCTGGTGGTGGCTCTACAGCAACAGCCTCAGGATTTCTAGTGTAAAGGACTTGGCATCCTCCATCATTTTGTCTTCTCACGTGTGCCGCTCCTCTAGGATTAGCGTTGCATAATCCCGTGAGTGAAGTACCGGGAGACTAAGTTACCTTTGGTGTGTATATTCATGAGTTTATTTAATTTTAATCAAAAATTAAAAGAAATCATTTTATCTGTATGAATGTTTTGCCTATATGCATACATGTATAGCATATGTGTGCCTGATACCCAGCGAGGTCAGAGGAGAGCATCAGCTCTCCTGGAACTGGAGTTAGAGGTGGTTGTGAACACTGGGAACCAATCCCAGGCCCTCTGCAAGAGCAGTCAGTGCTTTTAACCACTGACTCATCTCTCTAGGCCCAGGTTATTTTATTTAAAAAATATTACTATTGTTATTAATTAGGCAAGGTCTCCTTGCTAGACTGTCTAGGCTGGCCTAGAACTCCTCAACACCCCCCCCCCCCGTGTGTGTGTGTGTGTGTGTGTGTGTGTGTGTGTATGTGCATGTTGAGGGAATCTTGCTTGGCCAAAGTTTACTAGATGGAAAGCTGGCAAGGGACTGGCGGGAGGCACTGGGAAGGAGAAAGAAAATGCATAGTTCTCAAGGTTAGCTGAACCATGACCTTGCTCTCCTGCAGATGTAGTGATGGGCTCAGAGTACTATCAGGAGAAACAAGACTGATGTCCAGTATTACTTGACAACTCTTCCCCTGGAGGCAGGCCACTTGATTATATTAACGGATTCAGGGAGACCTATCTTGACTGTAAACATGATTCTTCTGTGGGTTGGGGTGTGTGTGCACTGGCTCACTGTTCTGCTCTTGACTGTGGTTGTAATATGAATAGCTTCTTGGGCTCCTAAAGCTGTGACTTCCCTGCCAACGGTTGGCTCTAACTTGGAATTGCCTGTCAAATGAGTCCTCTTTCCCTTAAGTTGCTTTTGCTAGGGCATTTTTTATCACAACAACAGGAAAAGAGATGATGATGAAGGCCAAGATATTATCAATACCACCACCATCACCATCACATTCCTACTGCCACCAGCACCATCACCATTACCACCGCACCATCACTATCACCACCATCACCACCACCACCATCATTATCACCATCACCCTCATCACCTCACCATCATCATCATCATCATCACCACCAGCGTCAGCACCAGCACCACCACTTTGAGACAGGGCCCTGCTGTGCACATCTCGCTGGGCTTGAACTTGCTATATTGACCGATCTGGACTCAATTTTGCAGTAGACCCCTTGCCTTTCCCTCTTGTGAGCTGGCACTACACAGTGCGGATCACCACTCCTGGCTCTCCGGACTTCATCATCACCATTATTTATTTATTTGTTTGTTTGTTTATTTGAGATGGTGTGGCGGTTTGAGGGAGAAATGTCTCTCCTAAGCTCAGGTATTTGAACACTCGATCCCCAGGTGGTGACCCTGTTTGGGGTTGTTTAGGATGTGAGGATGGAGAGAGTGCGTCACTGGGGTGGACTTTTGAGGTTATGTAGCCCTCACTCTGCTTCCAGTCCACCCTTCTCTGCTTTGTGCTTTCTGTTAAAGGCGCCATCTCTCAGCTTCCCGCTCACTGCCATGCCTCCCCTCCATGGCAGGCTCTTACCCCTCTGGGACTGTAAGTCCAAATACACTCTTTGCTTTTGGTCATGGCGCTCTGCAACTAATAAACGAGTTCTCATGTAGCCCAGACCGGCCTCAAGCTTACTGGCATTCGAGGACGGCCTTGAACTCCCCATGCTCTTGGCTTCTGCCTGTCAAGTGATTGTGTTACAGGTGTGGACATCATGATGCCTTGCCAGACCCTATTCCTCAGGGGAGGGGGCTGAGGACACTTCTCAGGCCTGTCCTATCTCTGCTTCCTTTACCCACCCCACCATGCCACTTCCTCTTTCCTTCCTACGAAGGGCACAGGAAATGGTACAGACTTACCCAAGATGATGCCATTGGGGGCTGCAGGGGGCTGCCAGATGAGCCGCACAGACGTGGTTCTCACCTCTGGAAACAGGATGCCCATGGGTGGGCCTGGGACTTGAGGAGACAGAAGGGAGAAGGTGAGGCTGCTGTTCCATCCCAAACCCAGTGCAGGACCAGCTAGGCACCAGGGAGGGGGGGGGGATCCATCAGCTCAGCGAGGGAGGGGGAATCCCTTGGCTCAGTGAGTTTGTGTATGGTATGCCTCTAAGCAAATGATTGCAAAACAGTATTTATCCTCAAAACCAGGGTCATTTTACAGGACCTAGAATGGGAGATGAGGTGTGTGTACCCCTCAAACAGGCTTTAGCTATTTGTTGGGGGGGTCCTAAGGCTTGGGTTTCCTTGGGCTCCATGTGTCCATGCGTGGGCTCTCAGAATGGGCATGGCGTTCTTGGTTTTCTAAGTTGTGTTTGTTTTGAAAGCTGTGCTAGAATGATCCCGGGGCCTCCGTCAGGGCTTCACCCATTCACCTAAGGCCTAGCAAACCCCAGACTGCTCTGTGCTTTGGACAGCCCCATTGTGATGCCCTCCATCTCCTGAGGAAGCTGTGGCAGGTTGGAAAGTGCTCATCTTGAGCCTGTGGGGAGGGGTCCGAGGGTACCCCCAGACTCTGGATGAGCTTGTTTCCCAGATCTTTCTCCCATGTGCTCTGGGGATGGCCAAGGGAAAGCTGTTTGGAGGTCATGGCTGGAGCCTGAGGAGGAGGACGGGATGGGGATGAGGGCAGTGAGAAGGGCCCAGTGACAGGAGGAGGGGGCACTCTTCCTGTGACACTCCATTCCAGCCCAGAATGTCAAGGAGATGAGATGTGTAAACACACACTTGGCCTTTTAGGTCATTATGTGAGTATATTTGTCAAGGCAGGAGGATAGAACATATTTAATTTAACAGCTCATTAGCTTGATTTATAGTTAGAAAATACAGACATACGGCACTGGGGCTCCCTTCTGCACATGTCTGGGCCTTGCAAATGTTTGTGGTGGGCAGGCCATTTTGCTGTGTGTAGGAGAACGGAGGGGTAGAGGCCTCTGTCAGCCTGAGACTGGGAAATTCTGCAGTATACAGAGCTCTGCTGGTATTGTTCTTTGCAAACAGGAAGGAGGCCCATGACCAGGAATTAAGACTTTCTCAGATTTTGCTCAAAGACAGCCGATCTGCCCCAGGCAAAAACAAAATAAAAACTGACACCAAATCTTTGTACTATTCACTCGTCCTACAGAGGAGCCATGGGATATCCAATGGTCCTTACCTGGTCCTCTCCCCCATTTTCCCTTACTGGCTATGAATAGCATCCTTTTGCAGTGGGTTGGTAGCCTCTGATGACCCCGTTTTGCACAGGAGGATCCTGAGACTAGGGATCTCGGTGGGTCAGGGTATGAGGGATGGACCCTGTGGGCTCACTGGGATGTAGACTTACCGTCATCTAGTGTCCGCTCCAGGATGGGAGGGTGGCTGGGGCTGCCGTCGCCGATGCGTGTGAAGGCCAGAACCTGGACCTCATAGAGCACATACTTGCCCAGGCCTGTGAGCTGGGCGCTGCGAGACGAGTTGCCTTCTACCAGCCAGAACCGGGGCTGGGACTCCGAGTCTTTCTCCCTGTATCTCACCTGCAGTTGTCAACACAGTTGAGGCCTTAACAGCCTCAGCCTGGGTGGGGGACGGGGCAGACACACTGGGCTCCTTGCAGGGGCCTGGCCCCAAATGGTCAGTTGCAAAGCTACTGTTCTTTGAAGACTTAAGGTACAAGGGGAGGCTAAAGCAGCTAGAAGTCCCTGTAGGCCCACAAGGGAGCAGTGACAGAGATGTGTCATTGTCCTGTGATTTTCACCTTTCAGGCCAGGGCTAGGCCACATGGCCACATGGCCCAGGACAGTTTGGAAAGGAGCTTTAGAAAGTCATAGAAACCAAGCTGGCTCCCTTTGGGCTGAGGGTAGATCTGGGGCTCCCTGCTCAGCCTCCTGGAAGAGGCAGCGTCCTGAAGGACCCTGTCACTCACTGGATGTCTCCTATTCCTAAGGAGGATTTTCTGGTTGCCGTGGTGACTGGTGGATGGGAAGCTAAGTAGATATCCCGTGTCTCCTCTGTGAGGGAGAGACCCAGAGGAAGAAAAGACAAGGACAGGACACCTTGGATAGGGGGCCTGGGGAAGACAGTACAACCCACCCCCACTGATCCCAAGATCTACCTTGTAGCCCAGCACAAGGCCATTGCGATCTGCCTCCGGGATCTCACTCCAGCGAACCAGCATGCTGCTAGAGGTGGTGGCCAGCGCCGACACATTGGTGGGCCCAGAAGACGGGACTGTGGGAGTGAGGGGTGAAGAGGAGGGGTAAGGACCCACGGATAGCCCTACAGTGGTGGGAAGGGGAGCGAGACATGGGGCCACCCGAGGAGCCAGCTCTGTGGACAGACAGACAGCACAAGCAGACCCCAGGATGCTTTGGGGATATAGCAGATGCGGTTTCTGGGGTCAGCTTTTCCTCCCTCTCTCTTTTCTGGGGGGTGTGAGGTGTGAGACAGGGTCTCGTGTACTGGCTTTGAATTCACTATGTTGCCAGGAATGATCTTGAACTTCCGGTCCTCCTGCCTCTCCCTCCCAAGTGCTGGGACTACATGTTTCAGTGATCTCATCTAGTCTGTGCTGGGGATGCAATCTAGGACACTCTAGGCAAGCACTCCACCAACTGAATTACGCCCGCAGCTCTGCCTCTCTCATTCCCTTCTGCTCAGATTAATTTTTACACATTTATTATTTATTATTATTATTTTCGTGATATTTTTGTTTATGGTCTAACAATAAAAAGCTTGCCTGGAGATCAGCGTGCAAAGCTAGCCACGCTAGTTAGCAGAGAGACCAGGCAGTGGTGGTGCACACCTTTAACACCAGCACTTGGGAGACAGAGGCAGATGGGTCTCCGTGAGTTCAAGGCCACTCTGAGCTACACGAAATTGAATCCATCTAAAGGGGAAACAACAGAGCTCACACAAAGGAGATCTCAGCCCTTGGGGTCCCACGCCTTTCATCCCAGCACTAGGGAGGACATAAGGCGGGAGGAGACAGGAGCTCAGGGCCGTCTGAGGATTTGAGGAGAGGGTCTCCCGTCCGGTCTGAGATAGAGATAAGAGGTAGTACCTGGCTGTTTAGCCTCTCTGACCTTTCAGTCCCCCACCCCAATATCGGACTCTGAGTTTTTATTATTAATACCAACTAGGATATGTGCTACTATTATTATTGTGTGCATCATAGCAGGTGTGTAGGGTGTGTGTGCACGTCCCCGGGTGTACACGGAGGACAATCTGTAGAGTTAGTTGACTCCTTTTACCTTTATGTGTATTCTGGGGATCAAACTCAGGTCATCAGGCTTGTATGACAAGTGACTCTACTGGCTGAGCCATCTTGCTGTCTACTTTCGCTTGTTTTTGAGACAGGGTATCACTATGTAGCTTGGCTAGCCTTGAATGCAGGAATTCAGCCTACCAGACTAACTTTGCATTTCCAGTCAGCACAGTGAAGGAGGGTAGAGCTGGGGTATCAGGGAGGCCAGAAGATACACCTGTCAGTTAAAAAGTGTCAAGGAGCACACACACACACACACACACACACACACACACACACACACACACACACAACCCTCACAGGACAGTGAACCGCAAATTGGGTAAATGTGGGCTGCCTGGGGACCAGAGCTCATATTCTAGGAATGATGACCCCTTCCTAGGTTCCTAGGAGAGGCAGGTTTTGTTTCTGGAATGTTCTGAGATGAAACCCTTTTGTTGGGTGTTGGAATTAACGATGGGTGTCAGGCAGTGGGGTGGGGTGGGCTGTTTAGACAGCTAGCACTGCTTTGATACCCCACAAACTCCCCAAGCGTGGGGGCTGTGACAGGGGAGGGCAGCAGTGGGGGGCCTAGGGGTGTGGCAGGGTGCTCTGTCATGGGTGGAACACAGTGGACAGCTGCTTAAGCTGCTTAAGTAGAAACGGCTACTCTTGGGTGGTCCCAGAAGCAGGGCAGTGGTACCTGACTCCCTGGTCCTGCCCACCACTGCCTGGCTCCAGGGCCCGCTCCCGATGGCGTTGAAGGCCTGGACCTGGACGCGGTACTCTGTCCACTCCTCCAGATCCTCAATGGTGTATTCCCGCTCCACACGGTCTTGTATCATGTGGCTCAGTGTCTTGCCGTGGCCGTCAGACCGGCTGTACTTGATCTTGTAGCCCACCGACTCAGGGTTGCCGTTGTATTCCATTTCTGGGAGGGGCTGGGGTAAAGCAGGGGCAGAGAGATGAGGGGCTGGGGGGAAGACCGCTCAGTTTTCCCTCTTTCCCACCCACCAGTTGAGCAGCCAGTGTCCCAAAGAGGTGCTGTCCCCAAGTGGGGCTTGAGCTGGCACGGTTTCCATGTCCCTCTCCCCATCTCTTCCCATTGGACTCCCATGAGAAGCAACACCGCTGTTCATCTTACACGTGGCTGACTCATGGCCTCGCCTGGAGGCTGGTCCTTTCCAGAAGGCTCAAAACCTGTCTGCCCAGTGTGCTGATAAGCAGGACCCTTTGGCTCTGGCTGTCTTCCTGTTTAACCCCCTTACTCAGGTTGTCAACACATTATTTTCTTAATTGCCTACAACATCCGGTCCTGCTCATTCTGCCCTTCAGAGCCCGAGGGGTGAAGGCATCTTCATATGGACAGCATGCATGTCACTGCCAGGAAGTTCTGCTAGCCGGCAAACCTCAGTGTCTGCTGCTGGATCTTTATCTTTCTCTTCCTGGGTTAGGGTCTCACTAAAGAGAAAAGGCAGGTGGGAGGGACCCCGCTTGCAGGGTCAGGGTTGGATAAATCTGGCAATGTAGGTGGTGGAGGTGGGCCTTGGGCCTGGAGCAGACGTCAGCCGAGAACCCGGCTTCCGCTCCTCTGAAGCTGGTGTGTCTGCAGTCTCCTCCTTCCGTCCTGCCTCCCCAGAGCTCCGAATGGCCACCATCCTTAGTGAAGCACTTTCCCCCAATCCCTTCTAGCCCTTCTCTCTCCCGCTCAGCCTTCTCTTGCCCCCATGTCCCTTTACAGACACTTACTGACATGAGCTAGAGATCATTAAGACAGAAATGGATGGGCCCAAGAGGCTGAGATGGGCCTGGCATGTGACTCCTCCACCAGCTAAAGAGAGGTAATGGGCCGTGCACTATTATGAGCCAGGCGGCTGCACGGCACAGAAGCTGACTTCCCATCCCCCTGGCACCCCAGTAACCCATTCTCTAATTTTTATGTTTGGAAACCTTCAGAGACAATTAAGGAGTAAGTGGTGTGTGTGTGTGTGTGTGTGTGTGTGTGTGTGTGTGTGTGTGATATCAGCTGGTGGGGGATAGTGAAGAGCTGAAGTTGAGGTCACAAGAGGCCATATGCCCTACTTACACACCCACAGTGCCCTGGGCCACTGGGTTGGCCCCAAAATGTTGCTCATTGCCTGCCACCTGATGAGGAGCCATAATTAACAACCAGTGTCTGTTGGGGGCTCATGGTGCCAAGCCCTCCCACAGTCACCAGCTCCCTCTGCCACACTGTCCCACTCTGTGAAAGGCAGCATAGCCCCATAGTGCAGGGGCCTGCATTTGTTTACACAACCAATGAGTGCTCTCTCTCAGAGGCAAAGGCTGTGTGGTGAGAGGGGCCATGGGTGTGCCATGCTGGCAATAGTTCTAGTAAGCACTATTTTACACCCCCTCCACCCTGTGTCTGTGAGCGTGTGTTTGTGCGTGCGTGCGTGCGTGCGTGCGTGCGTGTGTGTGTGTGTGTGTGTGTGTGTGTGTGTGTAAGCCACAGGGCAAATTCAGGTGTCCTTTCTCAGTAGTCATCCACTATGCTTTTTTATTTTATTTTATTTTATTTATTTTGGTATTTTGAGACAGGGTCTCACTAGGTACCCATGGTTGGTCCGGAGCTCCCTATGTAAACCAGGCTGGCCTCAAACTCAACACGATCACACCTTTAGCCCCGAGGCTGGATTAAAGGTCTTTGCCACCATGACCAGCTTCCATTGTGTTTATTTATTTTTTGAGATGGAGTCTCTCATTGTCCTGCAACTTGACAACTAGGAGACGCTGGCTGGCCATGGAGACCCAGGGTTCCTCCCATCTCTGCCTCCCCAGCACTGAGATTATAAACCGGTGCCAACGGGCCTGGCTTTTTAAGGCTGATGCTGGGGATGGAACTCAGATCCTCACAAGACTTTATCACTGAGTTGTCTCCCCAACCCATACAGAGCATCTTCCAGCTCTTCTCCTCTCCCTTCTTTTTAAAAGATGTGCTTATTTTGTATACAGTGTTCTGTCTGCATGTGTGCCTGCAGGCCAGAAGAGGGCACCAGATTTCATTACAGATGGCTGTGAGCCACCATGTGGTTGCTGAGAATTGAACTCAGGACCTGTGGAAGAGCAGCCAGTAACTGCTGAGCTATCTCTCTAGCTCTCGCCCCTTCCTTTCCTTTGGCCACAATGAACTATTGGGTACCTTCCAGGTTCGGAAGGAAGAAATTTAAAAAATATTTAAAAAGCACAAACCCCAAAAGGAGAGCAGCACCCTGTCCCCAAACACAAAGAGAAAGAATTATAGATATTCAATCAGTGACCTCTTCGAGGTCATTGCTACAGGGTAGGGACAGTCCTGTGATCATCCCATCCATTGGAGCCTCACCATCCATCGGAGCCACAGACTGGTCTCACTGGCTGTGCGAAGAGTCACATTGGCGGGGGCCATGTCTGGGGGTGCCTGCAGGGTCTGGATCTTTCTAGAAGGTTGGCTGGGTGGGCTGGTGCCGACAATGTTCACTTGGCGCATACGGAAGCTGGGGTGGAATAGAAGGAATGAGCAATGTATGGAGGGGATGTCAGGCCCCCTCCCTGCCCCTTCCCACCTGTGCCTTACCTGTAGTAGGTGAAGGGGTTGAGGTCCGGTACCTCCATGGAGCGTGCATCAGGCTCGTTGCTGAGTTGGTAGATCAGCAACCATTCCTCTCCCTCCCCGATCACGCCCACCTGGAGAAGGGAACATAAGACCTGTCCAACTTGCTGTGCCTGAGTGGGATGCTCCCAGATCCCCCCCAAGAAAAGTCTTAGTCTAAAAGCCACAACTGACTTCAGGGTGGCTCTGAGTCCTCCTGCATTAGGACCTCACAGCAGGCTGGATAGAAACACATTTTTAGGCCTGACTCCAAGACCAGCTGATGTACCGGGTACCTGTAGCTTCAGTGAGCCCCCAACCCCTTACAGGATCTTCACGGGGCCCCCCGAAGCTGCCTGGGGAGGAGTCTAGGTCCTCTCTAGCAGGCTTTACCTGAGCCTCCACCACCCAGCGGGAGATGGATGTCTTCCCATCGTAGCCAGGCCTGAACTGCAAGGTCACGGACCGTGGACCGATGTTGGAAATTCCCAGGTTGGTTGGTGCCCCTGGGAGCTCTGCGAAGGGAGAATATGGCAGAAAAGGTAAGAGGGTGGCTCTCCCTGGAATAGGACACTGCAGCAGGGAGGAGTGTGAGCAGTTTGCTGTTCTCGGAGTGAGTCATCCCGGGAGAAGCACAGCCAAGGCCTTCTGTGACACTGATCCTGTGTCTTACAGGCGCCACATTCAGATGGGGGGGCTGTGACATATCTGAGGACAGAGACCCTCTGGAGCTATGCATGCCAGAGGCCTCCTTCGGAATAAGCAAAACGCCAAAAAAACAAAAGCTGTACAAATCAAGCTAGGCTCAGCACAAGCCTATGGCTCAGAGCTGTCTCCCTCAGCGCTCCACATCCAGCGATGGCTGGGAACTAGAAAGGCTGCGGTGAGAAGGGCTAGGCAGACAGAAGGCAGCTTCTCTTTCCCAACCAGGAACTCGGGAGTTCTTGGGGCTCAGGATGGACAGAAAGAATGCAGATTCTGTAGTGTGTTTGAGGCTAGCCTTAGCTACATGGTGAGTGCAGGCAAGCCTAGGCTATATGGTGATCTCTTATGCCAAAAATCCAAGCAAGCAAGCAAGGAAGCAAGCAAGCAAGCAAGCAAGCAAGCAAGCAAGCAAGCAAGCAGACAAACAAACAGCTACACAAACCATCCCAGCATGTCAGATTGAATCTAATTCTTCTACTACACTGTGTCTTTGAGCAACGGTGACAGTGAAATTGACAGGGTTCAGGATCACGATGGAGACATACATGTAAGGGAGTCTCTAGGTTAGGTGCCCTAACTGCAAGTGGTGTTATGCCACAGGCGGAGGTACTGGACTGAGCAACAAAACAAAACAAAAAAACAAAACCAACCAACCAACCAACCAAACAAAAAAAAAAAAAAAAAAAAAAAAAAAAAAAAACTGGAGAGACGGAGCTGACCACCAGCATTGTGTGCTGTACTCCACCCCCTCTTCCAGACGCAATGTCACCAGCTATGGGCTCTTCCTAGAGTGACTTTCACACCAGGATAGTTGCACCCTTGAACTGTGAGCCAAAACAAACCCTTTCTTCTTTGAGTTGCGTTTGTCAGGCATTTTGTCACAGTATCAAGGGGAGTGACTGACACAGCAATCTACTCCTTTATATATAAGAATAGTGGTGACAGTCATGACCACATATAGCAGGGAACTGTACTGGGAAGGCGCAGCAAACCTGAGAAGTCCCATATGGATATCTACCAGTATTACTGATACGTGTTGTCACTGGGGGTTGAAGGAGTCTGAGGTACCGTGGCCACCTCAGTGGGCAGGTCCAGGCAATCTGGCTGGGCCATCCAGGCACAGTCTTTCTGATCTGGGTAGGACCACATGGTGACCTGGCCCAACTTTGTATGTGTACAAATGGGCAACAGGCCTGGAGGTGATGCCTGACTTGTTTGGTGTTTGTGTTTGTGGCTGAGATTATTCCCATATTGTTTGACTACCCCACAAGAAGTCTGTCCACCAGCCGAAGTCCAATCTGGACAGTAAGGGTTATCTCTTTGACTTGTCTGGCAGGGACTCCTCTATGGGATGAAGAGTACAGGGAGTGAGAGAGGGTTGTGTCCTTCTGATATATCTACTGTGCTCAGGGCTGTGGGGAGAAGGACAATGAGTCACACAGTTCTTCACCTAGGACCCAAGGTCATGGGATCCAAGTCTACTCAGGGTAGGACCCTGGGCTCACAGAGCCAAGTCAAGAGGAGAACCCTGTGGGAAGAAAGTCAATATTACCCCAAGTTAGAGCCCCTCCAAGGTATGGTGGTTCACACTAGTAACGCCAGTACTGGGAAGTCTGAGGTGGAAACACTGCAAAGTTTGAGGTCAGCATGGGTTGTGTGGTGAGAATTAGTTCCTAAAATAGACAAGAACCCTGGTGCAGTGTTTTATGCTTGTAATTCCAGTTGCTTAGGAAGCTATAGAATGGGACTACTGTGAGTTCAACGGCAACCTAACCTACAGAATGAGACCCCATATTAAAAAATACCAAAAAAACAAACCAGTCACCAGCCAACAAACCACCAACCAATCAACCAGCCAACCACCAATCCACCAATCAACAAAACAACCAACTACTAACAAACCAACTAACCAACCACCAACAAACCACTAACCAATCCATCACCAACAATCACCAACCCACCAATCAACCAACAACCAATTACCAACCCACCGATTAACCAACCAACTACCAATCAATCACCAACCAACCAACTACCCATCAACTACTAACAGACCAACTAACCAACCACCAACAAACTGCCAACTAACTAGCAACCAGTCAACCACCAAACTGACCACCAACCCACCATTAATCATCCTACCACCAACAAATCAACCAACCAATCAGCAACCAACCAACCAACTAGCTAATCAACAAACCAGACAGACAAGAGCCCCCTCCAGAATGTGTGTTGCTTAGCAGAGCAGACACAGGAATCCAAATGGGAGTCACTCACCTGGAGGCACACCAGATGAGATGGTGGAGGCTGACACCTGGCCCTGGCCCTTGGAGGTCATGGCGGCCACCTCGATAGTGTAGGTGGTAAGGGCTGTGAGGCCTGTGACTCTGTACTCCAGGGTCACATTGGGCAGGTAGTGGGTCACACGGGTATTGGTTCTGTTGTACTCTTCCCAGGAGATCCGGTACCCTGGCGAGAGTCCACAGTGGTAGCATGAGCTGGGTTGAGACTGTGCATTGACCCTGACCCTTGTTCCAATTTCCATTCCTCCTCTAGCTTGGTGGTTTGGTTCACTCCAGGAGCAGAGGGACCAAAGGAGCTAGGAGCTTCTGGTGTCACACCTAGGGTCCTGGTGGAGTCTCAGTGGGATGTCCCTTGTGGGCAGGGATTGCAGGCAGAGAGAGCCTGTGACAGACCCATAAGGTCCTCAAAACCCTGAGGTCTAGCAGAGCTGGGGAAGGAGCCCTGAGACGTTCTGCAGATTGGAAGTACAAAACTAAGAGTTGAGAGTTTGGCTCAGTGGGGGGTCTGGATGGCAGCTGGCTGCAGGCAGGGGACAGTAGCTGATAACCCAGCCCCCATGTGTCCCACCCTTGGGCTCAGCAGCCTCATCCAGCCTACCTGTCAGGATACCATTTTTCTCTCCAGGCTCCTGCCAGCTGACCTTCAGTGAGGTGTCCAGGATGTCATTGAAGCTCAGGTGTCCCACAGGTCCAGGCACTGTTCCCAAAAGTGTCCCCCCCCCCCAGTGCCCATTAGAGTCAGAGCATGGCCATCTTATATAGGATGGCCACTGTGTTCAGGATGCCCAGGGACTTCCCAAGGCCTGGGTGGGTAGGTGGGAGTGGGGCTGGGGGTGGAGCTGAGGGGCACACGGCACCTACCGTCCTCATGGGTGCGCACCAGCTGGGGGCTGCTTCGAGGCCCATCTCCTGGTGTGGTAAAGCACAACACTGATGTGAAGTATTCTGTGAATTTTTTCAGACCGGACACAAAGCCCACATGGATGCTGTCCTGAAAGTTGGGCCTGGCAGTCACCATGGTAACCTCCTCTTCTTGTGTTGGCTCCCAGGCAATCAGCTGAGGAGAGACCAGAAGAATGTTCTAGAAAAAGTGAAGCTCTCTCCTACAAGTTGGGCCAATGGACACTGTTCCTGTGGTCACCCATCCCAGGGAAGACAGAGACAAGACAGGTAGTGACTCCTGTGTGCATTCTGGGTGCTTTGGGTAACTTGGCCTCTCATGCCAGGCAAGACCCGGATCTGGGTGCTTCCCACAGGGACCTGTCACCCCATCCTCTCAGCTATCCTACAAGGGAGGCATTTCACCAGAACCATTTTGGTGGTCAGAGGACTGGGCACAAAACCCGAACCAGAGGCCCTTTAGTTAGAAAATTCCTTCCAGACGACTACCACAGAGCAATTCACCAAGGGGACAGGGCAGGTCACACATTCACAGCACCACCCCTTTGGTGCAAAGACAAGGACCCTGAGGCTCAGGAAGGCCTTGCACTATGTCACACAGCTAGGGGAAGCTGAGGATCTGGGATTGCTGCCCCTGTTTTCCTACTGGCAAGTTTCCCCAAGGGGTTCCCCAAGGCCCTGCATTACAGCTGGGCGGATTGCTATTGCCTTACACTTGTTCCAGGGCTGGCTGTCAGTCTTACATTTCACCCAGAGGAGAGGAGATGACAAGAGAGCCCATCTGGACCCCACCGCCTCCCCCTCAACCCCTTTGTATTTTCCTCCCTTCCTTTGAAGGTCTGTCTCTCCTCCCCTCGTCCTGCGCCCGCCCCCTCCTCTCCTGCAGCTCCTACCTCTTGTCGTCTGGGCCCTTCATCTGTCTCCAACAATGGCAGCTGGTCCCAGAGACTTCCTCATTTATTTGAAGTTGATTAAATAGCAATTAATGGTGAAAAGCTACACTTGAAGAGTTTTAATAAGCACGGTATTTATAGATATAAAACAATACCACGCCAATGTCTCCTGATTAACTCACACCCGTAACAATGCTTAATCTTCTCTTTTTCGGGGCCGGATGTTTATAAAGGATGTTTTGAAATTTAATTGGTATTGTGAAAAGATAGCCTATAGCAAGTTAATTAGACACTAATTAGACCCTAAAAATACTAATCAGAAATACTAAGTGGCATTTAATAAGTATGTTAAATATCCTCTTTATTTTAGTTATCTTGTTTCATAGCAATTAAATTGCCCAACTTCCTAGGAGTAGATGAAGAAATGAGTTTAATGTTTTAATTTAATTTAATTAATGTAAATTTGAATTAATTATGCTGTTGGAATTAATTGTGTGGTGTGTTCCCCAGCAAGTGTAAAATTTGGGTAAATATTATTTTATTGGGCTTAAGCTAATTACAATCACTACCATTTTGAACAAAATAAAGGAAAAACAGTTTCTTTACAGATGTCTTAAGATAGTATTTCTGGGTCTTGCTCACAAGAAATGACCCACAGGGATGTGCACAAGTCAAGGCAAGTGTGATTCTGAGGACCAACCATATTAACTTTGTCCTCAAGCTTCACACCTGTGACCCAAAACAGCAGCAGGGCCATGAGGTATGGAACGGTAGGGTCACAAAGTTCCCCAGATTTCTGGTTTGGATATACAGTACCTCAACCCTCCTGCCTAAAGACTCATGTGTTGAAGGCTTGGTTCCTTGCTGGTGGGCTCAATTATTGAGAGGTGGTTTATTGATATATGCTCTCATATAATCAATGGGTTAATCCACTGATGAATTCACAGTATAGGGCTGATGGGAGATGTCATTCTGTAAATATGTTTTTCTTATTGGTTAATGAATAAATCATTGTTGGCCAATAGGAAAGCAAGATAGGTGGGACTAGGAGACTAGGAGTAAAGAGGAAGTTGTAGGGAGGAGATCCAAGATGGAGGACTTCAGGGTAGCCCATCTTTCTCCGGTAAGATAAGACCACATGGAAATACTTAGATTAATAGAAATGGGTTAATAATTAAGGCAGAGATAGATGATAAGAAACTAGTAACTGGCTAACAGAATTATATCTAATACAGCATCTCTGTGTGTTATTTGGGGCTGGCGCAGCTGTGGGTCCAGGCCTGCAGGGAAAACCTATTCCTAACACAGGGCCAAGTGATCCAGAGTCCTTCCTTCCTTCCCTCTTTGCTTCCTTCCTTCCTTCCTTCCTTCCTTCCTTCCTTCCTTCCTTCCTTCCTTCCCCATTTGCTTCCTTCCTTCCCCTTCCTTCCTTCCCTCTTTGCTTCCTTCCTTCCTTTCCCTCTCCTCCCCTCCCTCCATCTTTCCTTTCTTTCTGTGAGTATGATGTGCATGTGTACAGATGTGAGTGTGGGCTTGAGCATGCTTCAGTGCACACATGGGAGTTCAGAGGCCAACCCCAGGTGTCCATCTTTGCCTTCTTCATTTGAGACAGTTTCTGCTATTGTTCACTGCTGTGTATGTCAGGATGGCTGGCCTGCCAGCTTCTGGTGTCCCTTTTGCTCTGCCTCCCTTCTCCTAGTAGGGCTATGCTGAGATCACAGATTTGAGACTGTGGCCAGCTCTATACATGTGTTGTAAACTCAGGTTGTTGGGTTTGCATGGCACATGACTCATCTCCCCAGCCCAAGGCTGATTTCCTTAAAATTTGTTTTGCGGATTTTACTTTGAAACCATGTAATTATTGTACATAATTATAGGATGATATTAAATAAAAAAAAAATCAATCCCTAAAAACCAAACCCAAATGAAGCTGATGAACCTAATAGGGCATTGAGTTGTAGAAAAACTACAGCAAGGGAAACTCTTCAAAATAGACCGTAGCAGGAGTGTGACCCTCATGGGTTATATCCCAAGACCATAAAAGACGCTGAGAATGTGGGGCTGTGGGTCAGTAGTTACACAGCTGTTCGCTGTTCTCCAGCTATTTTGTCTGTGGGATGAGGGAGCTGGTACCAGGCAATCTGTGCAAGAACTGTTTAACTGTCATCCCCCCCCCACACAAAAACTGCAAACAAAAGATCAATGATTTATGAGAAAACTTGCAATCTTGATGTTGAATGGAAATTACCAGCAAACCCCCTCCTTCCCCCAGTGAGATATTCACCTTGTCTGCACCTATAGCATAGACCACGCCCATTGGGGGTGGAGACAGGACCGGAAGTTACGTGGGGGAAACTAAGTCTGAGGAGGGGGCTCGGAGAGCTCTCTAGCATGGGGACAGGAGTACATTTGGAGGAATCCTTGGGACCAGGAACCTGCTGATGTTCATCTGTCTATGTTGTAAGTTAAAACATCTATTCGGCCTATTTGTTTCTCCTGATCCTTATTAAACATCAATAACCGCCCCTTCCCACTTTTTTTTTTTTTTTAACAGGGTTTTATGCAGCCTAGGTTGTCCTTGAACTTGCTATGTAGCCAGAGTGACCTTGAACTTCTGGCCCTCTACCTAAACAACCTGAGTGCTAGCATTACAGGTGTTATCATGCCTGATTTATGTGGTGTTGTGAGATGAAAAGAACCCAGGGCTTTCTTCATGCTAGGCAAACACTACCAGCTGAGCCACGTCTCCGGGCCCACTGGTATGTATTTATTAAAACAAATTTCTTTCTTGCTGTCAACTAACAGAGTCTAGAAGCAATACTGTCTTTGGAGCAAGAAATACACCTAGCATCCACATCACAGTATCTAATGATTATCTCAAGGGATCTAGAGTTCCTTGGGGGAAATGTCTGACCCCAGGTAGAGTGAAACGATTATTTCCCCTGGCCTGGGGATTGAACCTATGGACTCACAGTGCCAGGCAAGCCTCTCACCACTGAGCTACATTCCAGTTCTCTCCTCATATTTTATTTTGAGACAGAGTGTCACTGAGTTGCTCAGCTTGGTTTTAGTCTTTTTTTTTTTTCCTCTCTTGGCCCATAGTAAAAAAACCCGTGGGGATATTTTCTTCACTAACGACTGATGCTCTGGCTTCCCTTGGTGATGGGCTGCCATCAGGATGTAAGCCAAATAGAGCCTTAGTTTTGTAAGCCAAATAGGGCCTCTCCTTCCCAAGTTGCTTTTGGTCATGGTCCTTATCACAGCAATAGAAAGCACACTAGGGCAGCCTTGAACTTGCAGCTCAGGCACTCCTGGACCTTGTGGTCCTGCCTCAGCCTCCCACAAGGCTGGGCTTATGGGCCCGCACTGCCAACCTTGGCAAAATTTGTATGTACATTTTATATACATTTATTATATGGCTTGAAGTAGCTTGTCATCCCAGTCAGCCAGGCAGCCATCAGATACTCCCAGGGACCATGTTGAAAAAGACTCAGGAGCTAACTTGAAGGGACCAGTGATCATTTGGCAGCGATAGGGATAATAACCACGGAGGGTTGGAGCATAGCAGATGTGTTTAAGAATTCTCAAGTACATAATGGCATCACTAAAAGCAAAGGGAGCCAAAGGCACCTCCTCCAACCCAAACTTAACTGTTGCCTTAGAATATGCCAGGGAACTACTTTACAATGCTGAGGAATGAAAGGCCCGGGAAAAGAATGGGGTTTTTAATTTTTCCTAACGTAGTACAGAGCTGACAAAGGGAAATGTCATCTTCCTTCTTTCCTGTCTCTTGACTTCCTTCCCTCCCTGTCTCCCCTCCTTTCTCCCGTCCTGAAGGCATTTCAGCTAATCAAGAAGAAATGACAGTGTTTTTCCACCCTCATTTTATAACTCCTATTGAAATCACCAACCCTTCAAGGGCTGTCCATAGTCACCAAGTTCACAATTAAAGAGACAATCAAACTTTGCACCTTCTGATGTCAACACACAGCACCATTTAGGGACCCCCACCTCCTTGTAAAAAGAGGTAATCAAACAAACTTGAATCCCATTGGCTGCTAGCTCTACATTCCAATTTACTGCAGACATAGTACTTGAAGAAATGTGTTAAATGATCCCATAGGGAGGCAATCAGCAAAATCCAGGCCTGTGGAAAGTTCATTGGATGAATGACTAAGTTTCTTTGCCAAATAAGTCATGAGAGAGACAGACAGACAGAGAGAGAGAGAGGGAGAGAGAGGAGGGGGAGACTCTAAGATCAGTAGAAACTTTAAACACAAACCCTTAACTGACAGTACTGGGTGGCCCTCATCTACATCTAGGGATATATAAACCAGCCAGTAGCAGTAATCGGTTGGGAGACCATCATAGAACTCCAAAGGCTGGCTGGTTATATAATGATGGGGTGGTTGACATTTTTAGGTATGGTGATGTGGTCAATGTGGTTTTGATTTTAATAGAGAGACCTTGTATAGAAGCTCTCCTTACAAGAACGTTTAGGGATGATGTGACCAACTATCTCAGATTCACTTCAGCAAGTTCCCCCGGATGAGCTAAGGCAGTGGATCTCAATCCCCTTTGGGGTTGTGACCCCTTTGGGGGCAGCACATCAGATATCTTCCAAATCAGATATTTACACTGCAATTCATAACAGTAGCAAGATTACATTTATGAAGTAGCAATGAAACCATTTTATGGTTGGGGGTTGCCACAAGATAAGGAACTGTATGACGGGGTCAACGCATCAGGAAGGTTGAGAACCACTGGACTAAGGGCTGGGGGAGCTGGCTATGACTTAGTCACATTGAAGCTGGAGATGGGGTAGGTGAACATTTCAGTCCTCCCCCAACTCTTGCAGATGGTCAAGCATTCTAATAACTTAAAGGAGGGAATCTTTCTTATTACATGTCTAAGGGACAGCCATCCCACTTCCCACAGATACTCTGAAGGCTGAAGAAGCAAAGAGAAAAGACCTTCACTTTTATCCACTTGCACTCTCAAAACATCAAGGTCTCATTTTACAATAAAAACAGGGCTGAGGCTGTAGCTTCTAGAGTGCTAGAAGCTCTGAGTTCAATCCCCAGCACTTCATAAACCAGATATGGTGGTACATGTTGTAATCCTAGGACTTGGAAGTGGAGGCAGGAGGGTCAGAAGTTCAAAGTTACCCTTGGTTGCATACTGAATTTAAGGCCAGCCCGGGCTATGTGATCCTCCTCCAGCTGTCTGTCTGTCTGTCTGTCTATCATATTCTGTTTCTTAATGTGTATGTGTGTGTGTACCTATATGAGTTTATGTGCACCACAAGGATGCAGATGCTTGCAGAGGTCAGAGGGTGCCTTGGAGTTGGAGTTAACAGGCAGCTCTGAGCTGCCACATTGGTGCTGGGAACTGAACCTGGGTCCTCCATAAGAGCACTGAGTGCGCTTACTCACAGAGCCACCAATCCAGCCCCATGTTTTCTTCTTTAATGTAAGAAAGAAGCATGGCTTTGGGTTCAATCTGCTCTCTCAGTTACTTTCATTCTGAACAATGGCTTATCTTCCATGACTCAGTTTCCTCCTCTGGGAATTGGGGTGATGATCACAAGGCTGAATTCTTAGGGGTCTTGCATGACAGAACAAGTAGCATATGCAGCTGATGTCGGTAAACCCCTGTAAGTGTGATACCTGTGACTGCCCATGAGCTCCTGTGCTCAAACTATTAGTCAGCTGGTGGCCACTGGTCTGTACTGCACAGTTCCCGAGTACAGGGACGGGATGAGCCTGGGATCAAGCAGTGTTGGGGACCTCTGCATTGTCTTCTTGTTCTGGGTCACCACAGGCCATTGCCCTAGTTGTCCTGGCCGCTTGCTGGCCTTCCAGCCCTTGGGGAGCTTTTTGCCTTAGAAGTTGGTAGCTCATCCTTCCCATACATAGAATAAAACTTATGCTTAGGCTTGGCAGCCAGAAGCTTAATTGTTCCCACCTCGGCCTCTGTGCTGCACAGCCATGCAGACCTCTCTCCCTCCCCCGAGTCCCAATTAGCAGCCTTTTCTGGCCAGTCAGCAACCTCAAGCTCGGGTTGCAGCCCCTGTCCCAGAAAGACTCTTTTTGGTCCATGCTCCCTACCTTTGTGGGAGTGAAAGTGTGGCCCAGTGGCTCTAGCTCTGGTCCCTAGGTTGCTCCTAGTACAAGTAGAACATTCTTTTTGCAAAAACAATCGTCCTTCAGATGATCTTGGCTGTGGTACATGCGCAGCCTCAGTGCAGAGGACTTGAGGATACGGCAGCCGTCGCCTTAAAATCACCAGGACCCATAGCTCAAACCCAGAGTTTGGAGTTTTCTCTCCATTGCCCTGGCTTCCCAGCCCCCCTAAATTCCCTGCTTCTTTTTTCCCACTCCTGGAAATGACCATGTGGCATCTGTCTACCTGCTCCCTCCTGCTGAGGGCAAGCACAGCTTACCCTTCAAATATAGAGTTTCCCCTATGCTATGCAGTATGTCCTCCCTTCTCTCAGAGGGAAGCAGGCCTCTTTGCGGGAGAAGAAGGGGACCCCCAAGATGGGATGCAGGGACAGGATAGCTGAGAAGTCCAGATCCCAGCAGTTAAACTGGCCAGAAAACCAACTAGCATTGGCGTAGCTGCTACTCGGTTGCTTCTATTGGTTGCTGCCTGGATTGTGTCTGTGCTGACTTCATGTGCCAAAGTTTTAAGCCCGACTCCCGGAGGGTGGCTGTGTTCAGAACTTGGGCCTTTAAAGTGCTGCTTAAAGTCACGTGAGGTCACCGGGGACAGACTCCAACCCACTGTCACTGGTGCTTTTGCAAGAAGAGAGGATGAGGTCAGAGACTCATGAGGGTAAAAAGAGAGGGCATGACATCTACACCAAAATCCAAGATATCAGTCAGTAAGAGGCATGCTAGGGTTTTAGTCCAAGTCTGCCTGAGTCCTAATCCCGTGCCTTTGCCGTGTATTGGGTCAATTAGAGCCCATGGAGACTTGCCTGACAGGTGGCATTGAGAGCCACACCATAGTGGTGGGGAGTGACAGCTGCATTGCTCTGGTGGATTATGGCTATGCCCAGGTGTACAGGCCTTGCTTGTGGCTGGAGTGTACCGAGGAGAGCCTCTTTCTGGTGACAGCTCGTGCTTTCACAGAAGCCTGTAGGTGGCCTTGAAAGTCATGGGGGGGGCATCCTCTGCTTTTGTCTGACCTCTGCCTGCTGGGGTCTGGTTTCGGAACCCACTGCTCTTCCCTGGACCCCCATTTCTCCCCTCTCTCACCTTGAACCCTCCCAGGTTCCTTTCAAAGCGTAGAAGAGACCCTCACCTACCTTGTACCCCTGATTGATGCCATTGATGAACTGGGGGCTGGGGGCATTCCAGGTGAAGCGGATGGTGGTGGAGTTGGTGGCTTCTGCATGCACGTTGCCAGGGGGAACCGTGGGAACTATAGGAGATCAAGAGATGGTTATAGCTAAGGGGCTACCCATTCAGCTTGTCCGGCATGGTAGAGGATACAGGCAGACTCTACAGACCATGCTTGACCAAATCTTCCTTCCCCCTTAGCCATCTGCGCAGCAGGAGCCGGGCGGAGGGTGAAGATGCCACCCAAGCACCATAATGAAGGCTCAGGTGAAGTCAGCAACATGGACTGGGGTGTTCATGACATATATGGATGGCCCAGCAGGCATGCAGCCCAACTGGCCCAAGGACCTGGAGAAAGGGACACACCTGCTTTTTCCCCCACGGCCCCTTTCTCTACCCACCTCCCTGTAGTGTCCACTCAGTGACTTTGCTGCTGTAGACACCCAGCCCGGCGCTGTTATAGGCAGCCACCTCGATCTCATAATTGGTCCAAATGATGAGGTCCTCTAACAACAGGTTGTTGACATCAGCATCTGTGATGTTCTTAAACTGGTACCCAACAGGCAGCCCAGCCAGGCAGTATCTGAAGGAAGAGGTGAAAGTGGATAGAGTCAGCCTACACACTTGTGCGCAGCAAACTGCCCAGAGCAGGCACGATTCTCGATTCTGGGAACCTTCCATTGATTTACTGTGTCTGGGCTGGGCTGTCCAATGGGGTCCCCACTGGAGCTCAGTGACATGAGTTTGGTGCCAGTGAGGGATGAACTTGACTTTGGTGTAGTTTTGGTTTGAGTCATGACAGCTGACAGTTGGCTACCTTGCTGGACAGTGCATGTCTAGAGAGAGTGTTTAATCATGTAGCCCAGATGTCCAGCCTTGAACTATATAGCTGAGGATAACCTTGAAATCCTAATCCCCCTCTACCCCCAACCCCCCCCCCACCCCCATGCTGAGATTACAGATCTGTATAACCACGTCTTTGTGATGTTAGGTATCAAACTCAGGACTTCATGCATACTAGGCAAGCATTTTAGTCAGCTGAGCCACAAACATCCCCTGGAACATGGAGACATGGACAAGATTGCCAGCCAGGGAGGCTGAGAGTCCCTGGGGGAGGTGTCACAGGTGTCAGCTTTTGGGGATCGTGACCAGAAAAGCACTCCTCAGGTTTAGCTCATTTTCTTTCTTTCCCTGGTACTGTGGCTCCTTTGCTGAGAGGGACTGAGAGCCCACAAGGCTACCGACCTCCTCATATCTACCTTCTGTTGCAAAGCAACAGAGGAGGGGATATGAGCAAGGAAATGTGGGGTGTTCTGAATGAATGAAGGCCCAGTTCTAGGAAGAAGTATAACGCTTACCTACGTCAGGGTCTGACAGTTGCAAAATCAGAGCCCCTAAAGAGTTTCTATGCATTTGGAAACCAGAGGCTCATCCAAACACAGATGGCTTGACTATCCCCTTAGCTTCCTGTTGAGGAGGCCTTGGTGTCTGCCCAGTGCTCAGGTAGTGCTGTCTGTCTCTATTGGGTTGGGGACTACATCCTGAGAACCTTAGGATCAGCCCCAAACCACAGCAAAATCAACTGATCATGGATGGACAGAGCCATAGACTCTTAACTGTGGAGCCCTCCAGCACCCAAGGATATTGGTGTGCAAGGAAGAGGCACAGGCTTGGAAAGGCATTTTGCAGACAGGTGTTTCTAGTAACTACAAATCCCAAGGTAATTAAAAATTATTATGAAATTTAAAAAAGTATGCGTTGGAGTGTTTTTTGTATGCATGTACGTCTGTTGGTGCATCATGTGTGTGCTTGGGGCCCAGAGAGGCCAAGGGAGGGCATTAGATCCCTTGGAACTGGAGTTACACATGGTGTGAGCTGCCATGAGGGTGCTGGACTTGAACCTGGGTCCTTTAGATGGGTAGTCAGAAAGCATACTTAGCCATTGAGCTATCTCCTCAGCCCCCAAAAGTTACTTAAAAATTTTTTTTGTGTGGGTGGCATGCTTATGCCATCGCACACTTGTGGAGGTCAGAGGACAATCTGTAGGAACTGTTTTTCTCTCTCCAATCCCAGGGATTGAACTCAAGTCCTTAGGCTTGGCAGCAGGCATCACCACCCACTGAGCTATTTGAATTTAGGATATTTCACTTTGGCCAGCTCCTACGTCTTCTATTAGGTTACTAGTGAAACAGTTCTCAATTAAATGCGAAGCTTAAAAGTCCACAGAACTAGCCTTTGTTTTCAACAAGAACTAGAGAAATAACTTCCTCCTTTCGGACAATTCTTTCCCCATCCATTTTCCTACTTGTGTTCCATCTAGCTGGCCTGTCCAATCTTTGGACATTGTGACACCACACTGTCATCTACAAAGTTCATATTAACCGTGCAATTCAATTTCAAACAGAAATTGCAAAAAGGAAAATCTCATAACGTTTTAAATAAGTTTGTGATTTTTATGTTGACCATTCATAGCTAACCTTTTTGACACACATGATATTCTCGGGCTGGACACACCTTATTCTAGACAGAAGCCAGGCCTTCGGCAGAGCAGTATGAATGTGCAGGAGGTTGGCTGCTGGCATAGCCATCTCTTTCTTCATGTCTGCTCCTACATCAGCCCTGCCCTATGGCAGCATTGGCTCCCATGCAGCCTTGAAGGAATTATACTGTGTTCTTGTTCAACCATTCCTGCTAGTTTTCAAGGCTATCACCGTTGTTCACTCTTCTGCAATTTTGGTGTAAATCCCTCTTGTCATGGGTGTTTCTCGTCACCTGATCTTTGTTAGCCAGCAAGGATGGGCCATGAGCTTGCATTGCTTTCTAATCCACTCCCATCCCCCACAGGGCAGGGTGCCCTCCTGGCCCTAGGGTGGGCCTGTACCTGATGATATAACCCTTGAGGATCCCATTCTGGTGGCTCTCAGGAGGCGGTTGCCACTGGATCATGATGGACTGGTTGGTCCGGCCGCTGGCAATAACGTTCTGTGGAGGGGCCGTGGGGGGCTCCTCGGGGAGGGAAACCCTGGAGCAAAAAACAGCAAGTGTGGTTGGACCTTTACTCCACCTCTACCCCATCTACACAGGTGTGTGACGGGTGACAAAGAGGCCAGGCATACTATATACTGTCCAGGGCTAATTCTGTACCCTCACTGTGTGCTGTTGAGCAGCTCAGTTAATGTCCCTTTGTGAATTTTTTGTTTTGTTTTGTTTTGAGACAGGGCCTTGCTTTGCAGCCCAGGGTGGCCTTGAACTTGTAACCCTCCTCCTTCAGCCTCCTGAGTGTAGGGTTACAGGCACATGCTACTGCGCCTGGCTTCTTAATTGTTTTAGGAATAAGGTCTCAACCATGTCCCACAGGCTTTGGTGGTGGGCCTTACCTAGAACCCCTTGCTGGGTAAGCAGAGCCCCAGGATAGGTGGGTGGTAATGGCTGGGGGGAGCCCAGCCCCCAGCCTACCTTCTGAAACTAAGTGCTGCATTTCTTTCTATGGCTTGGCTGGGGAACGCAGTGTTCTGCGCAAGTATATTTTTCACACCACTGACGCTTGTCCATTAAAAACCAAAGTTAATTATTTTTGATGGATGTCCTTCCCTTTTTGTTTATTTTTTATGTTTTCACTCCCTGATGGATAGCTTCCCAGTCTTGTCTGCTCCCAGCTTTTAAAGTGGGGGTGGGTTAACCTTTGCAGAAGTAACTCAGGGCTATTAGCACAGAAATTTCTGGTGGGTATGAATCGGTGCATAGCACAGCCACTGGCAAGGCAGGAGTGGGGAGGGGCTCCTGGGGCTTCCAGGTTCCCTGCTGGGATTGTTCGACTTTCCAGGGGTTGAGCCAAACACAGCCTGGCACATAGTAAATGCTCAGTAAGCAGCTTGTAGTGTGTGCGTGTGCATACGTGCGTGCGTGCGTGCATGCGTGCGTGCGTGCGTGCGTGCGTGCGTGTGTGTGTGTGTGTGTGTTACAGCACACATGGAGGTCAGAGGACAACTTACAGGAGTCAGTTTTGGGGTCCAACTCTCAGGTCATCAGGCTTGGTGGCAGACACTTTTACAGCTATCTTACTGGCCCACTTTGTTTGAGACAGGGTTTCTCTGTGTAACCCTTGGCTGTCCTGGAACTCACTCTGTAGACCAGGCTGGCCTTGAACTCAGACAGCTGCCTGCTTCTGCCCCTCCAGTGCCGGAACTGAAGGTGTGCACCATCACACCCGCCTTCTCCCACTTTCCTTTTTTATTGAGACCTGCTCATCTCTGCCTCCTCAGCATGAGGACACAGGCTCATGCCACTGTGCCCAGCAGTTACTGAGGATCAGAGTTCAGGCCCTCACACCTGTGTAGCAAATACTTTACCCACTGAGTCATCTTCCAGCCACATTGCTGTCTTTTTGGAATTTGATTTCTAGCCCAGGCTGAGCTTGAACTCATAATTCTCCTTCATCTCCCAAACACTAGGATTGTAGACCCATGCCACCTCATCCAACCAGGAGGCATCTTCTGAAGAGCCGAGCGCACAGCTTTGGTGCACATACTGTGTCCTACACAGTCATTCTGACATCTTAGATGACAATGGCTTTCCCATTAGAAGAGGCTGCTTCTTACACAAGGTAAGCCGAGCAGGGGTCCAGCCTCTGTATAAAAGTGTGCTAACCGTGAGAGGCCTTGATGTGGATTGCCTATTGGTCTCCATCATCTTGTAAGAGCTTTCTTTGCTAGGATGTCCACAGGTCGAGCATCATTGGAATTGGTCATGGACACTGAAGAGCCACTCTTCCCCATGGACTTTCTAGTCTCTTGAACCACAATGGAAGCCCATGGGACTGGGTGGAATCAGGGAAGTCTTTGAATTTGCCAAGTTCATGGTCACAGGAATGACCCAGGCTTCTTCATGCTTATCATGGACCATGCTGTACCCTAACACTGTTCATCTCATTTAAGCCTCACGCCCTTTCCTGGGAAACCAGTCAAACATCATTCCCCCATTCTATAGAGTGGAAGACTGGGGCCTGAGGCAGACAGTGACACAGAACTGGACACACCCTGTGGCTTGCCCCGTGTGTCTGTCACCCTGATTTGGAGGCAGACAGGTGGTGTCAGGGGGTCACCTGCCCTCCTTACCTTTCTGTGTCCTTGCTGAATTGTCCTTTGCCCACATCGTTGACAGCACAGAGGCGGAACTGGTAGGATCGAGCGGGAACCAGTCCCTTGACCATCACTGAGGTAGCTTCTGGGTCCACACTGGCAAGGAGAATGGTCCATGGAGCATCTGCAGACACATAGGGTTGGGATGAAGGGGCCATTGTGTGGGCGCGAGAGAGATGTGCTCCTTTTTAAAAACATTAATGTTCAAATTTATTTCCTTTTGTGTACCCATGTGTATGTCTATGGGTGTGCATGGGCCATGGTGTCATTTGGAGGTGAGAAGACAACTTGAGAGGGTTGGTTTTCTCCCACCTTGTGGTTCCCAAGGACTGAGCTCAGGTCGTCAGGCTAGGCAGCAAGTGCTTTTACTGCTTGAGCCATCTCGCCAGCAGTGATGTGATGGGTTTCACTCTTCTTTCTCGGCTCTCTCCATTGGGTTAGCAGGAGAGTGAGTGTCTCCCTAACTTGGTCCAGTATAGGTCACCATGTCTGCTTTTTTTTGGGTCCCTCTAGCCCACGTGACCCTGGGGTTGGAGGGAGATGGGAGGGAGTGAAAGCAGGGGCTCATGGGACCTGAGAAGCCTCCTCTCCTTGAATCAGTGAACTCCGGAAAAGCTGCACCGGCTAGCACTGAAGCTCACAGTGGGAACTTGTGAGAATAACAGCTGATATCTTTGAGGCCACTGGGTCAGCCAGATCTCACACAAACCCCTCCCCATATATTGTTCAAAGCCAGGTTGGCTTTGAACTCATGATTCTCCTGCCTAGGCCTCCCACGTGCTGGGTTACGGGCTATATTCCTGTGCCAGGCTCCCTGTGCAAGCCTTGTTGGGAAGTCATAATAACTGGTCAGCTGTTTGGGGGCCACTTGTGGTCCTGGAAGTAAGACCAGTGCTCTTTTTACATGTGAGGAAGCCATGGCTGCCCAAGGGGAAGCTCTCAGAGGCCCAAGAAGTGTTTGATGGGGGGTCTGGCTGACTCGTACAGGAGACCTTCCGGCTCATGTGACCCTTTGGCCAGGTTGTGTGGGGACATGGGAAGGTGACAGTGGGGATCTTACTGTTTTCTGACATCTCCAAGATGTAGCGCATCAGGGGACTGTTGCCATCAAAGGGTTTGGCCCAGGTCAGATTGATGGCACGTCTCTCCACGGTGCTGAGTGTTGCCACGGGGTGCTCAGGGGCATGGGGAAGCTGCCTGGAGGAGAGATATGTGTGGAGGGCCCATCCCACGTGCTGTACCCTGCCACCAGGTGACAGCAATACTGCAGATTCAGAGTCTTATGTTTCCATGACACTGTGTACCAGACGTGAGTTATAGGATGCTGCCCTTCATGCTAAACTGGTGGTTTTCAGTTTGCTATGCAGAAGAGAATGACCTTGAACTTCTGACCTTCCTTCCTCCAGCTTCCAAATCCTTAGATTGTAGGCATTTGCTGCCTAGCAGTCACTACCATCTTCGTTTAAGTAGCTGTGATTATCCACAGAGGACCCTCAACAAGATTACTGTACGGAAACCTACTACTGGAGAAGCTTCCTAGAAGCATGCACATGTAAAAAGAACACAGGCTGGAGAGATGGCTCAGAGATTAAGAGCACTGGATACTCTTCCAGAGGTCCTGAGTTCAACTCCCAACCACATGATGGCTCACAAATATCTATAATGGGGTCTGGTGCCCTCTGCTGGCCTGTAGGTAGAACACTGTATACATAATAAATGAATAAATCTTAAAAAACAAAAACAAATAAAAAACAAAAGGAGTTTAAATGGAGTTACTCTCTAGTAGGGGCAGTGGCTCTCTTGGGTAGATACCAGCCTGTAATTTTATAGGCTATCCAATAAAAAGCCTACTGCCATGTGTCGGGTATCCTTTTCTCAAGCTGTTGGTCGGAGGGATCCAGTGACTGTCTCTCCAACATTCCAGGCTGTTGCTCTTGCTCTGGGTTACCTTCCAGAGCTCGATGGTAAGACCTTACCACGGAAGACACCATATACTAGTGTTACAGAACATGGAGAAACTAAGCTGGTGTCAACCTGAGGCTTTCAGCCCTCGTGGCTTGCTGCTATATTTCTGGAAGGTTCGATATATACTACTGGGGGAGAAAAGTACCCAACAGTCTTCTCCAGCTGTGAACCCTGCAAGCCACAATAACAACTAGCCTGGCAAAATACACTCACTGGTACAAGGGTGGCACATGCCATGGGAGTAACCAGCCACCTTCGGCTTGGATTCAAGGCCCTGCTTCACAAGGTGGGGTTCCCACAAGACGCCATTAGATGGGCTTAAGACCTATGGTGGTAGAGGAGAGTCTAATACCATCATTGTCCTAAGTAGACAAAGAAATCAATTCTCTCCTTAACTTTTCAGATTAGGGCATCTTTCTGTCCCCACCAGTAAATGATGATGAATACCAAGACCAATGGCTGGTCAATGTGCAGAGAGGAAGAGGCTGTGAAGTGCTCAGCTATTAATGACACATCTACATCACCCCCTCACCCTTGCCCCGCCCCACCCCCTCACCCCTGCCCTGCCCTGCCAGGGCTCAGGGATCATCTTTGAAGAAGGGGTAGAAAGACCGTAAGAGTCAGAGGTAGTGTACATCTACACAGAAACAATACTTGCTGGGCACAACAGGGACACTGCACACATGAACTCACAGTGGCTGTGGCTGTGTGCCACAAATCAGCCCAAATCTCAGCACAGAAGGAGGAGGGGCTCATGAGTCCTACCTATAGCTAAACATCTTGTTGCAAATTGCTGGCTGAGGACTAATCTTTTTGTTTGTTTGTTTAGGGATGTGATCCCAGAAAAGCTAGCTATCCAGGCTCTAGTACATGGTTCTACACCCATGCCCATACATGCAGCAGTAAGAGAACGCGGTGGGTTATAAAGCAAAGTACGTGAAGAGAGGGAAGAATGGTGTGGGTGTGGGCAGGAGCTGGAGGGGAAGGATGCAGGTAGATTTGATCAAAACACATAACACGCATGTGTGAACTTCTCAAACAATAAAAAGGGATGTTTCTTCATAGGACAGGGCGAGGAGGGTTGCTTATTAGATTGCCCTTCCTTCCCCAGGGAGGAATGTAACCCTGTCCCAGCTGCATGTGGTCTCAGGAGGGGCTAGTGTAAACATAGGGCAGAGGGTTAACTGGAGGGAGAACTCCATCTATGCAGCCCCGAGGAAGTCACCATCCATACTTGAGTGGGACATTTTGGTGATGCAGCTGTCTTGGGGTCACCCACACACCTGCAAGTAAGCCCAATAAACTCATTGGGACACCAAGGTGGACTTGGGTGGAATCATTCCTTTGATGTCTTGGTGACCTATCTGGAGAGAGCAGACACTTGTGCCTGCAGATTCTTCTTTCTGGAACGCACAGGGTGTCCCCGACCTGAGACAGGCCTAGGAGGATGTTCAGGCGATGTCTTAGGGAACTTAGGTGGGCTTAGTTGTACACGGCTTTTTGTCTTGACCGAAAGGAGCGGGTTGGCTTTGAATGCCCAGTGCTGCCATCACCTGTGCCTCCTTTGTCCCTTACCTGACTCGAAGGTGGGCATTTCGAGAGTCATTGCCACCAGCTGAGAGTACCCGGCAGGTGTAGGTGCCAATGTCCCCTGACCACGTCTGTGAGATGTGTAGGGAGCCGTTTCTGTCCAGGCGGACCCGGGGATTGGTCTCCACAGCCAGGGTGGCCCCGTCCTTCTCCCACACATACCTATGGGGGGGGGGACAGGTGGGCCAGTGAAAGGAGATTAGTAAGTTTCCAGGGTGGGCCAAACCCACGCCTCCTTCTGGAAGGAATGGACCAAAGGCGGGGCAGGAGGCCATTACAGGCCTCTGGGCCTGGGCTTGTGGGCAGGGAGCAGGGCCTGGGAGGAGGCTGTTCCCTGGGGAGAGCCTGGAAGTCCATCACTCCTGGGCAGGTGCTGGGTTCATGAGCATTCAAGCAGCCAGCCATTACTGGTCATTTACACCTTGGGTTCATATCTGGGTCAAAGTGTTGTTACTTTTGGCCGGAAGCCACCGCAAAACAGCCACTGGGAAAGAGCCAGCCCGGGGAATTCCTCTGAAGATGTTAAAAGATTACAGCTGGAGAAGGAATCAAAGTCTCCAAGCATACTACATTTTGGAATTAGTTCTATGAGGGGAATCGTTAGATCGATGCATCACTGTGACAAATTGACTTTAGTGTCAGAAAAAAAAATCACTTTAGCTTTGGCCCAGTTGGAGCGAAGGGAGACTTGAGAAATGACATGCACACTGGTGTGTGACGGTACGAAATACCTCCTCTAGAGCCGTTAGGGAGAAAACACAGCCGTTATCATTGTCATGGACATAGTTCAAGGCCTAGTTCCCCAGAGGTGGGATGCACAGGACCCTTCAATGAAGGTGGGCTCTAGTTCTCAGAAGGGCAAGATGTCACCAGGCGACAGTGGTTTGGTGAGTCTTAGTGCTCTAAAGTTATGTGGAGTTAGAGAATAAAAGGCTGCCCGTGAGAGTATGTCTGAGGCGTTTTAACCCTTGGGTAGGGTTGTTTAATCCTCTCTGCCTCAGTCTGTCATTTGTAACGTGTGGAACCCACTTACTTGATGAGCTTGTAAGGACTGTAGAGCCAATATGGGATACTTAGGGGCGAACAAAAGATGGCAAATGGTCAGTAAGAGTCAGCCGTAGGTGTTTTCATTGAGGAATATTCATATCAATGATTTCTAGTTGTCAGTCTATTCATCCACCCACCTATTTACCCACCACTTGCTAGCTATCTAGGTTTTCATACATTCATTCCCCCATCCATCCACTCTCTATAGGAGCTTTTATTTACCCACTCACATACATTCACCCATGCACCCACCCACCCACCCATGCACCCACCCATCCATCCATCCATCCACTCATCCATCCACTCATCCATCCATCCATCTATCCATCCATCCATCCATCCACATATCCATCCATCTATCCTCCTATCCAGCCATCAGCCATTCACTTACCCATCTAAGAATCCATCCACTCATGAGCTCATCCATCCATCCATCTATATTTTCATACTTCCCTAGTTTTAAAATAGTCTTTTCTCAACCAAGTATCATCTACTCTTTTCATGTGCTATTTCCATACCATACATAAAAAAAAAAAACCACAAACAATCTGATTCAGGGTGTTCAGGTACAGTCCCCATGTCATTTCACTGACGTACTAGTGTTGGGCATACTATTACCTCCTTTCCCGCTATTGTAGATAATAATGTGATGAACACCCTTATTGAAAAATGTTTACCTGCACTCTACTTCTTCAAAGATAAATTATCAGCAGTGAAACTGCCAAGTTAATTTTAAAGGCTTTTAATATATGCTTAGAAATGGACAATAGCAGTCACTTCCCATTTATCTCATTACCCAGAAAGGAACCATCCTTGCTAGCATTCATGGACTGAGCAGGCTTTTCCTTAAAAGCAGGTCTGTTTGCAGAGAGTTACTGCTGCTTAAGAGATAGCCATGGCAAGCAGACACTCTTTGCTTTAGAACATGATGCTCCAGGGAACACATGTCCCTGCCTGGGAAGCATTTGTTGCTAAACTCAAATCTAATTAATAGGTACTCGATTTTAATTACAAATACAAGGGATAGAAGAATAGGTTAGCATCACAAGATAGTATGTAGCCAAACCCAGAATGTAGATATTCTATAATGGGGTCAGTGAGCTATATCTAAAGTTTTAAAAATGAAACAAAGATTACTTATTTTATATGAGTGTTTGCTTGCATGCATATATATGCATACTCTCTCTCTCCCCCCCCTCTCTCTCTCTCTCTGTGTGTGTGTGTGTGTGTGTGTGTGTGTGTGTGTGCCTGGTGCTTGTGGAGGATAGAAGAGAGCATTGGATCCTCTGGAACTGGATTACAGACAATTGTGGGCTGCCATACAGAGGCTGAGAATCAAACTCAGGTCCTTTGGAAGAGCAGTAACTGCCGAGGCACTTCTCTAGCCCCTAGATAAAGAAGTTTTATTGTGACCTGGACATGCCCATTTGTGGACATATTACAGATAGAGTTGAGTAGTGGTGACAAAGACAATATGGCTCTCAAAGCTAAAACATTTACTCCTGGTCCTTTATAGAAATGGTTTATTGACCTCTGTGCTGTAAAATCTCATTTCTGCAAAGAGTCAGTGACATAAAACCAAAACCAAAACAGAGCCGGTGAGATGGCTCAGTGGGTAAAGGTGCTTGTTGACAGCCAGATGACTCAAGAAGCCAAGCGGTGGAAAGAGGACTGACCCCTCCCGGTTGTCATCTGACTTCCACATGCGTGTCTGCCCCAAATAAAAATTCCCTCCCAACAACAACAGATGAGAATAAAACAAAAGAAAGGGTCCTTTCAACCAATGGTGCTGGAGCCACTGGATGTCACATGCAGAACAGGTACAGCGGTAGCCACAAGCCTCACACCTGTTACAAAAGTTAATTCAAAATTGGCCACAAATCTAAATGTATATGCAGAATCCCCCAACTGCTAGGAGATAATGTATAATCTACACGGCCTTGCCTTTGGTGCTAACTCCGCATGCTACACGGAAGGCCTGATCCCTGGGAGGAAGGACCGATAAGATGGACTTTGTCAAAATTAAAATTTTCTGCTCTTCTACAGATATTGTCAAGAGAATAAAAAGAGAAGCCACAGACTGGGAGAAAATGTTTGCATAACAAATATCTGATAAGGCACTGTTATCCAAAATACACAGAGACTTCTTAAAACTCAACCATAAGAAAACAAATGCCTGATTAAAAACTGGGCTGAAGTCCTTGACAGGCACCCCCCTGATGAAGACGCACAGAGAGGGAGACAGAAATGAGATGTTCTCCCCTAGGCCAAGGAAAAATGCACATCAGAGCAGTAGATGGGTTGGACAGATGGCTCAGCAGTCAGTGGAGCTGTTGTAGAGACTGGAGTTCCATTCCCAGCACCAGGTCAGGCGGCTCACAATTGCCTGTAACTCCAGCTCCAAAGGATCACACTCCCTCTTCTGGACTCCATGGGCGCTGCACTCACAGGCGCATACTCCCACACAGACACATATGCACAGAATTAAAAAAAAAACCCAACACCTCAGAACAGCAACAAGAGCCACCCCACAACTAAGGGATTGGCCAACATCAATCACACGGTGCTTGCCAGGGGAATGCCCCCTCCTCCAAGACGTATGCCACCCCTCTGGGAGACAGCTGGGAGCTTGCTTCTGCTCCTTTCTTTTCATGGGGGCTTACCATGTAGCCCTGGATGGCCTAGAACCTGTTATGTGAACCAGGCTGGCCTCTAGCTCACAGAGATCTGTCTGCCTCTGCCTCCTGAGTCCTGGGATTAAAAATGTGTGCCACCAATCCTTCCTTGGGTGGTTTCTTACAAAATTAAATACAACCTATGCTTAGCCAGGCATGGTGGCTCGTGTAATCTTAGCACTTTGGAAGCCGAAGCAGAAGAATGACTATGAGTTTCAGTCTACAGTGGGCTACATAGCAAGACCCTATCTCAAACACACACACACACACACTCTCTCTCTCACACACATACACACACACACACACTCACACACCACTCTCTCTCTCTCTCACACACACACACACACACTCACACACCACTCTCTCTCACACACACACATACCACACAACTCTCTCTCTCTCTCACACACACACATACCACACACTCTCTCTCACACACACACCACACACACACACTCACACCACATACACTCTGTCTCACATACTACACATACACAAACACCACACACTCACACACTCACACAACACAACACACACACACTCACACATATATACACATATACACTCACACATACCACACACACTCTCACACACACACACACTCACACACACCACACACACTCTCACACACACACACATCACACAAACACTCACACACATACTCTTTTTCTCTCTCTCACACACACACTCACACACACCACACACGCACTCACACACATACACACACATACCACACACACACGAACACACAGAGGCATGTATATATTTACCTAAACTACACTGTTAGCATTATTTTTCATGAATCAAAATTGAAATAAATAAAAAATAAATAGCCTCCAAGTCACTTCAACTCATTAGGGCAGACAATTTCCAGACTAATCTAGTTATGTAACTGGCTGTCAAATCATGTGGCCAGTGGCCCTTCAGGGACCCTTTTGGCTCTAGATCACAACAGACAATCCTGAGCAAATCAGCGATGTACCAACAATTTGGATACCAGAACGCTCATAATGAGATTTCTCCATGTTAGCAAAAATTCAGAAATAATAAAAAAAAAATGCAGTCACTGTGAACTGCTAAACTATGTTCCACTCACACAATGGACTCCAAGCAATCCTGTAATTGAGCTGATGCAAAAATATTTATTGACATGGCACACGGGGCACAGTAGGTTCTTAAGGGAAAAAGAATAGAGAATATCTGGCTTCCTTAATGGAGCTCAAATATCATTACTGATGGTATCTAATTACGGGGAACAGTTAGCTTGTGTTTTTCTCTATCCTTTTTTTTCTGACCTGCATTTTTCTGTAATCGATTCATTACATAGTAAAAGTAAATATATATATATATGTGTGTGTATGCATATATATATACATACATACATACATACGTAATGTCTCAAAGTGTATTGTTCAGGTTCCATCTAGATCTGGATCCAGATACCATATAGATTTTTCTAGAATGACTTTAGAGACATTCCATGCCAGCAGCTTGCAGCTGTCTGGGTCTCATCCCGGGGGCCCAGCTTTGTCTTGACAACACATCGCTTGGGATTTGAGCAGCCAAGGCTTGAATGTGAGCGGCTGATTTACCCCTTTCAAGCCTATTTGGGGTACCCTGTTGTTCTTCGTAGCTAGAATACCCTGTTTCTGGAAAAATATCAGAGTCACGTGGGAGCTTTAAAAATGCTAAAGTTTACCTTCCCACCTATTATCTCAAGGCTGCAAAGGGCAGCAGGGGACTCTATTGCCCTAGGGACACAGGCTGGGAGGAGAGACCAAAGGGCTGGTCTTGGGCATCTACTCTGCTCTCATCTTAAGAAGAGTATATGGCCTGGCTACTTCATCCTTGGGTGAGGATGACTTCTAGGCAAGTGCTACCAGAGATTTCCTGTTTGTGGGTTGCTGGGGGAACATAGAGAGTGGGTCTGTGGAAGCAAGGGTACCCCAAGTTCTATTCCATTAAGAACCACCTAGAAGAGGTAAAGACGTCCTGGGCTTTCCAAAATAGAAGTAAGTGACATTTTAATATACACTATCAACAGAGGGGCTGACACAGATGGCTCAGTGGATATGGCGCTGGTCATGAGAGCATGAGGACCTGAATTTGACTCCCCAGCATCACAAGGGTACATGGGCATCACATGGGCAAGGCCATATGTGTGTTATCTCAGTGCCAGGGTATGGAGATCTCTGGGTCTCACCGGCATGTGGATCTGGCCAAGCTCTGAGCTCCGGGTTCAGTGAGAGATGCCTGATGTCTGCCTCTGGTCTGCATGGCTACACATGTGCACAGACAGGCACATATGCACTCTCATGTGCACACACACACACACACACACACACACACACACACACAGAGGAAACAGTTGCTAAGTTAATAGCTTTTCACCTAGTGGACATAGAAAGGACACTACCATGTTATGCTAGAGTGTCAGTCATAGTGGCATAGGTGTGGACATGTTCACGGTTGCTTTTTATTAACTTTTATTTTCTTTAGAGAAAAATCTGATAAAGTCATGATTAAGGATCCTGAGATTGATCTGCCTACTATCTCTATGTGACTTCAGGCTCATGTTTGTAATCGTGCTGGCGTGTGACAATGCCCCAAACGTCAATATTCGGGAGGCATTTCTCAGCCTGGGTGGGCAAAGCCTGCTGTCCTCCTCAATTCTGGTTTCTCAGAACTCTGTTATACTATGACTGGTTGACTCCGCGCTGGTCCTCTGCCAAGTGACCACCAGGTGGCGCCCCAGGACACAGTTGTGGCTCAGGGAGGCCATGTCTGTGGGAGGCAGAAGTGCCCGCCCCTCCTGGCTTCCATGCCAATTGTGTGACACTGTTAGCTGCTCTTTAGCTGGACAGCAACATGCTGGAACCCTTTAAAGAAGCAGTTATATTGACTCCCCAGCCTTCTGGAGCTCTCAGAAGAGCACAAAGGGACACCACCCAGCTTCCCTGGTGGTAGCTCCTGTCTTCTTACGGTTTGGGGGGTACACTGGGTGTCTTTGCTCAAGTTTGGGTATTTGGAGACTCAGGTACAGTGGCTCTCAACCTCTACAGTGGCTTCCTGAGCTCACGAGGGCCTAAATATCTTGAGGGTCAAGGTCCTGGCTTCTCCAGAGTGGGGAGGGGGTGGCTTCAGTTTAGACATTTGCCCCTACACCTGCTGAGGCCACCTCCTGCCCTGTTCCTATGCTCACCTCTTTGTCTTCTTTGTAAATTGTTGACTTATTTATTTATATTTTATGTACACTGGTGTTTTGCCTACATGCATGTCTGTGTGAAGATGTAGGATCCCCTGGAGGTAAAGTTACAGGCATTTGGGTGCCATGTGGGTGCTGGGAATTGAACCTGTGCCAGTGTTCTTGACTGCTGAGCCATCTCTCCATCCCTCTCTTTGTCTTCTTAACCAGACTATTCCATTATGAATATTAAAATAAGACACGAGACCTTACAATAGGTGTTTAAACCAATTAGTTCACATGAGGTTAGTTAGTGGATCTGAAAAGTGGGGAGCATGGGACTGGAACCCTCCATTTCTTCATCCCAAGGCCTTTCTTTCCTCCCTCCCTCCCTCCCTCATTCCCTCACTCCATCCCTCATTCCCTCCCTGGCTGTTTCATTTTTCTGTGTGTGCAGTGTACATGCACAATATGTGTGTGCATGGTGTATATGCACATGTGTGTGGTGTGTATACACACTATGTGCGTGGTGTATATGCATGTGTGTGTGGTGTGTGGTGTGTATACACACTATGTGCATGGTGTATATGCATGTGTAAGTGTGTACAAGTGTGTGGAGGCCAGAGGAGGAGATTAGGTGTCCTGTCTGTAACTTTCTTCCTTACTCCTTTAGACAGTGTCTCTCCCTGAACCTGGCAGTAGGCTCCAGCAGTCCTGCCTTGCCTCTCCATAGTGCTCGGATTACAGGCATCTACACAGCTATGTCCTGCTTTTGATATGTGCATATGTATATATGCAGCTGTGCCCTACTTTTGGGGGCTGGGATTTGAACTCAGGTCCTTATGTTTACACAGTAAATGTTCTTAGCACGGAGTCATCTCTCAAGCCCTTCTCCTTGTCCCATTTCTCTGCCTTCCACTTCATCAAAACAGCTCACACAGCACAGCCCCCAGATGCTCACTCAGCCTCTTCATCTCAGCCCCGTACCCAGCTCTGGGAATAGCCCCCAAGGCCTTACAGATGGCATCAACTCCCCATGATGTCTTTCCGACATATAAGCATTCCCCCGCTTTTGCCTGGAGTACCTGACAGTCACTCTAGGATCATGCGTCACTCCACACACCATGGAGGCCTGGGTGCCCTTGATGACACTCTGGTCCTGGGGTGGCTTGGTGATGCGGGTCCGGGCTGTAAGACGAGGTAGAGACAGGGCAGTGAGCAGAGACATGGTGGTGGGCACAGTTCAGTAAATGTGGATGTTGGGCTGACACCCTGGTACGACCTGGCATAGGAGTAACATTCCTGAGGTCATCTGGGGATGTTGGGAGGGGATGAGGGGTGACCTCATATGTGGACATATGTGGAGACTATATAAAAGTCTCAAGAGAGTGGAAAGGCCAAAGTGTCCCAGGGACATTGTGATTCTCAGAAGCCACAAACATGCTGAGGATGCAGAGTGCCAGGGAAGAAATGGAAACTGCATGTTGTTAGTGATCATGGCCATTGGGCCAGCTTGTTGGTGACAGATAGGGTCTAGCCATTCACCCCAGGCCCTAGGGCTTAGCCTGCACAGGTGGGCCACACATCTGTATGTCTGGGGTGTGCATCCCAGGTGGAAGAGGCTTGAGACATCTGGTGGCATCTCTCCAGGCAGAGGCTGACAGTGGCAGGTGGCATCTGAATAGATAAGCTCACCTGAATGGGCCATAGTGTTATGCCACTAATGGCACTATGCCACTGCCTCAGCTGCCTTCTCAGCTGCACAAGGGCAGGAAAGGGACTGAGAGGGACACCGTCTGGCCCACAGAGCCAAAAATATCTACACTTTGGCCCCATGTTGATTTCTGCACCAAAACACACGAGACAACTTTTTTACAGTTCTCTGGACTCAGCCAAGCATGGCACGGCCTCCCCATCCTGTGGCCTTGCTGGCAGAGCCATCAACTCCCAGTTGCTGGCTTCCAGGTTAATTTGTCACCATCCCTGTGACAGGAAGAGCCTTGGCTGTGTCAGCAACACAGTATGAAAGTGAAAATGCTGGCAGCCCACCCCTACTGATGCTCACTCACCCCATACAACCAGGTCTGCCGAGGCCTCGTCTACTCCCCGAGAGTTGGTGGCCAAACAGGTGTAGGTACCAGCATCAGAGATGTGGGTTGGGCTGATGAGCAGGCTGCCAGACTCCAGCAGCGTGAAGCGAGGCAGCTGGACAGAGCCGCTGGCTAAGATGCGCTCTCCTGAGGTGACAGGGATTGTTGGGTGTCAGAGACAGCCTTGATAGTGGCCCTACACACCTCAGTTCGGGGAGGACTCTGGTACCCACCCAGCTCTGGAACTGTTAAATGGGGTGGGGACAGGCCTGAGCTGGGGCTTAGTGATGAGCCTAGGCTCACAGGGTCACAGGGTAGCTCTCAGGGTCACAGGGTAGCAGTACCCTTTACAGCCACCCTTTGCATCACTCCTCCACCCACAACCATGTCTGTCCTTCATGAGAAGAGGCCATGCTCTGTCTGCCATTGTTGCTAGCATCAGCTCGCCATGGCCTGGGGGCAGCTGCATTTGGGCTGGGAAGAGGAGGCAGGAGACAGGCTGACAAGGTGATGATGAGCATCCTGCACAGGACAGGATGCTTCTGGAGAGAATCACCTTCAGGGGAGCTGAGGAGGAGAGGAATGGATGAGGGGCGCAGGGGGGATGCGAAAGAGAGGTAGAGATAAATAGATAGACCGATAGACAGGCAGACGGATAAAGATAGAGACAGAGAGAGACAGAGAGACAGAGACAAAGGCAGACAGAGACACAGAGACACAGAGAGATCAGAGACACAGAGAGGCAGAGAAAAAACAATGATGTGACTTGTGAAAGATGGGTGTTACGGTGTTTACAATTGTACACGGGGAACCCAATTTGCCTAGCTCCTGAAATTAGATTTGAAGACTCTCCTCGACTGTCACATGGCTATGCCCTGTGAATGGTCATCCCAGCTACCTTTCTGCCAAGTGATGGCAGGCCGCGGTGCCCCTGAGGTCTCACATGCCAGCACCACTGACATTCCGTCAATCACCGTACTGTCAAGGGGGCCCCTGGTGATATTAGGGGCGATGCCTGTGGAGGAAGACAGCAGGATCTATTAGTGACACCTAGGCTGATCCCCAGCCAGGGGCCAGGAGCTCTGAGCCCACAGAAAGGTGGGTCCTCCACTCTGCCCCCTGGCCCTGGCATCGCAGGGCTTTCTACAGGGAGGCCTGTGGGAGGTGCAGAGGTGCCTGTCAGGACAGTTCTGGCCTCTGGAAACTCAGGCCTCCACTGAGGGGAACTGAGGACCCAGAAGGCAGCTCATACCCTCAGTGGCAAAGTCAGTGGGACGTGACCCCCATTGAACATGCACTAGCTCGTCTAAGGACGAACAGCTGAGAACTGCTTTTGTGCTATGTCTCCGGGCCCCTGCCTGGGTGACTCCTCTGAGGTCAGCAGACACAGCAGCCATTGGAACAGGCTTTTCTCCAAGGGCATCAGCAGCCCCAGGACCCTGAAAAAGGATCACAAGGGAGCAGGGCTCCCTTTCCTCTTGTCAGATGCGGTGCTGAAGGGACGTGAGCTGGACCGCCTCCTGGATCCCCACCGTAGTGCGGTCCCACCCCACCGTGCCCCTCAGCAGTGGGGAGGACACTTACTGGTGACAGCCAGGTAGGTGGAGGTCTGTGCCTCTCCAGCGGCATTGTGGGCAAAGCACTGGAGCATGCCAGTGTCATCGGGCAGCAGGCCGCTGATCTGCAGGCTGCCATCACTTCGCTGCTTGAATCGTGTCAGTCTTGCCACCTCCACCAACGCGGCGTCCTTGTACCAGGTGATGGAGGGAGGTGGCACCCCTGTGGGAGGCCAAGGCAACCGCTGTGTCAGCCGCTGTGTCCCCTCCCTGGCCAGAAGCCTGCAGAAGTCCTAGGGTGCTTCGCTCTCTAGAACCTTCCCATAGACATTGATTTTATGGAGTAGTGTGTTCTTGGAAGATTCTCAAGGCTTTTGGCACAGAGTGGAGATTTTTCAGAAAATGGAAATTTTCCTAGAGGAGTCAGTTTTTTCCACAGAAACGCTTCACTGGGCAATTTTTAGAGGGGAGGTTCATCATTATTATTGTTTACGCTTTTTATTTATTATAATGAGGAGAGGCCATGCATGTACCACTGCATGTATGTGCAGGCTGGAGCACAACTGTGTGCAGTTTTTTATTTCCACCTTTATGTCATAGGTTGCAGGGGTTGAACCAAGATTGTCATGTTGTCAGGGTGTTTTTTTTTTTTTTTTTTTTGGCAAGCACCTTCACCCAAAGAGACATCCTATCTGCTCCTATTATAGTAAGAATTGCATTTTAGAGTGTGTGAGTGTGTGTGTGTGCATGTGTGTGTGTACGTGTGCATGCATGTGGTGTGTGTGTGTTGGTGTGAAGGTGCATGTGTGTGGGTGCCTGAAGAAGCCCGAGGCATCAATCCCACCCAGAGCTGGAGACACAGTTGATAAGAATCCTGATGTGGATGCTGGGAATTGAACTCAGGTCCTCTGCATAAGTAGTGTGAGCTCTGAGCTGCCATCATCATTATTGTATGTAATTATTTTATGTGTATGAGTAATCTTCCTACATATATGTATGTGCATCATATGTGTAACTGGTGCTCGCTTATGAACTACCATATGCTGGGAATAGAACCCCAGCTCTCCGCAAGAGCAACAAGTGCTCTTTAACTGCCAGCCATCTCTTCAGACCCTACTGTTATTTTTGAGACAGACGTTTACATATCCCAGGCTGGCCTTGAACTCTTTGTAGCTGAGGATGACTTTGACTTCCTGATCCTCCTGACGTGACCTCCCAAGTGTTAGTATTACAAAGGGTGTGGGACACTATGCCTGGTTTATACAGTGCTGGAGATTGAGCTAGGGTTTCGTACATGCTATGCAAACACTACCAACTGAGCCAACTCTCCATCCCTCACTTCCTCTTCATTGGCATCTACATCTACATCATCATCATCACCATTATTATTATTATATTTTACACAAGGTCCTATTCTGTAGCCCAGGTTGTCTTGGAACTCATTATAGCCCAGCCAGGCTAGGCTTCTGAGCAGGGAAGGCAGGTATATCTTTAATTTTTTTTTTTTACTGCAAAGATTGGCTCAGCCTTCTATGTGTTGTGCTAACTTTCAAGTGCAGTTCCCAACCCTCTGACAATGGAGCCCAGGTGGAGAAGCAGGCAGAGGGGGTCTCTGTCCGGTGGGAGGTCCCCAGAATTCCCATCTCTGGTCTTCATACAGAGGAAGAGGGATGTCTCTATCCTTGGTCTGGTTCTCTCTCCTCATAGATGTCTCTCTGTCCTCCCATGCTCCCCTTCATCCTCCCTCTGCTCACCCTTGACTTCCCCAGAGGCACTCTACACTCTCAGGAGGCAGCCACAGCTCTGCACCAGCCACACCGCTCTCCAACCCTTCTACCCTGCAGCCAGCCACCACCGTGTTTCATCCACGGGATGACACCAATTCTTTGCTATTCACTGCAGCGTGATGGGGGACCAGGGTGTGGCTTACAATCGACAGCATGTCGTGATTTAATTGGCAGCCTTTTTTCTTTCTTAGTGGCACATAAAATAATGGGGCACCTCACAGCTCATGGCATTTTGAATGAGATGAAATAAGGCATCTTTATTTGTTTATTGGTTTCTTCATCTCTTTGCAAACATGTAAGTTGGAAAACAGGAGGGATCTGGCTATGTGGCTCAGCTGTGAGCCCAGCCTGGCTTACTCCCCTCGGGTAGCCAACAATGAACTCGCTGAGATTACGTGACATCAGTGTCCACCTGCCACCCCTCTGCTGTCACCAGCCCTCATCTCAGAAGCGTTGAAGTTCTGCAAACCCCTCTAAGCGGCGACTGGGGCATAGCTACTCCCTGGATCAAGTTTCTCTATTCTCTGGGCAGCCTGGAACTTGCAGCAACCCTCTTGCCTTAGCTACTGGATGCTAGGATGCTTGAGTCCCTATAGTCCATGCGACGGCACCTTTTAACCCTGTATCTCCTGGTTATACTGCCTTTAGACTCAGCTCTGTCAGGATTGGGGCAGTAAGCATGGGAAACTGCAACCGAGGGTTAAGTAGGACCAGCAGGGGTAGAAGACCAAGCCAGGCAACCCCCACCTCAAATGGGCTGAGTGGGTGACACTCCTTCAGGTGAGGCACACCAGGTCTGCAGATGCTGGCAAAATGGTGATTCGGCATTGTCTACAACTCTCAAATTATGGGCAATTTGGGTCTGTCACCTGTCCTGAAATTACGATAATTTGGGCTCATTTGTAACCCTGGAGTTGATTTGCAGCCCGAGATTACGGTAATTTGGCTGTTTGTTTCCTGGGTGCCAGCACCTAGCCAGTCTGTCCCTGCTTAGTGATGTGGTCTGGCGAGGGGGGTGGGGCTTAGAGATATCCTGGCAGGGATGAGAGAGGCTGAAGTCTGGGGTCCTTGTCTCCACACCCATGCCTCCGTGTTACCTTTGGCTCGACAGGGGATGTCCACCACCTTCTCCATCTCTGCTGTGATGTGTCTCTCAGGCTCTTTGACAAACTGAGGTGGCTCTGCAGGGGAAGGACCAGGAGACAGGATTAGAGGCTTATTGCTTCTATATCTAGTCACTGTGGAGAGGGTGTCTGGCCACACTGTTGTGAAGTCTGCCTGTTCCGTCCTTCTCCCATAGCGGAGGAGTCCTGGCACTTGCCTTGACTTACCCAGCACCGAGAGGTAGGCTCCCCGGGTGACAGGGGCCACGCTACTGCTGCGCAGTGCAGCCTCACACTCATAGTAGCCGGCGTCGCTGATGGTGGGGTTGGTGATGGTGAGCCTGCGGCTGTAGTCGCTGATGCCGTTGGAGAGCAAAGCCCCGTCTTTCCTCCAGACAATGTGCAGCTTGATCAGAGGCCTACAGGATGAGGGAAGCAGTTGCCCTCAGACAAGGGCATCTGGAGGGACAATGGGCAGCAGGGCAAGTATGGGAAGGGACAGGATGGAGTTGGCTTTGGGATTGTCACTCCCTAGATGAAACTTTCAAGACAATCTCCTAAAACACCTTGAAGCTCAGTTTCCCCATCTGCAGAATGGGGGCAACTGTAGCAGCCCTGGGTGTCAGGTGAGCCTGTCAGGCATGGATAATGCTCCTAACAGGACTGGGACACAGTGGTAACTGCCCACAAAGCTCTGGACGAACCTGGAGGCTGGCCCAGGCCTCTCTGGGCAACACAGCTTCCCTTCTTTGGATAAGTGACTTGGGAGGAGTGGGGGGTGAGGGGCAATGATAAGAACAGACCAACACAAGGACAGACAGACAGACTCACCCTCACGTTGGAGAGTCAAGGGGAGTTTGGCTTCCTTCCCACCATCATCTCCCACACACAACCCCCTCCACACACCCCACATACAGAAGGGCTCTTCTCTGAGGGACCATCTTCCCTGTTCTGGATGGCTCTGAATCAGGAGCACATATATCCACCCTCTGGCCTCACAGCCCACCCTCTATTCCTCACCCACCCCTGTGGTTGGCTCTTGTGGCTGGCTCTGTGGCTGGCTCTTGTGGCTGGCTCTGTGGCTGGCTCTTGTGGCTCTTGCCCCACAGGCATCCAAGATAAGAAAACCTCTGCGTTTGCAGCATCCACCTGCTTCCCCTCCTCCTCTGCTCTCACAGGTTCTCATCCAACCCGGCTTCTGGACCTTCCCCAAAGACGACTATGCTCCTGGCTACAGTTCTGGCTGGGAACCAATCAGAGATGTGCCACCTACCTGGCATTTGCCACACACTCCATGGTTACCTCCGAGGTCCCAGCCACAACACTAGTGTTCTTGGGGGGGATGATGATGGTTGGTGCAATGGGGTCCGCGGGTCCCCCAACATCTGAGAAGAGGTCGAGTATTAGGAGGGTAGAGTCAGAAATCCCACCTCTGTCTGCCCACGTGGTACATGGAGACTTTAGTCCTCGGAGCACAGAGCAGACAGCTATACGGTAAGCTCCACAGCCGTGGCTCTGGACAGACTTGGGACTGTCCTCTTCCTCTGCTCATGAGTCTAAGTATCAGGAGAGTTTTGGGAGGTCCTTTGTTCTCAGAGGCCTGTAAGGCCACCCGGCCCTTCCACTCATTACTGTCTTGTACCACTACCCTCAAAATACCCCTTTCCTGCCTAAGTTTACATTACTGACCTACTGACCTACTTCACCACTCACCCTTACCTGCTGCAGCAGGCCATGCACTCTCTACCCTGAGCACAGCAGTGTCCCTATATGTTGGAGAACACGGCCCTCCAAGCGAAACAGCTCCCACTTTTCCTCAGATCATCTGTGCCTGCCAACAAGAGACCATTGGACCTCCGTCTGTGGACAGTGGGCATTCCCTCAGAGAAGGGGTGCGGCGTCACCGGACCCTCACTGGAGACTCTAGCCACTCAAGCCATCTGTATGCAAGTAAGCCCTAAATTCAGGAGGCTTCAGGGCCAGGTGGTGTTAGAGTCTACTCTGTAGGCTTGGGGAAATTCACTGGAGGAGACTACAAGGCTAGAGGGAAGCCAACATCCATGCTGGGTGAAGGCATTCCAATATGGCTGCTTTGGAGTCCCCAGGCTCTTGGCCATAACTCCTCGCCCGTGCTCTGTAAGTCCAGTAAACTCATTGATTCCCTAGTCTCGTGCTTTGAGTGAGCAATGTCCTCCGTAGGCTTGTGTTTGAACCCTCGGTCTTCAGTGGGCGATGCTGCCTGGGGGAGGCTATGGAACTTTTGGTGGGGTGGCCTTGCTGAAGGAAGTATGTCGCTGAGGATGGGCTATGAGAGTTTAGAGCCTTGCCCACCTTTCAGTTTGCTCTACTTAACGTCTGGGTATAAAGAGTGACAATCTTTCAGCTCCCTGCTCCAGCTGTCTGCTGCCATGGCTCCCTGCCGTTATGAACTCTCCCTCTGAAACCATAAGTCAAAAGTGTTTTCACCAGAGCAACAACAAACCAAACCAAAACAAAAGCAGCCAGTCCACCTGGGGGAACTTTGATGTAATTATACTTTGGCTTGTCATTGACACTTTATAACGACACGTGTATCTCTCTAGGGAAGACAATCTCCTCCCCTGGTTCAGGGCCACCCAGTTGTGGATGCGGCTTCACTTGGAAACAGGGTCTTTGTTAGGTGTAACTGGTTCAGGTGAGCTCACAGTATTGTATCGGGGTGGGCTCTCCATCCAGTGGGGACAGCATCCCTCTGTATCAGAATCGGGAACTCCAGATACAAGACCCACAGGGACAAGACCCACGGGCAGCGGGGGCAGCAAAGATGGAGATGACAGCCAAGAAGGGATTGCCAAGGATGCCAGCCTCCTGAGGGAGAATGGGGACCCACTGACTCCTTGGCTTCCGATTTTACCTCCTGTCCTACCAGGAAGTCTGTTCTTATGCCAAGAAGACTCCGTGTGGTGGCATGTTGTTATGGTGACCACATGGGTCCTGAGGTGGTGCTGGCTGGGGGCCTAAATGTGTCTCCTGACGGTTCATGTGTTGGGGCCCGAATGCTGACGTGGCGGCTGTGGAGGTGATGAGATGGGCTCGGGTTGTGGGTGTGTGAACCCCACCATGGGATTAATACCTTCAGCCTCCCTTGTTCCCTCCCTGCCCCCTCCACTCTCTCCTCTCTCCTCTCTATCTCTTGTCTCTTGCCTCTCCATCTCTGTCACCTTTCTCTGTTGAATTACCTTTCCGCCCCGTCTCTCCCCCTACTTCTCTGCCTCTGCTTCTTATTCCCCCTGCCTCATCCCCTTCCCCCTCTTCTTCAGCTTCATGGGACACGGTGAATGAGCAGGCGATCTGTCCCAGTCAGGAATCATGTCCTCACCGGCTCTGCCATGTGACTCTCTGACCTTGGTCTCTAACTTCAGACCCGCGCCAGTGTGAATGAACGCAGCTTAAGGCTGGACACGCGCGGCTTTGTGGCAGCCCCTGAGCTGATGTTTAGTCCTGGCAGCCACCATGTCTCCAGCACAGGACATGCCCGTGCTGGTTGGTAGGGGTGACTGATGAACTGGTACAGCCACCATTGTCCCTGTCCACCTTCCAGGGTACACGACGAAAATGAAAGAGAGCTTCCATGCTTGGGCTTACGACGTCCAAGGGAAAGAAACACCCTACTGTGCCGTGTGGACAGGCTGCTGTCATGGCCTTTCGGTGTACTCTGGGCCCTTTCAGACGTGCCTGGCTCCTGTTTGTGGGTCAGCACAGGCCCAGCACGGTCTGTAGCCTCAACACCCAACCTGCACCTGTTTCCCAGCTCTTAAAATACATCCGGAGGGGACATTTTTCTTGTGCGACAAATCTATCTAGTTGGCCCCCTTCCAGGACTCTTTAGAGGGAGCAGGCTGTGACAGCTTGCACAGGTGTAGGTGTGGGGGGGTACCCTCTGTGGGCCAGGAGGAGGGCACATCATATCTTCGCAGCCGCTGTGATCCACTGTGGACAGCTCCAGGCAGGTTTCCTAGCTGAGCTCTAGACCTTGTTAGAAGCAGCCAAGAAAGAATAGGAATAAAATGTAAAAATAAAGTAAAATGAAGGGGCAAGAAGGCGGCATATAAAGCAGAGTAATTGCAACAATATAAAGCCTCATGTAGGTGCCATAAAGTGCGATCGGATTGAAAGCTGCTGATATAGCTGAATCCATAAAGGTGTGCTCTAAGTTGTTTATTACATGCCCGCGCGCAGGTACCATGGCCCAGATTAATGGGCCACACCGAGGAGACAGACTGTTAGAGTCCAAGCCAGCGCTGCTGCCCTGATAAACAGACAGCCTGGAGGAAGGCGAGTTATGGGTAGGTAGAGATAAAATAACAGGGGGCTGCTAGTGTGACACTGAGATCCCCCCTCTGCCTGCATGTGGCCGGGTCCAGGCAACAGCCTACAGAGCTGGAGGGGAACCATGGTGGCTGAGGACTGTTGCTACAGGGAGGGAGTTTTGTTCTGTCCCAGGTGTGTGTGTGTGTGTGTGTGTGTGTGTGTGTGTGTGTGTGTGTAAGAGAGAGACAGAGACACAGAGAGACAGGAAGACAGGGAAGAGAGAGAGCGAGAGAGCAGAGAAGAGAAAGAAGAGAGAGGAGAGAGAAAAGAAAGTAGAGAGAAGAAAGAGAGAGAGGAAAAGAGAGAGAAGAGAGAGAAGAGAGAGAGGAGAGAGAGAGAGAGAAATAGATTACTGGGACAAAGGGGGAGTGAAAATCACTCCCTGGGGCTTGGGATAGCTCAGTGGGTAGAGGCTTTATGTAATGCAGGAAGCTATGGACTCAATTTCCAACGTGGTAGCTGGGGGTAACAGCAGAACTAGGACATGGCAGTGGCCACGGTGGCGCACGCCTTTAATCCCTGCACCTGAGAAGCAGAGGCAGGTGGATCTCTGTGAGTCTGAGGCCAGCCTGGTCTACAGAGTGAGTTCCAGGCTAGCCAGGGCTACATAGCAAGAACCTGTTTCAAAACGACAAATGGGCATGGGGCACATTGTAATCCCAGAAGGCATGAGGTAGGAAGGCTATCCACAGCTACATACTGAGTCCAAGGTCAGCTTGGGCTGTAGGAGACCCTGTCTAAACAACAGCAACAAAAACAAAACCCCTTCAAAACCCAAATCAAAAAGTCACCATCAGAGCCAGGCCAGGTGCTACAAGCCTGCTCTCATTGCTGCTTGTGGGGAGGGGAGGGAGGGATGAAGCGAGAGAAGACACAGAATTCAAGGCCAGCCTGTCCTAAAATAAAAATAAGAAGAATTAGGGAACAAAGTACTGCTATAGTGTGCTTGCCTAGTATCTACAGGTTTTGAGTTTGGTTCCTAGTACTGAAAAAAAAACATAGCAGCAGCTGTCTGGGCTGTATGAATTCAGGCGCCCGCTCAACACTTCTTGCTTGGTAGATGTCAGGAAAGGGGGATTCCCTACACGGAGACATGGTAGGATCTGTCCTCCCAAGGAGGAAAGCTGCGGGTCTCACCGCCAACACATTAGCGACTTTCAAGATGCCTACAGTGAGGGCTGGAAGGAGGCTGGAGTGGGAGGCTCAACTGGTCCAGCATGAGTGCAGAACGCCCTGTGAAGACAGTTCTCCGGGCAGCAGCTTACCAGTGTTGGGAAGAGCTGTCCCCATCATCTCACAGCTGAGTGTCGGGCTTTGGGGTTACTGAGAGGTGGGAGATTCAGAGCCCCAGGGGTTCTCAGCTGAGGGAGATACCCACACCTAGTCTTTGAGGGATAAGGCAGAGCCTCAAGCTGCTGGAGGTGGGTGTATGGCTTCAGAGGAGGCCCTAGACTTGAGGGGTATCGGGAAGAAGAAAGAAAGAGGGGTGTTCTGTAACAGGAGAATTATGTATTCAGAGATAAGGAGGGGGCGGGGTAGAGCTCATGCTCTGGGCTTGCTGTCCCTCCCCAGACCACTCCTCTTGGCTTGCTAAAGGAAGGGCTCAAGGGTTCTAAAACATTACCCAGCCTAACCCACATGTGTCCCCAGCATCATTGCCAACAGTGTAAACAAAAGGTCGGGAGGCACCTTATGCTAGGAAGCACACTTTCCATCCCCACTGTGGGGGCGAAACGGATTTGACTGGGGGATGTGCTTGGTGACTGAAGATACATGAGCCCAGATGGGACAAGAGGACAAAGTCACCAGAGCACAGTGATTGTCTCGGGGTGGAGGGAGACGGCAGAAGGGTCACGATGGCCGAGAGATTGGAAGCATAGAGGTGGGGCCCTTTTATAGAGTAGTGGGAAGTCCCAGGGAAAATTTGATTTCAAAGGGAGGTAGTTTTAGATTCTGTCACATTGTTTGAGATGGTGATGGGACGTCTAGATGGCTGGAGATGTTCAAAGGTGCCAGACTTGGAACCTCCTGGCGTGGACTTAGCGTCCATTCATGACACTCGGGAGTGAGGGATGAATCTGGATGCTGGGCTTTCTCACTTCCTGTGACAGGAAGTGGTGATGTAAGAGGACCTCCCAAAGCTACAGAGTGTGGGGGCAGACCCCCTACAGCTCAGGTGATAGGGTCAGGCCAGGGGTGAGGGATTGGGGTGTCCAGGTGATAGGGCAGTGTCTGGGTTCCAAGACGGGAACAAGCTGGGAGAAAGAGCCTGTTCATTCCCAACCCCAGGACAACAGCTCGATAACCTCAGGGTATCCGGGCCTCAAAGTCCAGGCCATCCAGCACGGACCACAAGCCACTCATGCCCACCAAGCTCCTGAAAGGTGGCTTGCATCTGTTTGATTTAATGAGATTTAATTTTAAGTAATTTCCATTTAATTAAAAAAACAGATTCCCCAGTCCAGTTATTAGAACACTTTCCAGTAAAAGTGAAACAACTTTGGCATGAGACTATACCTTTATGGCTGTAAATCTGATGAAATCTAAATACGGATCACGTCTTCCAGATGAAGATTTAGCATTCAAATTGAGATGCGCTTCAAGTGTAAGATGCACAGAGATTTCACAGACTTAGCACACACACACAAAAATACGATGTAAAATATCCTGCTAATATATTCTATACTGATGGCATGCTAAAAGGATATTTTGGATACATTGGGTTAAATAAAACACATTAATAAATGAGTTCTGCATGTTCCTTTTTGTTTTGTGAAAAAAACGATTTAAACCTCACTGTGGTGGTGCATGCCTGCAATCCCAGCACTTGAGGGGCGGTGTCAGGAGGGTAAGCAGTTCAAGGTCATCCTCAGCTACATGGGGAGGTCAAGGGCTATGTGAACTCTGTCTCAAAAAAAAAAAAAAAAAAAAAAAAAAAAAAGTCCCCCCCCAAACAGAAAAACCAACTTAAAAAAACCAAACAAAAAAGAAAAAACAATAACAACAAAAAACAAAACAAAACAAAAACCATCAGTAATGTAAATAGATAAAAATGGGCCCACTGGAAAAATTTAAAATGATATGTGGTATGTGGGGCTCAGAGTTCTATTTTATCCTATGTTATATTTCTATACCTTAGTACAGGTCTGAGCTGTGTGTGTGTTCCTCAGGTGGGTGAGACTGTGTTGCTGGATGTGGTTTCTGGGGTTGCCAGCCTCGTTCATCCTTTCTCCCTTAGCAATGAGCATGGCTCCCCCCAGGGCGGCACAGGAAGCTGCTGATCTTGAAGTAGCAGAGCTTGATGGGATAAGGGAGGAGGAAGGAGACTGAGGGTGTGGCTTCAAGCCAGGTAACAGGGGAGCTGAGCTGCTGGTGGGCGAGCTGGCAATTGCTCTCACAAATTGGCTGGCAGGCAGGCTGGGGGACCATGTCAGTGCAGGCAAGGGGTTTTGAAGTGCAATCACTCGTGGGAGGGAAATTAGCTGAAAAATCAGCCGAGTTTGCTCTGGATCCGGCTTTAATCACAGTCGAGGATGCAGAAATGGAGGGGTTTTGGGATGAGGGAGACTGGCAGCTGGGTGTGACTGGGGTGAAGGCAGATGAAGGGGCCAGAAGGGGCTCTCTGGCCTCGCCTGGGCTGTTTGGAAGGCTGAGGGGGTTTGAGATAGAACAGAAAGTGGTACCACAGTGGGTTGCCTCAGTTCTTAAGGGGAGGGGCCAGATCCTGGAGGAGGAACAGAGGAAGGCTCCCTGACCGTGGACCTGGGGTAACTGAGTCACTCAAGAAGATGCCTGGATTTAACTTGGACAACTCACTCCATGACTTTGTCTTTCGGTGTGGGTTTCTCTTTCTCTTCCTCTCCTCCTCCTCTCTCTCTGTCTCTCTCAGTGAGACAGAGTCTCACTCATTACACAGACAAGAACAGCTTGGTCTACATAATGAGAGATTCTCCTGCATCAGCCTCCAGTGTTGTCTCTGTCTCATGTGACGAAGACTACACCACGCTCACCGTGTAGCCAGGGATGATCTTGAGCTCCTGATTCTCTACCTCTACCTCCTAAATGCTGGGATTACAGACATTCACCAGCAAACTCGTTTTTATGTCACTGGAGATGGAAACCAGGGCTTTGTGTGTGGGAGGCAAACACTCAACTAACTGAGCTTACGTACCTAGTTTGACACTAATTATTAAAAAAAGATGTCTGGGTTCCAGGAGACTCTGAGAGAAATCTCTAGAAAACCCATGTCCCTTTGCCAACAAATTCCTTGTTCCTATATAAACAGTCCTAGCTCAGTGAGAGGTCAAAGGTCTATGACCCTCACTGGTCAGTATCCAGAGTGGATTCTCCACCCCTAATTCAGATTTCTTCCCAGGCAGATAAGAAACTGGCTTGGAGGGAGGGACCCACTGGGTCTACAGAAAAGAGTCCTGTCGGAGCTCAGAAGGCCTTGGGAGGGGCTGGGTTTGTTCTAGATGCTGGCAGACAGAAGCTAGGATGAGGGAGGGTAGAGATATCGAACTTGCTGCCGATGGATGTGTGTGGATGCGGCATGGATGATTAATGAGATGTGCTTTGGGAGTGGGAATCATCCAGATGTGGAGGTATGTGAACATCTGGCTCCCCCAGCTGGTGTGGTACTCAGCTGCTTCAGGAAGTGGCGGTCTTGCTCCAGAACCCCGACTTCATCTTTGTGACTCCCAGCCTAGGAGGTACCTTGGTCATGTACCCCATCTTGTCTAGCCTGAGGTTAGGTTCTGAGGGTGAGGCCAGTCTCGTAAGGAGAAGCAGACCCGGAGTGACCGCCCTGCTCTGGTCTTGCTGGAGGATACTGGGGCAGGTTATGTTGGGCTGATCTCCTATGCCTGTCTCTCCCGGGGAGCCATGCATCTGAAGAGGGGCAGAGGTAGAAATCTGGAGAAGAGCCTGTTGAGAGGCACGCCTGGCTCGGAGCGGAAACAGCACTTTTGTGTGCCAGCTGGGCAGGCAGTTAGTGCACTTCTTTTAAAAAGAGCTTCCGCTCTACCCGGGTGTTCTCTCCATCTGCACCTGAGCCTGGGGTGGCTGGCATCCACACACGTGAGTAGGCATTCTCTCACTTGCCTCTGCCTTCGCCTAGCCTCCAGTAGACACGGTAGTGGTAATAATAAACCTTCCCAGCCTGGTGTTGGTGGCGCACGCCTTTAATCCCAGCACTCGGGAGGCAGAGGCAGGCGAGTATCTGTGAGTTCGGGACTAACCTGGTCTACAAGAGCTAGTTCCAGGACAGCCTCCACAGACACAGAGAAACTCTGTCTCGAAAAACCAAAATCAAACCAAACCAAACCAGAACAACAACAACAACAAAGCCTTCCCTTTACCAGAGCAGTGTCTGCCATGGAAGCACCTTCCAAAACTCCACTCCCCACTACCTGTGACCTTCATTGGCTCCTCCTCCTCTAGAGATGGCTCCACCCCTCTGTCCCTAGCCCTGCCTCTCCTACCACTCTGTCTTCCCAACAGCCCTCTGGAGTCCCATTCCTGAGATTTAATGACCTGCTGTTCTCTGCTCAGTGATGGTCCCTGGTCCGCGCTTACTTACTCTCCACGGCAAGAGTGATGGGCTGGCTCGTCTTGTTGTCTCCGTTCTTGTCGTTAACCGCCTGCACGTAGTAACGGCCAGCATCAGGAGCCACTGTGGACAGGATGACCAGGGTGTTCTCCAGTGTGATGGCTCTGAGAAGAGGCAAAAGATTCTTTGGACAGGGGCCCAAAGGGCTTGGAGCCAGGGGAAGTAATAGGAGGATCTGAGGTAGGTGGTCTGCCTATACTTACTCCTCCAGCAGCCTCCAAGAGGCCAGCCCAGTCCCACCCCATCTGTTTACTGATAACACAGATTCTCTGTGGCAGTGTCCATAGAGAATCTACCATAATTGGGGTGTTGCCCATCACATCCCAGCCATCCCTGAAGCTGAGGGTTTCTCAGAGCCCACCCCAGGGTCAGGTTTGGGCTATTCTCTCTGATGCTCTTGGAATTCTGTTCCATGTCATAGCCTTGATGGCTCTGTGAGGTTGCCTCTGCCAAAAGTTTGCAGAGTGAATGAATGATTGACAATGATGATGAGTGACAAGAATGACTTCACAAAAGGAAGTCCAGGGTCAGTGTGTATATAGGTGTGTGTGCATGCATGTGTATGTGTGTATGTTTGTGTGTGTGCACATGTCTGCCTGTACACATGCATGTGCACGTGTGTATATGTGTGTGCATGTGTGTGTGCGAATGCTCACATGTGTGTATCTAGGCTGGAGGTCAGTCTCAGGTGTCTTTCAGATGTCCATCTTTGTTTGTTGACACAGGGCTTATCGCTGGCCCGGAACTCAGTGAGTCAGCTAGACCAGCTGGCCAGTGAGTCCCAGGGACCGCTGTCTCTGTCTCCCCAGCACTGGGTTACAACTGTGGCTCTTCCCACACCGGACTTCTTTTTCACTTGGGTTCTGGGGATCAGATACAGGTCCTTGTGTTTGCAAGGCAAGCACTTTCTGAGTGGAGCCCTCTCCCCAGCCCTGGGATCGGCTGCTTCCTACAACTGTTTAAGCAGACTCAAGAGCCACAGTTGGCCTGAACCAGACTTCTGAGGGCCAGGCACCTCTAGTCTCCTCCCTGGGGATCAGTTTCCCCTTTCCCTTGTGAACTGGGCTGGCCCAAGCTGCTTCCCTTTCCCAGTCCTCATCCCAAGTTCAGCAGGCAGGAAAACAGGGAGCCGGGGACCCCCTTAAATGGGTGTGAAGTGGTTCTGGAGGGTTGCCCACACCGGCTCTGCCCAGCTTCTTTTACCCATTCTCCTGATGACAAACAAAACCATTAGTTTGCCAAGTCTGTCTCCGGATTGTAATGCGATGTGCCCGAGACAGCTGTTAAACATCCTTAATGTTAGTTTAACAAGGACAAATCCAGTTGAATTCTCTTCAAATTTTCCCATTAGGTGAATGTTACAGAGTTTTAAACAGGCTCTCAGATAAACATCCTCACTAATGCCTCTCTGGCCCAGCTCTCTCCTAGCCTGGCTGTGCTGCTGCCGCCCCTTGCTTCTCATTTTGGGGTTTTTCAGGCGGAGTCCTCACACCATCAGGCGAGCTCTGGGCAGTGGGATGGCAAGCTCTCCGGCCCCCAGTTCTTAGGGACCCTAGTGATACCCCGTGTTTCCCATGGAGAGTTCTTTTTTTACCTTTAGCTAATGAGGTGACTGGAATAGGATTATAGCTAAGCTAGAATAGAATATGCACACGTGCGCGTGCGCGCACGCGCACACACACACACACACACACACACACTTTCTTCCTCTCTTTCTCTCTCTGTGTGTATGGATGCATATTTATGTGGGTCCACATGTACGTGTCGTGTGTGTAGGACAAAGGACCACCCTGGTTGTTGTTCCTCCTGTGCTGTCCACTCACTTTGAGACAGGGTCTATTACTGGATTGGAATAGACCACGTAGGTTAGGCTGGCTGGGCAGAGGCAGGGGCAGGAAGCCCATGTGTTCTTCCTGTTTCTATCCCCCTAGCACAGGGATTACAAGTGGAAGGCCCCATGCTGTGCATGTATTCTCAGGCTTTCAAGGCAAGCACTTTACCAACTGGTCTGTCTTCCTACCCTACAGCCCTCACCTGGCCCAGTGTGGCTTCACGATGGAGGGTCTTTGAGGTCTTTAGCTTTCTCAGCACCAGGCTAAACTATGTTAAATGCCAGCTGCGGGATTGGGGTGGTAACCATTTCCCTTCTGAGGTCTCCTTGTCTCGCCTACAGCCCTTGCCCTCTGATGTGGAGTGTAGAGTGGGAAGCTGGGAGCTGGGGGAAGGGTCTGTGCTGTGCAGGGTGTTGGGGCTGGGGCTGGACTCTGGTGTGGGCCCCTGGCCTCCCTCTGAGGACCATATATTTCCTCCAATGCTTGTCCTTGCAAAGACGGAAGAGAATATTTGCTAAGACTTCTCCTAGCCTTGTGGCTGTCTCTGTCACCTGGTCCCTGGCATCAGACAGCCCACTGTCTGTCCTTGCCCTCACAGTGCTCTCCTGGTGCAGCCTGGCTTCAGGGTGGAGGGACTCTTAGGACATTGGACTCATGTAGATACAGCTCCCCAAGTCGTTCTACTATGGGGACAGGTCTCACGGATTCTCCAGGGGACCCACTGTGGGGTCACCCAGTTGTTCTGTTATCAGAGGAGTCTGCTCAACCCTTTCCTCCTTGACTGGATAGCCTGCCTCCCTCCATGCTTAGCTTCGGCTATGTGCACATTCTGACTCTTTCTGTTTGTTGCTCCCCATCCCACGGCACTGGGAGTTTAGATAGCTCACCTGGTGAGCACATTTCTGGAGGAGGGCATCATTCATGAGTGAAGGGGAGAGTTTGGGAACGGGTTAAAGTTTTCCTAGGATAGGATTTATGTCCCCTTTTGTCCTTATAGGGAGTTTTCTAGATGTGGCATGGTGTTTGACGCATGATGGGAGTGGCAAGTTGGCAAGGCTAACGATATGCAGATGACAGTATGATATACATATACCAGATGTGCCGTATGTGGTTCTCAACCGGCAGGAGTGAGTCTGCTCGCAGTGGACCACTGGACAATTGATTGCCATAGATCTGGGAGGTGGGAAGGCAGCAATGACAGGTAATAGTGGAGGCCAGGACTTCTGCTTGGGGGGATAGCCTTCGAGACCCGGGATGCATGTCTCCAAAGGAACATGTCTGACCCTGGATGTCCCATGCGAAGCTGAGTGCTATGGCCTGGGTGTGGTTTGATCGTCTTGTGCGAGCTCTGAGTCTATGAATCTAATGCCCATTATGAGGCAGGAAGAGGGGAGGGACTGCGCCTGACCCTGGTGTGTAGAGATGAGGCTACAGGGTTTGATTAGGGTTGGGTTCCAGTCATTAGGGCAGAACCTCGTGATTGAATATCGGGGATTTCATAAGAGGGAGAGGCCAGGACACACACCACACACACACACACACACACACACACAAACCACACACCACACACACACACACACACACAAACCACACACCACACACACACACACACACATACACCACACACACACACACACACACACACACACCACACACACACACACCACACACACACACCACACACACACACCACACACACCACACACACACCACACACACACACCACACACACAAACCACACACCACACACACACATACACACACACACACCACACACACACACACCACACACACACACACACACACACACATACACACACACACCACACACACACACACCACACACACACACACACACCACACACACACACACCACACAAACACACCACACACACACACCACACACACACACACACACACACACACACACACACACAAACAGGGCATACACCCACACACACACACACATACACCACACACACACACACACACACCACACACACACACCCACACACACACACCACACACACACACCACACACACACCACACACACACACCACACACACAAACCACACACCACACACACACACACACATACACACACACACACCACACACACACACATACACCACACACACACACACCACACACACACACACCACACACACACACACACACCACACACACACACCACACACACACACCACACACACACCACACACACCACACACACACACCACACCACACACACACCACACACACACACCACACACACACACACAACACCACACACAAACCACACACACACACCACACACACACACACACCACTCACACACAAACCACACACCACACACACACACCACACACACACACCACACACACACCACACACACACACACCACACACCACACACACACACCACACACACACAAACCACACACCACACACACACACACCACACACACACACCACACACACACAAACCACACACCACACACACACACACCACACACATACACACATACACACACCACACACACACCACACACACACACACACCACACACACACCACACACACACAACACACACACACAAACCACACACACACACCACACACACACACACACCACACACACACACACACCACACACCACACACACACACCACACACACACACCACACACACACACCACACACACCACACACACACACACACACCACACCACACACACACCACACACACACACCACACACACACACACAACACCACACACAAACCACACACACACACCACACACACACACACCACTCACACACAAACCACACACCACACACACACACCACACAAACACACCACACACACACACCACACACACACACCACACACACACACCACACCACACACACACACATACACCACACACACACCACACACACACCACACACACCACACACACACATACACCACACACACACACACCACACACACCACACACACACATACACCACACACACACCACACACACACACCACACACACACCACACACACACACACCACACACACACACCACACACACACACCACACACACACCACACACACACCACACACACACACCACACACACACACCACACACACACCACACACCACACACACACACACACACCACACACACACACACACACACACACACACACACACACACACACACCACACACACACCACACACATACACCACACACCACACACACACACACACCACACACA